TAACATTTACCATTCTATGTCAACAAGTGCAACGAAATCTTAATCAAAACTAGGCATAATTGAAGATTAGTAGAACGTATGAGATTAAGAATGAAATCATATACTAACCGATAGTATGGAGGTTTTTTTTATTAAGCGTAGCCGACGTAGTTCAAAGCAGAGAATTTTGAAATGATTAATCTTCAAGTTATATCTTCGTTAAAGAATAATGTCAGATTCAGATATAAACTATAAAATCTAATGTTTTATTCAATAAGAAACTTCAATTGATTATATGTACTTATCTAAAATATATCATGATTAGAATTTCACTGTCTTCTATATCGACGAAATCGAAGTCGTTGTGCGTAAACTTTATAAGTCCCATCTGTTCAGAACAAAGATATAGACAACAATTAAAGACATATTGTAACTATACGATGCTGACAAATATCATATTGAATTAAGACAATAACAGAAAGGAAATTAGAATCCAAAAATCAAAGATGAACCTACTCTAGAACTGAAATCAGAAATAGTTTTCAATCTGTAAAGGAGTACAGATTTAACGATTTAACTACCAATTTCGTTGTTAATTACCTTATGATAAAGAAAGTTCTTCGATTGCCATCCAAGCAGGAATTGTTGTTAAGCAAAAGCTAGATTTCATTCACCTCAAACAAATCGATAGCATATCCGAATTTGGAGATAGAAGACAACATTTATTTTTCTCTTTTTGTTTTTTGTTTTTTTGGACGGCTGTCTTTTCGTTATTCATTTTCTTTTTTTTTTGATAAAAAAATCCACTATTACGTAGCAGATTCAATTAATTCAAATGGGCTGCGACATCTTAACTCGGCCTTGGCCAAACAAATATAGTTTCTGAGCATAAAAGGAATACAAACCCAGTTTCAATTAATAATCGACCAAAGATGGGTTTAATCCAATATAGAATCAATTGCATAAATATGTACCAAATTATTTGATTGTTAAAATAAACTTATTAATTTTAATAAAATTAATTATTTATATAACTGACCAAAATTATATCAATATATTCACATAATCTACTACAAATATAAAATTACACAATTAATTTGGTTTTTAAGAAAAACCCCGCACGTATGTGCGGGTCGGTCACTAGTATCATATTAATCGTGAAGCTAAACCCACATCCAAAAAAAAATTCAATTTGTCGCATTGTTTTTATAAAAATTTCCCAATATTTTCTTAAAGATACTCGTCCAAATACGCTTAGCTGTAGATTTTTAAAATAGATTTTGGTGCGTTAGAGCGATCGCATCAACTTGATTTGTATGTTTAAATTAAATAGATCCGATGGTTAGCAACTAATTAAAATATAGTCAAACCTCACATGACAAAATAATACACACATTACTTCATTCATTTCAAACTTCTGACATAGCCACCACGAGGTCCACGAGTATTCAATTACGATGATAAACTGGTTTTATTTACAACGTTAATTAATATTTGATAAAACTTTGCATCCATACCTAAATATTTACATAAACTGTGTTTAAGATAACATAATTATGTAGATGTAAGAGAAAATACAGAAACTGAAATCACGAGAGGTTCCTCTGTAATTTGGCAGATTATATTGACAAATTGAAATCACGAGAGGTTCCTCTGTAATTTGGGTGGTTATATATGCCAAATATATATGCAAGCAAATATAAGTTATGAAACTATATACGTTTCTGACAATTTAGATTAGAATATTTGACACCTCTTAAGATGTCACATAACAAACACTACATACACATTTTAAAACTTAAAAGTATACTGTATACACATGGACGTAAAAACAAATAACAATGAGAGTTAACGTGCGACATAGTTATGGCTTGTGAAAATGTGATACTCATATAAACTTATAACACTACAAAGACAATTAAGTCTAAGCATTGTAGAAAACTACAAATCATAAACACCAAGAAATGGCATGAGAACAGAGCCAATCCAAAGCTTGCCATCTTTCTCTTCCACTTCACTTATAAACCTTAATCTCTTTCCTTCCTTGTCCTCAAGTACCTCCAAAACTTCTCCTGATTCACTCAGCTTCACGGCTGTAGCATGAGGTCTTCCTCCAGTGAACAGCGAGTGCAGCCGCGGGGGACTGATCGGAAGTCGAAGCACCAAATCTTTAAACCAAGTTTGAGTGAGCGAGAGTTTCGCGAAAAGACCTTTCTTTGAGTGTAAAGCGACCCAGAACTCTCCTTTTGAGTTTCTTCTGATGTTGTCAGGGAAACCCGGAAGCTCAGCAAACACATCTTGGGTTCCTGCGTTTGGACCAGAGAGCCAAAGCCTTAGGATCTTGCAAGTGGTTGTTTCAACTACCAATACAAAAGACCGGTCTTTGCTTAGTGCAACGCCGTTTGCAAATGCGAGGCCTTGTAATAAGACCGTTGCTTTCTTGCTTGATCTGTCATACTTGATAAACCTTCCAGTCTTATCGACGTTCAAAACAGCAGCTAAGAATTGCCTGAACATGACAACACTTTGGAGTTAAATCATGATCACCAAGAGAAAAGGGTAAATCAAGATTCATGCATCAATGTAAAAGGATAAACCAAGATTCAAGCGTCAATGTAAGAAAGAACATATTTTGGTAAACATGGATACAGAACCAACATATAAAATTGGAAAATATTTAAACCAAACTTTTAGGTGGTTAGTTACTACCTTCTGGATACGTTTTAGCTTTTATGTTGAAACAAATAAAGAACATTCATTTTTGATAAGACAATGCAGATAATGAGAAAGATGAAATATTTAGGGTGCTTCTACTTCGTGTTACCTTCTCTGGAATATGGCACTGGTATCTGTGAAGTAAATGACATCATCCTGCTCATCAATGTCCAAATCATTAGTGAAACGAAACGTCTGCCCCTCAGCTTCTGTAACCAAAGGTTTGGCTAAACCACCAGCAGGACCAGCAACAAGAAGACCAAAGTAAGCATCCGCTATGTAAAGATCTCCACTTTTCTTATCGAACCTCAATCCTAATGGCCTTCCACACACATGCTCCAACTCTGGTGCAAATGGGCGAACACACATCTCCCTGATAACCATTTTCACAACAGATGAGTACTAATCTAACAAAGGGCTATAAATGCTGAAACATATACATGTCTCACTCAATCCCAAATCCAATGAAAATTCTCAACATTTCACACAAGATGATAACAATCTGAAAAATCCTGAGCAATCAACCAAATTCTAGGGCTAAATTCAGAATCACTCGATCGAAAAGTTGTAAAATTTTCCATGAAAAACGCACCTATTAGCCGATGTGTAAGCGAAATCAGTCCATCCAAGCGATTCACCGCGCCATTTCAAGACTCTACCGTCGGAGACGCCAACATACGGACCTTCCCCTGATGGATCGAAAGCTATACTCTCCGGACCGGAGGCTCCGGTTAAGTTAACCACTTTGGCCGACGGGAAAACATCACGCGAACCGGCAATTTTAGGCGGTGCGAAGATGCCATAACCGGTTTGAGAAGTCGATACAAGGATTGCGAGGGTTGTCACAACCGCTGATACGAACAGTGTAACGAGCATCGTCGTCATGGTGGAGGTCAGTGAGATTTTTGCACTCTGTTTCGCTACAAATCACTGTTACGAGTGCTTCTTTACTTTTGTTTCTCGGAGAAGTCTAAAAGGTTAGAGAATTATGAGGAACTCCTTGTAGTTATGAATTAATTAGGATTTAGCCTAATTAGTTGTTAATGAATCAATTATCTCCAGCAAAATTGAGCTGGTGAAATACGAAACGACATGTAACTGGACTTTGATGAAGCCCATTTACTCGACCCAATTTATAACAGATAATGTGTTAACTAGCCCATTTAACACGTTTGGAAAGAAATGGCTCGAGATTATTATTATTATTATTTTTTTTTTTTGGTGAGAGCTCGAGATTATTTTTTTACTCATAAGGGGAAAAAAAAGTGCCAAATATTTTTTTTATTATAACAAGTTGATGACTTGATGGTGTGCCGTTATTTCTTAAATTCTGAAAAGTGAAGTTTTTTTTTTAATATTGATAGAATGTAATATACCATAAAGTTACAAAAGATGTTGTTAATTAATTGTTTATGTAATGCGTGATACATCCCTATATTAGTAAAAGAGAAGTACAAAAACTTCATGGGTTGGGTTATTTTAGAAATTTTTTAAAAATTAACCCGATTAACTTAATTGGATACTAACCCAATTAGATCAATTTTAAGACATGGGAATGACCCGGGATCTGAGTTTTCGAAATTGAGTTTTTAATGCTAGATTTCCAATCCACTTAATTTAGGATACTCCATTAGTGATATGGAAAATTATAATAACTGAAAATAGCAAACAATTTCAAAAAACAATTATCATACTAACAATACAATTCCGTAATTACTGAGATCACGAGTGATTGGAAATCTTAATACTACAGTTTAATTTAGTTGGAATTAATTAAATGTTTCTTAAAATCAGAAAATAAAATTTAAATATATTATAAAAACGAATTTAATTATAAAATTTAGGGTGATGTTTATAATTATATTAAATCTTTGTTATTAGATTTTTTTATCTTTTCTAATATGTAAAATGAAAGATTTTAATCAGAATAGAAAAAAATATGATAGAGTTTCCAAGATTCTTCCTTATCTTTATCAATTTGAATTACCTATTAAAATGGAAAAATATATTAACATTAGCATAATTAATGAAAAATTAATTATGGAGCTCATATCATCTATCCCCTTCCCCTATAGTAAAAGATAAATACCACTTTTATATGAGTTGATGGGTCGGGTCAAAATTAGCAATTAATCCGAAATTAAACAATTGGATATTTCAAAATTGGATATTTAACTGAGTATGGATATCGGTCAGATACTTTTCCAGCGGTTTATATTATTTCCATATCTAAATTTCGGATTTCCTAATATTTCTATAACTAATTTAAAATAATAAATGTTTTATTATTCTCTTTTAACTTTTATTTTGCAACGAGTCAGAACATGATACACAGTTACACACCACTTAATTTTTAGGGGTCTTAAAGAACATTATTAAATCAATTTTTAACATTAGTACATACAAAGTCTTATTAACAAAATATACTATTCAAATATTGATTAAATTTAATTAATATTACAAATAAATTTTACTGATAAACTATATTAAGTATCAAACTATATAAATCACAGTAATTGACGGGTTATTTTTTTAAACTCAGAATTAAATAGTAAAGCGAGTAATCAATAATATTTTTACGAATGCAATCCGTTACATATTGGTCATTCAAAACATATATCCCTTATAGACATGTGTGATTCGTCATAATCAACTCCATTTATTTAACACCGCTTCATGCACTAACCATACTTGCTACTGTTTTTGGATAATATTCAATACAAACTTTTTAGAAAAATTAGTTACGGAATTAGCAAATTCATGATATAAAAATGATATATTTGTAAAAAACTATATTTGTAAAAAAACAAATCTTAAAATACATTTGTATCACTTAGTAAATTAAAACATATTAGTAATAGTTCGAAAACTTTCCCCCGCGCTGTAGCGCGGGTCCGATTCTAGTGCATCATGAAAATTGCATACTTTAGCAAGTTAATGGTATAAACAAAGAAACAAATGGTAATATCCATTTTGCTAAATGTGCTTCGGCAGTGGCGGACCTAAGTGGGTGGAGGGTGGGTCAGTTGACCTGGGTAAAATAATGAAATACAATGTTTTTGTATGTATATTACAAGAAGTAATAGCAGCTCTGCTGGTTTCCCCCTTATTTGACACCCCCAAAACACAGTTCGATTCCCTTATATCACAATAATATTAGTTTTATTACCCATTTTAACTATTTAAAATAAATTTGACCTCCCTAAATTTTTATCCTGGGTCCGCCACTGTGCTTCGGTGAAAAGATTATTAAAAGAGGGAGACATTATTGACGTCAAAAAAAGATATGTTATAGCTAACACAATACAAAATACATATTATTCTATGTAGTTAAATTTTATCAACTATGATTAGTTTTTCAATAACAGTTTACTATCTTCATAGACTTCATTTATGTAAAAAAACGAATAATTTCAAATGGTACTTATGAAAATATTGTATGAACACATAAACAAATTTAAGAAGGAAAAAAGATTATACATAAACAAAAAAAAAGAGAAGTACTATGGGAATAAATTAAAAACGATAAATCTACTCCTTTTTCATATCATAATTGTTGTTTCTAAGAAACAAGAGAAATGTCACAACAAAGGGTTTGAAATGAGTTCACTAGCTTTATAATTAAACGAACTTATAGGAACATAATCATACAACCTTTATGTATTTAAATGATACGTAATATGAATTATAAACTCACGCGATCAGTATATTAAAGAATAAATAATAAAAGATATGCTGGCAAATATGGCAAAGGAAAGAAAAGAAGAGAAAAAATAAAGCAAAAGGGATTTGGTATGGCAATAATGTGGCTCTGTGTTCCATCGGAGGGACACTTACCGTATCTTGAATATGGCCTAGTAGCCATTGTAAGGGCATTTCAAGTTTTGAGTTTTATTTCATTATATATTAAATCTTGAAATGGTTGGCACAAATCTCGTAAGCATAAACGAATGAGAGAATCGTTACATTTTTCAAGTTAACGAAGTAAGGTGAGATGAGTATTGTGCACGCTTTTAATTTGTACACCTAAATATACTCATAATTGTTATCCTTAAAGGAACTTTGTTTGCTTAAGTGAAATATGTAAACATTGATTAATCATCTACTAGTATCGAAGCCTTATAGTAATTTAATCGTTTGTATTGTTACCGACGTTGCATCGTCACTTACATTCAAATTTCTACGTTGCATGTTTCTTACGGTAAAGTGTATTATTGTAAACGAAAGATATGCATCAATGTAGTTTTAATCAGTTGGAAGACAGGTTTTGAAAATCTTTTAATTGAACAAGCAAAAGTAGTTTGGATGCTAAAAGCCTAAAATCAATGATCTTAAAATAATAATAAATAATAGTAATAATAACGTTGTTTTAGGCAATTTATTAATGCAACGTACGTACCTAAGATGAGCCATTTTAGAATTCTCTATACGTATTTGATTAGTTAAATATAAAAATGGAACTTATGATCGTACGATATATATAAATGGAAACAATAGCTGGCAACTTCTCTTGCATATATTTGCTTGTAAATTATAAAACTAACATTATTGGGAGTATCCCTAAGATATAAGATATTTTCTTTGAAAAATAAGAATATCTTAGGACGACATTTAAGTAAGAAAGTAAGATATTCTCGATAATTAACTAGCTGAAGTTCTAAATAAAAATATTCACCAATTTTTTTTCTTACATTTTCTTAGTATTGGTCTTAACATATGGATGGTGACAAGATGGGCAGGAAAAAACAGAGCCACAGAGGAAGGGATAATCCGATAGGGAACCTGTTACCTGATATTATGAGAGAAAGGTTATAATAGCTAGTACGCCTCCTCGAATCATAGCCTTTTCCAGAGATGAATGCAAAACATCAATAATGGATCTCTTTTCTTCTATAAATATACCAATAATGGAAATTAAATAGGTGAAAAAGGATAATAAGGATCAAAATTCGATTACTGTTTTCAACTCTCTAAGTAAAAAAACACTGGTGCTCCTTTTTTCTTGGGGGGTAGTGGTGGTTATTACTTATTAATCCAATTAGAGCTCCTTACTGATGTCGTTAAGACCAAACCTACCAGAAACATTATTAAGTCCTATATAAGAGAATCTGAATTCATGGTTTTGTCATAAGTCTCTCTTTGTATTTAAGCTAAACCATCTGAACACGTGTTTCTTATTCATTTTTATATGCATATCTAATATCTATCTTCAGAAAATGATTTTTTTTTTCTATTGTTGCGAGTTGCGACCTAACAAGAAACTATCGGTTTAGTCTTTTCTTTTATTTTATCTGATTTTAAATATTAAAGAATCTTAATGTAGAAATACAAAAGCTGTGTCTGCATTTTTAAGTTGTGTCTGCATGTACACAAAACACCAGCAATAAAATTCACGTTAGCTAGGGAAACGCAAGTGGGCAGATTACAAACCTCATCATGAACTAAAGACTAAATACATCTATCATAATTCTAATTTCTAAACCCTTAACCTAGTGAACCGAATATGAATTTAGAACAATATTTACTACGATAAATCCGATTTATAATATAATATACCTTTCTGTATATTGTTGATTGTTCTCAATAAAGTAAAGAAAAGTAAGAGAAATGATCTTGTATGATTGAAATTATGATCTCAGAAGAGACTGATCTTGGTTTGATTAAAATAATGACTGAAGTTTGGTTCACCGTATTAAGACCGTAAAGCTCATTAAGCTTAAAATAGTAATACTAACGAAACGTAATCGTGTGGTTCATATGTGTTCACAATCACACACCGACGACAATATAATGCGAGTGTATCTCTACATTAATAATCAAATTTTATTTTGTCAAATACAAGACCGATTAATTGGGTACACCCACTCAGTGCACGCCGCGAGTTTGATTCCTAGCTATAATTAAATAGTTGGTTGATTTTTTGACAAAACATATCATATCTTCTTCAAATAATGTTTTCATGTAGTTGACGACAAGAAAAAACTATAATGTTTGGTCGTATAACAATTTGTAAAGCATAAACCTACCTACCATTACAGTAGAACAGTAGCTCTGAATAATATAGATGTTGCGATATCAAATTTGAATCATAAAAAGCAATAATAGTTTCTAAACTCCATATTCAAGTAAATAAATTTCCAAGCTTAATAAGAGAGACAATCGAAATAAATATCCTTTTTGGTCTTATACATACACTATTGAATGGGAAAAAAGTGGAGAACAAAAGAAGCGACCATTAAGGAGAAAAGCCTGAAGACAAGGGAAAGAGAGAGCGAGAGGGGCCATTTTGTGCTATGTGCATGTTTGTAACCCAAAGAGTGCTCTTCCCACTTCACATCACTCTTCTATTTCACTATTTGTTTATTTATTTTTACCTGCTATATTGCCAATATTATTGCTTACAAATGAAAAATGTGTATATTATATTATTATATTATTCAACTTTTTCTACTTACTTCCTTTCTATTTTTGTAAATTCATAATACTTTCTTACCATTCATATTTTATAATATATGAATGTATACATAGTACATAGTATAATTGATAATTTGATATATAAAACTGAATGAAAGAATTTAGTAACCGGGTTGATTTCAATATCAAAGATAAGATTATACCATTGAGCAAGCAACCCCCAAAAATGAATACTAGCTATATAAATACAAAAAGAAAGAAATAATATATACTTACGTACACACGAAGATGGATCACATATATCTTAACGAGGGACCTAAGCCACTCAACTACCTCACTTCGACCCGAAAACTTACTCGGATTACGTTCATTGTATGTGGTCCAAATTCACATGTCACTATGACACACATCCACCAGATACGATATTCTCGATCAGTTCACCTCTCTGCACCTAAAAAAACTAATTATATGTAAATATTACCCAAGGGTTCTATTATCTTGTATACCTAATTATGCTTAAGTTAACATGTAAAATTATTGTGTTTATATGATAGAAATCAAATGTGTCCTAACAAATTTGTATGTTTCCTTAATGTAAAGATCATGAAAATTTAAGTAACAAACTCAAAAACAAACACAAATAATGTGTTCGAAACAATGGAAATGTAACATGGTCTATAAATCATGGAAATGTGAACATGTAGATAATATCCTCCGGCTTTTTAGGTCAGTAAAAGCTATTACATCCTTTTTTTTCCAAGTGAGTATCATTGTTGCTCAGATTAATTTGAACACAGATACTTCGATAATACAGCCGGTCTAAAAGATGACGAGTGTATGTATGTGTGTCAGTGTCTCGTATCGTTTGATATAGGGTCAAAATCTGTGATGATGAAGGTGTTTGTGTTATAGACAAGAATGAGGGAGAGAGAGAGAGAGAGGATCCTCGTAAAAAGAAAAAATAAAAATATGGATGGTTGTGATGAAGAGAGAGAGAGAGAGATGATACTGTAATTAATAGGAAGATCCATTCGACTATTGTGGATTAAAAGCATGTTCCCCCGACATTGTGGATTACAATTAAATAGACTACTCGATCGACCGAGCCATATCTTTTTGGTCAATTCCTTTAATTTCCTTTGATTCCTTTTTTTTTTTTCTTTCTCACTACTTCATCTTCACCAATTCTTTGAATCACTTGAGTGTCTTTACTCTTTCCTGTCTTTTATTTGGTCCATTTTTAGTGTTAATAAAAAAAACACAAACAAAAAATAATCGATGACTTGTGGACTCATCATGTTGAGCGTTACGATTGATTTAGACCACTAGTCATTTTTTTTTTGTGTGGATTAAGAGAAGATTTCTTTTGGCATGTTATTAAAAACTCTACCAATGAAGGTTTTAAAATGCAATGTATCAGCTTGCATGTAACTCTTTAGTTGACTTTGGCGTTCAAAAGTAAAAACCCTAAGATATTGTTATTAAACTCGCTTTGTAAATTGTAATAATCTTTGTTTTGTTTCTTATAAAGTATTTTGTAACATTCAGATTGTAACCATCACTCAAAAATCATTGCTTTAACATCTTCAAAACGAAATTTCTCGAGAGAGATAGAGTCCGAATGGTAACTGCGGTTTTCACCGCGAGAGAAGTGCGGTGCGGTTCAAATAGTAACAAAAATATATAGATATATATGTATATGTAGATATTTTGATACTGTTACAACACTGTTGCGGTGCGGTTTTATAATGCGGTATGGTTACCATTCGGAGCCAGAGAGGTAAATATAAAACGCACTAGGCGTCGAGGCGAATGAGAGAGTGACTTTGACGTGTACGTGGAAGTCGATACGAGACGGATCGTATAAGTAGAGATGAAACATGTTGATTGAATCATCGCTTATTGTATATAATATGAGACGACCATGGCAAACAAATCTTTTGCAAGAGAATCGATTAAAATAATATTGCCATGTCGTTGCGACCACAAACCCAACTGGGTTTTTATTTCACTTTTTTTTGGGTGAATTTTTCTCGTATCTATTTATGTCTATGAATTCAATTGGAGCAAATAAAAACAATTTACAATGATAATTAAACCCCAAAAAAAAAAATAGAAAGGCATCTTTGATGACGTCACCTGTATCTCTCAAGATTTTGGCGGGTCCAGTTTCTTCTGTATTCATTTATTCTGGTGAATTTTTGAGACTTGAAGAGTTTTTGGAAATATCATATTATTAATTATGGACGTTCGAAATACTCTTTCTTTTTTTCTGCACAAAAATAAGATAAAAAATATTATTTTTAAGTTTATATGAATTAGATTTTTTTTAAATAGATAGCACATTCTATGATGTTAATTTTCCTAAAGCTTTATTTGGTAATCGTTTACGTAGAAAAACATGGAGAAAAAATTTGTTCATATGATAAAAAAATAAAGATTCAGTCAAAAAAACCTTATACAAAAGTGGAATTTTCCATTTTTTATAAGCGGAAGAAATTTTGTTTTTTTGGTAATATTTACATAATAAAATCTTCCAACTCCAAAAAAATAAAAATATTTTATTCATATTTTTTTTTTTTGGGTCATCATTTAGATGTTGAAGCGGTTGTGGTGGTAGTAGTATATAAAGCAAAGGCCACCTCTTATCTAATCCTTAAAAATCCTATTGTTTTGCTTATTTTTATATATTTATTTGTAACCTTTTGTCTTCTTTTTTTTTTTTTTTCTTTCTCTTCTTCCCTCTGAGCTGTCTTATACAACAACAATATATTAAGAACTTTGCTTTCTCCACAATTCAAAGCTCAATTAGTTTTACTCATATTTCCCTCTCTCTTTTGTAAAGATTTGGTATTAGAAGAAGAAGAAGAAAGAATAAACATTTCAATCAGATCTTGTTTTTAAGTGCTTTATTTTCTCTTTCTCCTCCTATAAGCAAAGTTATAAAACAAAACTAAACGCATCAAATCCCGGAGAAGAAAAAAAAAGTGATTCTTTCTAGTGAAGAAGGGAAATAAAAAATAAAAAAGTCGAAGACTTTACATCTGGGTTAATCGAGATTAGATCTTCTTGCAATGGGCATGGCAGCAGAATCACAGTTTCACGTATTAGCTGTTGATGATAGTCTATTTGATCGGAAACTTATTGAGAGGTTGCTTCAAAAGTCTTCCTGTCAAGGTAATTAATAATAAGATGTTTTTAAATGACAGCAAAGTCTTAATCTTTGTTTGATGTAATCCAAGAAAGATCTAAGCTTTTTTTTTTTTCTTTTGGTGTTTGTAGTAACTACTGTTGATTCAGGCTCAAAGGCTTTAGAGTTTCTGGGTTTAAGACAAGGTATTGAGAGTAACGACCCAAATGCGCTTTCTACGGCTCCTGTTAATCACCAGGTTCGTTCAATTTTGTTCCTTCTAAAATAAAATTAATCAGTTCAATGGTTATCTTACTATTTTTGTTTTTGAAAGAAATGTAAATTTTGGTTCTGAGTGTTTCTTTATTGTGTTTGATTGTGACTTTTTTGGAACAGGAAGTTGAAGTGAATCTTATAATTACAGATTATTGTATGCCTGGCATGACTGGTTTTGATTTGCTCAAGAAAGTCAAGGTACTTGTTTTTTTTTTTTTTTAATCTTTTGGTTTCTTCCTAATTTAATGTATTCCTATCTGGACAAATTGTTTTAGAGAAACTGATAAAGTTTTCATAATTTTCAATAAAGAAAATGAGAGAAAATGTCAATAGGAGATTTCTTTGGAATATTTTCTCTTGTGATTTTGTTTATTTCCTCTCCTTTTTATGCTAGTTGATGTGTACAATTTATTGATGCTTTGATTTATCCGGGACTTTGTTTTTTATATTGCAGGAATCATCAGCTTTGAAGAACATACCAGTAGTAATAATGTCCTCTGAGAACGTTCCTGCAAGAATCAGCAGGTAAGAACAGTGAAAGACTGAATAGTAGAAGTAGCTTTGGCCGCTTTAGATTGTGTTTTTCTCAGAGGAAAATTCTGATGTTATTGTGTCATAATCTGAACAGATGTTTAGAAGAAGGAGCTTTAGAGTTTTTCGTGAAACCAGTGAGATTGGCTGATCTTAACAAGTTGAAACCTCATATGATGAAAACTAAGTTGAGGAGCCAGAAGATGGAGGAGATTGAGAAACCTTCAAAAGACGAAAATGGATCTGTGGTAGCAGCAGTTGTATCAGAGATTAAAGACTCTACAAAAACCGAAATCGAAATCTTGCCTCTGCAACAAGATCCGCTATTAGTACAACAAGGGGAGCAAATGTTGAGCACTAACAACAAAAGGAAGTCAATGGAAGAGGGGATCTCAACAGATAGAGCGCGTCCCAGATTTGATGGTATCACAACTGCTGTCTGATCTATCGCCATGATGCTTCTTTTTTAGAGTTTTGTAGATTGTCGTAGGAATGCATCTGCTGGTACAATACATGGTTTCAGTAAGGAATGCAGAGAGGGGGGATATGGTGATGATGATGTATGGGGATAATGTTTATATGTATATCAGTAAATCTTACATGGTGAATAACCCAGTTCCCAATTTTGTTTCACTCCAATTTTTTACTTTTGGTACAAAGAATCTCAACTTGACTATCTGAAAACGGTATCAAGGATCTGTAGATGTCATCCTATTTGCCAACTGTAGTTTCAATGCAGTTCACAATATTTCTTTGTTATGTATTGATAGGTGCCTGTCCTAGTGAACAAAAAGGTATAAATCTGGTAAATTCTGGTGTCACGGTTTGTTCCATGTTCTTGTTTCTTACCTAACCTAAAACAGAATTTCAGGACAAGTTGCTTACCATGTCCTATCTATTCTCACTTCTCAGATATTTATAAGAGTTATGTTTCACTTTGGAGAAAGATCCGTACTTGTTACATAAATAATTATGTTTTTACTACTTATGTTGGCTTTCAAGCCTATAGTACAGATCTAACCCCAATAAAAAGTACATAACAAATCCACAATAATGATTTTATTGCTTGGTGTGTTTTCGATCACCAGATTATGTTTCATGATTTGTTACATAGGTTCTTACTTCAAGATCCTATGAAACTACAAAAGCTGAGACAAGAACAAACCGAAGCTAAAGAGGACAGGTTTCAAAAGCAATGTCAAGATCAGAGATCAAATCATCAACATCTTCAATTCCTGCTGATATACGGACAAGATCTTCTGTCAAGCCTCTAGCCTCGCGCACTTCTGCAGGTATGCTTGCATGTGACATGAAGCATGGCATGCTTATAAGTGACTTAACACTCCCTGTTGTCAAAGAAGAATAGTGGAAGAGATCAAAATCCAAAACCATCCCAAAGCTTATAAGAGCTTCTTCAGAAAAAACGGAATCTAAGTAATTATTTGAGTCTCACCAAAACTGACAGCTATACTGAAGTATTTGGTGGTTTCTACAATATGCTTTGATAGCGCAACCGATCCAGTTATAAAGCTAAAAACTGATCCTGCACCTTTAGCCTGCATATTTGAAAAGAGTTTTAAATCTTATGTTGAGAACTTATTATCATCCTTTTTATTTTAAGTATATCAGTGAATGCTTTTTAGTACCTGGGAGAAGTGGAGATCATGACCAGGATGATCTGGTAGACCAGCATAGTACACTTTCTTCACTCTTGGATGAGAAGACAAGTACATTGCAATTTTCCGTGCGTTTTCCTGAAGATTTTTGCCATTTACTGTAAGTAATGAAACAACCAAAACAAGAGAGACAACAGCAAATCCAGTTAATTCGAGGGATGTCAAGACCTGTTGCTTTTCTATACGTAAAGCCATTGTCTTGATTCCTCGTAGGCAAATCCAACAGTCGAAAGGAGCTAATCCAGAACCTTCTGCATTTTGGAGGAAATACAACTCCTTTGCCAATCTGGAAAATTTAACAACATTCGATAAGAAAGGCAGATATTTCAAAGAAATGTCTCATATACTTAAAAGCAGAAAATAGAGAAGAGACAGCATACTTTTCGCCTTTTACAGCAAGCACACCTGCCATCACATCACTGTGTCCGGCTATAAACTTAGTAGCCGAGTGCATCACAATGTCTAGCAAGTCAGACAAGTTGAAATATGAGTGTTAAGAAAATAAGAAGTAAATCTGATAATTAAAACAAAACTTTTAGTGAAGTCTGAGTTGTTTTTTTACAGACCAGCTCCTAATTCTAATGGCCGAGAGAGCACCGGTGACATGATACTGTTGTCCACCAACACAAGTGCACCTTGAGCATGAGCCATCTCAGCTATTTTCTACAAACACAGCAAACCATAGAACGGTTTTAATATAATAGCAAGTTAAGCCGATTTCAGCCATGTGGTTTCCGGCTTCAAACTTTGTAGGAACAGAAAATTTACTCGTATATCAGAAATTTGTTGTCTGGGGTTTGTTGGAGACTCAAGCCACACAAGCTTTGTCTGGGGACCAATTGCAGCAGCAACCTCGTCTAAATTAGTTGTGTTTACTCGTCTGCAAGATATCAAATGGAATCATTGCGTTATAACAGTAATAAAAGTAAGTAGATATAAAATTTCTAATGTTAGGTAGCAATACTAACTTTACCACAACGCCAGATCTTGGAACTACTTGGGATAGTAATCTGTCTGACCCACCATATACATCATCTCCAGCAACAATTTCTTCGCCTATGCAAACAAAATCAAATATACTACAACTGAGACCAAGCCTATGCTACCAATCTAAAGGAAAGACATCAGAATTAGGAGAAGTCAATAGATCGAAATTACCATTTTTGAGTAGGTGTGTAACAGCACTAAGAGCAGCCATTCCACTAGTAAAGCAAAATGCTCTATCTGCCTTGTCAAGCTTCGCAAGGAGACTAACAAAAGAAACAACTTTTATAAGAAATGTTAACACATATAAAAATAGCTACTAGGAATTGAGAAGATGGTAAGGTATAATTACCTTTCCAATGCATCCCGTGTAGGATTCCCGCTTCTTGTATAATCATATGGTCCATTTTCAATAGCAGAGGGCTAAAAATAAGCATAAAAACAAGCATCAAGTGACATAATCTTCCCATGAAATACGGAACCATGCTTTAGTACCTGCTTAAACGTAGCTGTTTGGTAAAGAGGAGTGCTCAATGCATCAAAGGGGTCAAATTTATTATCCGAGCTAACCAGTAATGTAGAGATGCTAGCTTCTTCTTTGATGTTCATAGCTGCAAAACATGGAAACACCCATCAATCAACTAAAAAAAACGCCAACTTTACAATTATCATCAATACGATCCACTCCTATAAAAGAGGGTATTCAAGCTTTACTAACCATTTAAGCTGTCTGGGGTATTGTTGACAGTAGAATGAGTTTGTCCATCGACACTTTTCTCCATCACGCAATTCAGCTTGAAAAAGTTACGATTTGGGATCAGCTTCTTCTCCCAAGTTGGAAACTTGGGAATGGAAACACTGGTCGGAGAGTTCTTACTGAGCAAACCCTTCACAGAGAAACGCCATCCATAGACGAAGAGGATCAAATATCACTTAAATTGGTAGATGCCAAAAGCGATATAAACTGGGGAGGAAAGGGATTTAATTTATTTGAATAAATTATATTAAAATAAAGGGCTTACTCGTTCGGAGAGATCAGCGAAGGAAGGTACAAAGGAGGAGCGAAGTGACAGAGAAGAAGATGCCATTTTTATAGGTGAGAGAGATTAGTTGAAGTTTCTTCTCCGGCGTCGATTTCTCGTCTGAGATATTAGCCGACGGGATGACGACGACGACGACAGAGACAGTTCTCGTGCTCAAGTGAAGAGTGTGGAGGAGACGAACGAAGAGAAAAACTGAAGGTACTGTATTGGTTTTAACTTTTAAGTCTCGGATTGGTTTGTTTCGGTTTAATTGGATAAGAAAAGTTCAAAACCGATCTGGTTTAACTCAAAATTTGTCAACTTCTTTAGCTAATCAAATTTTATAGAGGGGAAAAAACGTGGGAAAAGTAGGTAAAACACCTACTCTCAAGTGCCAAAAAAGCTGGCAAAGCACTAATATACTCGTCAGTGCCCCAAAAAAAATGTAAAACAAAAAAGAATTTGATACAAAATTAATTCATGTTATATAGATTTTGGCTACAAGAGAAGAGTTTTTGCGTACTTGGAAGATTTGGCTACAGATCGTCACTACTAAACCAGCACTAGACAAATAATTATGGTCGATGCTTCAATATCTGAAGTCTTAATCCTCTGATTTACTTCTTCCTTCATATTTTAACTGAATCCTCTAACCAAAGTAGTAACCAAAAGAGACGTAGTTTATAAGATAGCTCTCGAGATGTTGAGCAACTTGACCAGACACACACTCTCTCTCTACATATACACAATTGTTTCTTTAACTTCTACTTCCTGACCTCAGGTTTCTCCTAATGCTGCTCGATGACTCTGTACTCTTACTTTCTGATTCGCCTTCTTCACCTGAAAACCTTATCAGTTTACTTAACTCTACCTAACTGTTTCTGAAAATGGATTCAGGAGCTAAAGTTGTGTGAGATTGTTAAAAGATACAAAGATAAGTTTTCACATACCGTCGCTAGTCTTTTGGTTTAAGGAACGAGGATTTGGGGTTCCATTTTCCTCAGAATCTGGCTCGTCCTCCGAGTCAGATGGCTCATCCTCTGAGTCAGATACCTCATTCTCGGACTCAGTTGCAATCAAATTATCGCCTGATTCTTCCATTGATGGATCAACGATTTCACTGTCTGAAACGTCTGAAAAGCACAAAACGGTCCTTTAGAAAACAAGAGAGACTATATGATGTTTTGAAAGATTTCTTAACTGGCATTTGCTTATCTTCAGTCTCAGTACAATGAACTCTGCTTTAGCCAAGAGTAAAAAAATTACTGACCTTCATCTTCATCATATTCTTCTACAGGTTCGTCTTTCACTTTGCTGAGGACAGCAAGAGATTCCATGGTCTTGGTTTTCTCTCTGTGAACCTCAGCATTTCTTGCGGTTTCTTCTTGTTCTTTCTTCTCCTTGTGGAACTTGTTGATCTTCTCTTCAAACTCTTCGATGCAAGCTTTGAGTTCTGGTTTCGCAAATTTCTTTCCCTGTTTAGATTCACAACCAGATGTCAAACTCACATATAGCATGAAAAGTATGGCACGGTTGACAAAAACCAGAGACACCAGACCTTATTGATTATGCTTCTGAAGTTTTCGGTCACCAAATCCTCTGCCAAAGCATGCTCGTAAGATTTGAATGACTCGATAAGTTTTTTTATTCCCTTTTCTGTGAATGTCAGCAGTGAAAGAGAATAGGAAATGTATTCCCACTGTTTTCCATCTGCAAGTTTAAGTGTAGACGTCAAAGTGTTATAGTTTCTATTATACCGAAAGCAGGTGTAAGGATATATCATCAATACACACATACCTGTGACTCCACTAAATCTATTGCAAAGCTTCTCAACCAGAGCCTCCATCTGTTTGTCCTGGAGATTGTTGAACATATAGATGAGGATTGAATAAGAACAAATACTGGTCATACTAACATCGGTATTGATTTAGAAGAGCTATATACCTTTTTGATTGAGCCGATCAAGAATTGCATGACATTACAGAATGACTCCCTCTCTAAACTACGGTTGGATAGCTGCCCAAGTATATCAGGAAGTAGATTGTATATGGGATTCGATCCTGGATTTGTTTGGCAGAAAAGACGCTCATGTATTAAATTTCATTCAAAGGTGGAATATGTCATGCTTAAGTAGATATAAAACTGACCTTTCTTAGACAGTTCATGGAAAAATAGTTTTGCGAGACTAGAGATCCTCTCCACATCATCTTCTATACATATAGCCATTTCATAAATATGCCCTTTCACCTGAAATTACGATTCACAAGATGTAACCTCAATTTATACTTGCAAATATTATAAGAGAGGAAGGAGAGAGGTAAGGAGCCCTACCTTCATCATATCATTCAATATAAGATGTGAAAGGACCAGGACAGCATTTTTCCTGACAGAAACTGAAGCATCCCGTAACCTGGCATACATATTTTCTGTCCAAGGCTCTAAAAGATTAGGAAAACGAACTGCCAAGTCTCCAAGGGAAAGGGTGCAATTTGACCGGACAACATCAGACGGTGCATTTTCAACAACTGTGAAGAGAAGCTGGAGATTGGATTCGCTGGCATACATTAATTTTAACGTATCAAGTAAGTATAAGTTCAGTTTTGTAAAGGATAAAGAGAATATATTATAAAGATTTAATCTCACCAGAAACTTGCATCAATAATCATAAACCTGCATAGTGCAAGCATTGCGGAAGCTTGTAGTTCAGGATGCTGTAAGAATGGAAAGAAAGTTTTATTTGTTATGTCACAAGCTTATAAATTTATCACTCGACATGAAACGGAATAAATGAATGAAAAACCAACTACCTTTTGCAGCAGAGAAAAATTTCTGCAAAGCTTTGACAGAAAAGTTGCACACTCCCCAATCAGATTCTTCTCGCCAGAACCACCAGAAACAATTTCTTTCTCTGCTCTTTCAGCCAGTGTGTCAAGCAGTGCATCATCAGAGGCCGCAAGTCCCAGTTCAGCATTTATGCTATTGTTCTATAAAACAAAGAAAAAATCACATGAGATTACACTAGGGTTGCAACATGTGTGCCACTAGCTTTTCTCTAAGAAAATCAGTATGTACCTCCTGTGTGGTCCCAAGATTTTCATCTGTATTCTGACTTTCAGCAGCCGCTTTGTCCTTTTTGGTCTTCTGCCTCCGGATCTTCTGGATACAAGATTCTATATACACCAACTGGTTCATAGCAATGTGACTGACAGTGAACAAGAATCTACTGAGTTTTGCTATTTGAATTGGAGTCAAAATATCAACTGTACTATTTTCGGTATCAGTCTGTGCTTCATCTTGTCCAACTACATCAAACACAGTGCCCAGGGATTTTTTAATAATAGTAGAAGCCAAGGCTTCTGGAGTTGGGTGGATCATGTATATGGCACTTATGGCTTTATCAGCAGTAGCATAATATATGTTTTCTGGAAGCCAGTTTCCAGTGATCAAGCTTTCAAGAATACCAAACAATCGGCTGCCACTGCTGAGCAATAACTTTTTCCTATCTTCATCAGAAAGCCGCTGAATAGCAGTGCATGCAGTTCTGGCAAGTAGAGGTTCCACTTTTGCCCAACGGCCAAACCCTATATCAAGAATATCCTGTATGTGTGATCCAAGAATCTTAGGAGACAACTTTGCAGCCATGCAAAGGATAGATAGAGCCCCACGACTTTGCTCTGCAGTTGTCCCATTGATGTTAAAGCAAAAGAAGTCCCAAAGAGCCGATACCTGCAAAGAAAAAGGAATGATAGAAGCACTTTTAGCCTCTCGCAGGTGTCAATAACCACACTCATTACTTTTTAGTTGTTCATGATCGTGCATAAGCAGAGGACCCTAATTCATGGCATACTAATACCGCTGGAGTCACAAAAGGATCTTACCGTACTGCTAGATATTTCGCCTTTTGACACTAAAGCATTAACAATAAACTCAAGTGCTGCCTGATCTCCTATATTCGAATCTATGGCAAGGTTCAACAGCTGTTTTGCCGTGTCAATTGGATTTTTCCTTATGTAGATTGAGATGAAAGCATTCTCTACTGCCTCATAGATAGACTTATCCTGAGAGAAGGCCTGCAGAGACAGCGGAAAACAAGGTTTTTAGCACAGTGTATTAAGGGGATGTTTACTTAAAAATTTCAGAAGAAATGAATTCTTATGAATTATGATACATAATAAACCAACCATACCAGAGGCAGAATTTTACGGAGACAAGCTTCTGCGCCATCAATTTGGAACTGCTTACACCTCATCAACAAGAGAATAGCATTCTCAACATCAGTGGCAGAAGATGAAGCCATTAATTGAACGAGGATCGGCATACTAGCTGACATGCACTTCGAGAACCTCAATCCAGCCTCAAGGGAAGCAATCAAGGCCTTAGTTTGCTCAAGGTTGCCAATATCTGGAACAGAAACATCCTTTTCACTGATTTCTTCTCCATTCTCTTGCTGACAGCTATCAGATAGACTATCTTGATGCATCTTATTGGTGGCTTCGAGATGCAATTCATCAATTTCACCATCTCCACTACAGGAGTCAGCAACTGAAGTTGCCTCTTTTGATGCATGCTCAGTAGGGAGGCTTGGTTCAAGCTCGTTCAATTTTCTTTTATACTGCTCCAGGGTTGCTTCAAATGAAGCTATCCGAAGCTGTGGACCAAAGGGGTTATGTTGCAACATTGTGATCAGTAAATTCAGTGCGGATTTTCTAACAATTGCACTCTTATCTTCCAGTCTTCCAGCAGATATTGATGCAATCTCGTTCCATAGGCCAATTGAAACAGAATGCTCCTCACAAAGTTCAGCCCACACCTGAAGAACTCGGCTCCTTGTATAGGCTGAAACATCTCTACATCGTTCGAGCAAAATTTCCAACATAGCTTGCTTAGTTCGTAGACGAAGGGACTTGGAACTCATATCTCCCTCGACATCATTAAATGCTTTTGCAACTAATTTTCCAAGAACGCCAACTAGTGCGTTTCTTATCTTGTATGATTCACCACCAAAATGAGGGACCAAAACTCCAACATTTGTCGACATTAGTTTTGGCAAATGATCAGCAAGCTCGACCAAGAAACGTCCCACATTATCAGCCCCAACTGTATCTTTAACATAGGATTTTGGGTCAGTCCTTCCAATATCTCTAATGATTGTCACAGCCAGCGTACCATCTGAATACTTAGTTTCAGCTCTAGCAACTGCATCAGCAACATGGACAACAGAAAAATCGTATTTGTGTATCAGGTGCATGATTGAGGCACATGACTGCACAATGTAATGGTATTTTGTAGCAGATGCTCCAATGATGCGGCACAGTGCATCTTTTGCTTCAGCATCTTTTAAGATTGTGGCATTCTCAAAAAGAGTGAAGGAGTTTCTACAAGGCAGTAATATGAAAAAGTTGTGAGAATGTATCTTTAACATGGAGTATGAAAGATAAACCAGATACATTAGGTCACAGAAATTACTTGACAATGAAAGAGAGGTAGTTTTCGTCCAGGTCTGATGATCCAAAGAGCAAGGATAGGTTGATCTCAAGAGAATTTGCAATCAAATTGAGCATCCTACCCCTCTGAGGTTCCCAGTTCCATGACTGGACAACTTGCTTTTTCCTCCCTCGGGCTGTAACCTGTTCGATCCACAACATCAATATCGTAAAGGCGACAATAAGAGATGAATTTTATACTGTGAGATATTTACATTATCAGCTGGGTAAAAAAAAAAGAGAAAATACCTTTGTGCTGTCGATGGAGCTGATGTGTGCCTCTTCAGTCATAACAATAGTGAGGAGAAAGAAAGTATATATTTTCAAGGCATTGCGATGTGAGGTGATCCTATCAATGATTGGAACTTCATCCTCCTGATCCGGAACAGACCGGGAGATCGAGTCGACATTGGGAAGAAGAACACTTAAATTGGACCTGAGGCTTTCTACAAGATTGCACTTGCAAGATGGAGGAAGACTGAAGAAGTTCCTGACCAAAGAGTAGACACGATCAAAAACATCTTGATCTTCGACGCAGAAGAGTTCTCTATCAGATAAGTCAAAGGAAACACCTGCTCCACAAGAAGACAGTCAACAAAATGCCACACGTATCAATCAACAAGAGTCATACCACATTAAATTCCTTTTCTTAGCACAAAATCTACTCCTAACGATACTTAGATACTCAAATCTGTAGACACCAAGTTTTGAATGAAGTCGTTAAAATTCAATTTCGATTTGCTTCTTTGTCTGAAGCACTGCAAATTCGAATCTGTAACACTTTGCAACAGAGCCAGAGAAGAAATTTGAGCTTCCGCGCCTAACAGGATAACAAATCTCCCGACTTCACTTTAAAATACACGAATTGCCGCTACCAATTGACACACCTGACGACTCGAGTGACTTAATGACTATTTTCACAATGCAATTTCCGCTCAAATCGAAATGACAAAATCAAATCTTCAGCCTCTCGGAATGAAACTACTAAATGTCTACCGAATTTCTCAAAATTCACACATAAAACTGACGAAGACAACCCAAAAAGAGTATTGTTACCTTTGACGAACTCTTCAAGATCGGAAGGGCGAAGAGAGGTCACATCGACGATATTTTGAGCGAAGAGGCGGTGATTGTCTTCCGGATCTTCTTCTAGGGCTCGCAGAATTTGAGGGAAAACAAAGGGAGGAGCCATTTCTCTATCGAGAGAGAGACGTTGCTCAGAGAAGAGAGAGAGAGAGAGAGAAATCGACTTTTGGGGGAAATGCAAATTTCAAAATGAAATTGAAAATGGCAACGGAGCGGGAGTTCATGGACCACCATATCGACCTATCGGGTCGGGTTCCAAATAACGAATCCGGGTTGGGTCCTAATTATTATTTTTTTAAAGTCTCGAATTAATTAATTTATTATTAATTTATTAAAGGCATTGATGACGATGCGTTTCCCGTCGACCTGACTGGCCCAAGACAAGGACGTAGCTGGTAAATCAATGAATTAAATTTATACACGTGGCTAAAACTAAATGGTTGGAGGATCCTTGAGTGTACCGAATCATCTTTTCGATTATTATTTTATTTTTATTTTTGTTTCCAAAGCTTTTGGGCCACTCTCCAATGGCTTCTCCGGCTAATCATTTGATCTAACAAAAAGAGAGAGAGAGAGAGAGGGAAGTCGAAAAGCTTGGAAATGGCGATGCCGCTGGGCATGGCGATGTATCTGATGAGAATGGTTTGGTTATCTCTGAGTGGTTGGGTGTTCACTTGCGTGGCTATCGCCGACGAGATCGCTGGTTCTCTAAGAAACGGAGATATTGGTCCATTCCATGTGGGATGATCCAATTTCCAGATTCTTTAGCTCTCCTTCTCTGCTGTGCGTTAATCTTCTTTCCTATCTCCCAAAGTTTACGTTTTTTTTTTTTTTTTTTTTTGGCTCTGTTGTTTTCGATTAGAGTCGCTTAGAATTCCCGTACAACCATCAAAACTGAGAATAGTTTGGGTTAATAGAAGACAAATTATATATCATATTTGTTCGAACTACGACTTGGAAGTGACTGAGTATATGTATGAGTCACTACTCAGTGTGTGTGTCTGTAACTAATGTTCTGCTTCATTTATGAGACTGTATATATCTTATGGTTTCCATGGATGTTGGTGTTGCTTGTTTCCTTGTTAGTTGGCTCAACTCCGAGTCGAGATTTTCTTAACCCAGCAAAATCAAGATGTATCTGGTCTTTGTTTTTTTTGTTCTTGTGATGAGTAGAAGGATTTTTCAGGATCATTCATATGATCAGATCAATTTCTCCCTTCTCTATATGAGACAGAAGAAAAGTGAAATCAGCTTTAGTGATATGATCTATCGGCTTAAGTGATTGCCGTGGAAAACAGTTTTAGGAAGAGTTTCCCGAGACCTATAGGAATAATTGATAGCCTTGAGAAGAGAATTTATTCCTAAGGTCATGTTTGTTAATCCCAATTTGCATATGCTGAATCCAAGATACTATCCTTTTTCTCTTTAGCTTACTAGCATTGTTTTGCACTTAGGCCTTTCTGATTTCAGGAAGGGCATATGCTTCAGTAAACACCAGCGCACATCAACTGAATTTGCTGTCGAGTCCTTCTAATGGTATGCAGGCAAGGTTCTACACTATGATACTTATCTATTGTATCGAACATTTGGACAGAGAGAAAGAGAGGAGACAGAGAGCTGAGTAGTATAGATTAGGTGTAGTAGAGTAGTTCCACACCATAAGTGAAACCTGACCTCATACGTGTTGGAAACGGTGAGTTCAATCAATTTTCACGAATCATGTAGCCTCTTTTGCTTGGAAGAATCACACAGAAGAAGAGGAATACTTTCCTTTGAATTTACTTGTATATTTTTAGCTCATTAAATAACATCCAAAAGAAATCTATTTCATTTGAATGGAGAACCAAACTTTATTGGTCTGCCAAGATCCACCTCTAAAACTATTGAGCTTTCCTCTTTGAGTAGCTTTTGTCTTATGCATATCTTCCTCATAGCCTTTGTAGTGTTGTGTTTTGAATCTTGAATCTTTTCTCCTTCCCTTATTGAAAAGAGTAAAAGACAAAGTGCAAAGTATCAAAACAAATAAAGAAATCGTCATGGAGTTTGCCGAGTATACTTTCTCCTTCTATGTTTTCCTCCATGTTATTGTGTTGTTTATGCGTTTAAATTAAAAAATGTGGTCCAATTAATTTTTTGAAAACTAACATGTATTGAAAATCATATTTAAGATAATGCCAATATGTAACAGCAAAGCACCTTGCTTTCTCGTGGGGATATATGAATCTACAGCTTTCTTTCATAATCTTTCTCAAATCATTACAAGGACTAGTCAACTAAATAGTACCAGCTAGCAAAACATAACATCGTCTTAGGAAAGAAAAGGTATGCGCAGATCAAACAAACACAAGTGAAGATAATAATGTTAGTTTTACATTCTTTAATCAAGTAAAGACTAGTTCCAAACTTCCAATAAGACATTAAAATATGTAAAATAACAAATCAGATATAGAAACTTTCCCTAAATTTAAGGATTAAATTATTCACGTGAATACTCCGTCTCTAGGTCCAATCTTGAAATTTCACATTTCAAACCTTTATTTTAATTATTAAAGATTGTTTTATTCATTTTGCTTTTTTATAATAATTTCATCAAAGGGATAAGTTTTTAAATAAATTTATTTCTTATGTAAAATAAAAGTAATAACTAAAAACATTATTATAAAAATCTTTAGATGCTGTATTTTGCTTTATCAACTATTTTATTATTTTCTCCCATCTTATCAATAAAGATTTAGCAGTTATGTAGATCATGACATTTTTTTTCATTTAATAATCCGTGTCTCCTATACTTTAATTTATATTATAAATGTTTTCATAGACACAACACAACACACACGAAGGTTCTTGGAATTGTTTTCGTTACACAAATCAAAAAAAAAAAAAAAAAAAAAAAAATCAAAATCGCGAAAACTGGGCGTTCCGAATAAATCAACATCAAAGCATCTCGTTCGTTTCTGTTCTTGTGCCATTAAATTTTTCACCATCTTCCACCTCCAACTGCACTAGACAGCTATCTTCCACCTTCCTTGTCCAGATTTCTCTTTTCTAATTCTCTCTATCTGTCATTTCCCTGAAACCCAAAACAATCTCTGAAGAAACCAGAAAAAAAGGGAATCAAATCACAAAAAACCTATTTTAAAATCTCAGTGTTGACTATCAATGGGTTCTTCTGCTTCAAAGACCGCTTCTTCAGTTTCTTCTACTTCTTCTTCCTCTGCTAGGTTTTCTTCACCGCCGACCAAATATGGCTCCGGTTCATCGTCTCCGGCGGTGCAGAGAGCTTTTTCGTTTCCGACCCCGTTGGTTCACCATCCTCCGGCTAGAAAAGGCGACACTCATCACCTCGTTTCCCTCACGTCTACCTCGTACGGTTCTCTTCTCCTCATCGATGAATCCAAAAGCTCATCCGACCAACCTTGTATCTCAATCGCTGGGAAGAACGCACCAGATCCGGTCTCTCCTGACTCTGTCATAAACACTTGGGAGCTTATGCATGGCTTAGACGACGAATTCGAATTCGAAATCCCCAAACCCGGTAAGCGTGATTCCACTCTAAATTCGGATTTTTGCTCCAACCCCGACCCGAATCGGAATGTGGGTTTAAGTGTGTCTGCGTCGAAATTGGACGAGTCTTACGAGTTTGTGAGAATCGAAGAAGACGATGGTGATTGGGTTCCGTTGTCTTATAAACCTAAGCAACCTTTATGGAAGCATTTGTCTGAAGAATCATTTCTATCTGATTTAGATCCCAGCATTGTCTCATCTTACAAGAAAGCTTTGTCTTCTAAACAATTAAGCAATCAGCCTAACTCTAGGAACCCTCTTAGACCTACAAAATCCCTCTCTTGTAGCCCATCATCGAATCCAAACCCGTCTATCTTAATCAGCGACGCACCAAAGTCTGTATCCTCTAGTCAACTGATTCCATCACAGGTTAAACCGAGAGTACCCGGAAAAGAAGACAAGATTGTGCTCTACTTCACATCACTCCGAGGTATTCGAAAGACATACGAGGATTGCTGTTGTGTTAGAGCGATATTGAGAGGGCTTCAAGTCACTGTAGACGAACGCGACATCTCCATGGATTCCAAATATAGGAAAGAGCTTCAAAGTGTGCTTAGCGCAGCAGAGAAACCTGTTTGTTTGCCTCAGGTGTTTATAGGAGAGACACACATTGGTGGCATAGAGGAAATTATGCAGCTAAACGATGGTGGGGAATTAGGAGAGATGTTGAAAGGTTTCCCTGCTTGTGAACGCTTGGGGACATGCCGAAGCTGCGGGGATGCAAGGTTTGTGCCTTGTACTAACTGTGATGGTAGCACCAAAGTGTTTGAAGAACAATATGATCGGTTCACTCGATGTCCTAAGTGCAATGAGAATGGATTGGTGCGTTGTCGTGGGTGTTGTGTTTGATCAGAAGCTGTGTGGGTGGGAAATGGGATTTAGACTTGAGTTATGATGTGAAATTGTGAAGAGAAGAAGAGAAAGAGTTGATGAATCTTTGACTAAAGATGATAATTTGGTTAGTATTGTATATTGTTGAAATAAGTAAGTGGCTCAAGCCTTTTATGATTATTACTCTCTTATGAGTTTATGTTCTTTTGTTCCATAGTTGTTCTTGCTCTTGACCCTTTTAACATTCTGAACTAAAATGACTATTATTACTATATTATAAGTACATAAAATGGTACATGATTATGGGTATAATTCCCATGATAGTGGCATGATTTGTTTTGTTAGCAAGGTTTTTAGTTTTTACCAATGAAAAATACTATGTGCAAGAAGAATTTTTATTCAGTAAGTAATACAATTGTTAATGAAAGTTTATGGTGAAATTGCTATTTTATTCAGTTTACATTAAATTTTATTGGCTAATATAGTAATATCAGTACAAAATCTCAGGTCAGTGAAAATTACTTTTCTTCTTTCTGTTATAAAAACGACATCGTATCAATGGCTTTAAATCCCATCATTGTACTCTAGTTTGCTCAGACAAGGGCAGACAAAATGGAGGTGAAAGAGAACGGGACAGCTCCGCTTCCGTGTCTGAGCAAATACGTGGATCCATCGAGTGAAGAGAGTCATAGATACTATCTTGCGCGGCGAAATGCTTTGGTGATGCTCCGAGACAGAGGCTACGACGTCTCCTCCGAAGATATCAGTCTCTCCCTCGACGATTTTCGAAATGTTTACGGCGAACGTCCCGATGTTGACCGTCTCCGTATCTCTGCTAAACACATCTCCGATCCTTCCAAAAAGGTTTATTAAACTATTTCGCATTCGCTATTGATTTTTTCTTCTTCTAGAGGTTATTGCCTTTGCATGTCGTGGGGTTTACTGTTTGGCTGTGAAGAAGATGATAGAATATCAAATTTGGAATCTTTTCATTGCTTATCTTCGAATTGAAGTTTTCATTGCTACATTTTTTGATTAAGGTAGCTAAAGTTTAATACTTTATGGTCCTTATCAAGTAGTTTGCCTCATCTGTTTGTCATCTAAGACTTTTTAATGTGATTTTTTTTCTGGTAAAAGATTTTAGAAGTGACTAGTGATTCTTAAATCTCTACTTCTGGCTATGAACGTTCTTACAATATATTGACACGGAGTGCTTGATGTAATCTCTAGATCATGGTCAAATGTGATAGCTGCAAGTCCCCATGTTTGATTGTAGGGTGAAAGAAATTGCCTAAGAACGGTTAAGTTGATGGCTTTTGCAAGTCCCCTTTTATGCTCTTGGTCGGTTGGTTTCATGTTGCCTCTGAAATTGGGATGCTTATTGTGATAGGCATGCTTGTCCTGTTTCTATGACTAGTCCGATTTCATAGAAAGATTGTTACCTTCTTGTTTTATGGCATATAGACAGAGATCTCATAGCAATCCTCTGGACATAATAAGAGTGTGTTATTGGCTTAAAGGGTCTGGTTCAAGCAATTTGTAATTTTGCTTGTTCAGGTAAAGATTGTCTTTTTTAGTGGCATGGTTAAAGTCAACGCAATCCGTAGTATAGCGGCGGATGTACTCAGCCAAGAAACCATAACCGGGCTTATAATAATTCTGCAAAGCCATGTAACCAATCAAGCCTTGAAAGCCATCGAACTTTTTCCATTCAAAGTCGAGATATTCCAGGTTTTTACCTCTTCCTAAGCTAATTAGTCTTTGTACAACTTGAAATCTATAACATCCAGCTTCTTTCTTGCTGTCTTGTTAAGATAACTGACCTGCTAGTCAACATAACGGAACATATACTGAAGCCAGAACATCGAGTTCTGGATGATAAACAGAAGAAAAGGCTTCTGAAGAAGTTCAGCATCGAGGAAAAACAGGTACACTATCCATTTCTTGGAGCTTAATAAATGTTTATCTTCTCACCCTTCTAACTGTTCATTCTAAAACGAATTTTAAATAGCTTCCTCGGGTTTCAAAGAAAGATGCGATCGTCCGGTACTACGGATTAGAGAAAGGGCAAGTTGTGAAGGTGAATTACAGAGGTGAACTCACACATGTTGCCTACCGATGTGTGTGGTGAAGTAACCAATGAAAAACCATCACGTGTACTTATTTTCAGAAGTAAACTTTAAAACCAGTGAAAAACCATCTCGTGTACTTATTTTCAGAAAAAAATATTGTATGTTTTGTAAGGTTTTGTTTTTCATCCTAGACGATCCTTTGCTTTGAACACAAGAAAAAGTTAACAAAAATAAAACGAAAGATCCTTTGCTTGTTCTTGACAACATTTCCACTTATGTCTTTCCGTACAAAGAGCAGTTGCTTCAAGCTATCAAAAACACAAAAGCCATGGAGACACCACCATTTCTTCAGAAGTTCGAGGACCATCGAAGCTCATTGATGGATCGGTTCGAGCGGTTATCTTTCGAGGCTCATCTCAACAATGCCTTGCTTGGTCGGAGCCTATCCGCTTCGGGTTTCTCTTTGATGTACAGTGGGGACTTCGATGAATCCCCAAAACATACGGCTGCTCCGGCTTGCCAAGGCCGACGAGGATCAGGTCTGAAGAAGCTATTAAAAAATCTGATAAAACCAATTAGAAACTGTAGCAGACGAATCAGCAGAGGAAGAAAACAAGAAACTCATGATTTTGATCCAAAGAGTTTCAAGAAGTGGCAAACTTTCAGCAAATCTGTCCGATTGTTTTGAAGTTTTTATAAGTCTGTTGTATGTTTTCTAAAATGATATATTTATATTTTAACTAGCTCTGTTATGTCTTTTTAAACAAAAATCATCACCAAATTTGTTGACAAAAAAAGTACGAACTAAATTGTGAAATTTGCTGCCTAAAACTTTAATCAACAATAGTAAATATTATCCATTAACATAAAATATGCCAATTAAATTAAACATATATCATCCAAATTGCTTCATTGAGTTAAAAACTCCATATTTGAAACAGTAATTCACAACACAATCGCATTGGTTAAAATTTTGTTCCGTAGGGTTTAAACAGAAGATATGGGGTACATTTGGGTAAATCTAAAAATAAAGGGGTGTTATTGATAAGTTCAAGAGATAAATATTCGTTTGTTTCCCTGAGCTTGGGCAGCAAGTCCATATATCTCCTGAAGAAACTCTCCTTAATAATTAAGAAAGCGAGACCAGAAACGAAGTCCACCACATTAATCAAAAAGCTCAAAATCGTCTGCCTTCAATGGATGCTAAGATCGCACAGTTTTTTGACTCCGTCGGTTCCTTCTTCAGCGGCAACGATAAGATCCCTTGGTGCGACGGAGATGTCATCGCTGTAAGTTTTTCTGAAATCCTTTATCTCTTGTAGGCAAATGGAATCACGAACTGTATGCGAAAATTTAGAACTGTTTTTGTTTGTCAATTTCTGAAATTGGATTTGCTTTGTCGAAGATGATTAATTTGATTTTTGGATTCGAGGGCCTTTGAATCGAGAGCTTTAGAAGTTCCATGAGTAGTAAATTTCGTCTTCAAGTGATTGTGATTGCTGAGTTTTTGCCCCCTACGTTGGATCCGTTTTTTTTACCTTTACCATGGGTTTTGTTTGATAGCTTTGTATTTTCTTCAAACTTGCTTCATTAGCTAAAACTCTGTGTTTTTTATGTACAGGGATGTGAAAGAGAGGTTCGCGAGGCCACAGATGCTGGCTCTGAAGATCTTCAGAAAGAGTGCTTAATGCGATTGTCGTGGGCTCTTGTTCATTCCCGTCAAACGGAAGATGTGCAACGAGGAATAGACATGCTTGAAGGTAGCAATAGTCCTATCTTGTTCTATGCAAACCATGGCCTGAAAGATTGTTTTGGCTGAAATTTTTAGCAATGGTTTTGACCCAAGATGGCTGAAGTTTTTTTTATCATTTAAACATGAGGCTGATAAAAAATTTGTTGTTGTTGTTGCAGCATCTCTGGAAAACAGTGCCGCTCCTTTAGAGGAACGAGAGAAGCTCTATCTTCTTGCTGTTGGATGTTACAGAATTGGGGATTACTCAAAGAGCAGGCAGCTCGTGGACCGCTGTATCGAGGTCTCATCCAATTCCTAATCCTTTTCTTTATAGGCAACTTGTGCTTGTATATATATGCAACTTGTTTTGCTCTTTGATGGATGATTTGGTTTCCATAGATGCAAGCTGATTGGAGACAAGCTTTGGTCCTAAAGAAGACCATTGAAGACCAAATCACAAAGGGTAAGCCACTCCTCAAATTTAAACACATGAAATGATAGTTCTAGAGAAGACTGCAAATGTTAGTAACAAAATCTGAGTTGAACAACGTCGATACCTAATGGTATTTTTTATATATATTCTCAGATGGAGTTATAGGGATAGGCATCACAGCGACTGCCTTTGGAGCCGTAGGTCTCATAGCTGGTGGTATCATAGCGGCGATGTCCCGCAAGAAATGAACACCACAATCACGACTTCTTCTATGTGCATACGATGGCAGCTTACGTTTTTACAAGTTCTGTTTTCCTCTTTGACAAAACTGTTTTTATTCCAGTGCTTGCTTCACGATTTGAATAACTCTTGAGAGTTTTTTTATAATATGTAGAAGCCTGAGTTGGATGTTTCACCTTCCCTTCAAAAGGATATTACCATTTCTTCCCACAAACATAATGCTAATTACCACTGCTTCAAAATTTGAGCTCTTTTATTCACGGATTTATGTTCTCAGACTGCAATGCCGTTTGCAAATGCGCAAGGCCTTGTGATGATACCGCCACTATCTTGCTTGGTTAGATTACCCGCCGAGATTTTGCTTCTACGTTGCAAGAATATGATTAAGGGTGTGTCATCTTGATGTCCAAATAAATGTTTTATGTTTCATTAGTGAAACTAGGTCTGTTGAGATCAAGCCCACAGACTTCTTTTTGTAATATGGTCTGAAAACAATTGGGCTTTATTTACTTTTGAAAGGACATCGTTTTAAAAACCTTTTGCCTTTTTTCCTGAAATACAACTGAAACGACGTCGAAAGACTCGAAACACTAAAAGCACTGATAATTTCCGACAACTGTTCGTGGTTTTATCGGTGACCAAAACCGAAACCGAAAGCTTATCCCCGGCCACCGTAATTCAGAAAACGAAGAAGGAAGAAGAAATCTAGGTACGTATGTTCATCTTGTCGCCACTGAATGGATTCGTCGGTTCGCTTTTGGTTCCATTTTTTGTGATCCGTGAGAAGTAGATTTGATTAGGTTTATTTGGTATTTGAGCTATTTCGTTTTAGCGTGAAATCATAGATGCTATGTCTTTAACTCACACGCTTATTGAAACCATAGATGTTTTGATTTATTGTTCAGCTGGCTTACTTGGTTTTCAAAATCCTCGATGACACGAGTGTAATGGGGCTATACTGTAAAGAAATTGTTTAATATTCGCCGCTTTGTTTAGTGAATAAAAAAAGAGAAAAGTCAATGTAAAACTATAAAAGGTTTAAGAACCCTAAACAAGTGGAGTATATTTTTTCTCCTTCTTCTTCACGTCTCCGATAGTTTAATTGAGATTCAGTTACCTTCGCCGTCGTCATTGTTTGGATAGTCATTGACTAAGACTTTCTGCTTTGCTCTGCAAATATGATGATGATTTTGGATGTTTTTTTTTTTTTAACCTGAATTGGTATCTGATTTGTGCTCAGAGATGGAGGCGGGAAAGATAGAGTTGAGATTGCACAACACGATGACGCAACAGAAGGAAGTGTTGATCCCAATCAACCCTGGAAAGATCGGAATGTATGTCTGCGGCATTACCGCTTATGACTTCAGCCATATCGGCCATGCACGTGCTGCCGTTGCCTTTGACGTCCTCTACAGGTTCTCTACTTCTTGTTATTGGCTTCAACTCTATCAAGTTCTGCTGTTCAAAATGTTGTTTTGGATTGAATCTGTTAAACATGGCTTCTTAAATCAGACTTTCTGTTATCACCTTAGACAGATAATTGCTAGTTTGCCTATGGTTGGATTCGTCTCTGATAACATAAAACTGGAGATTTGGATCATTAGAGTTGGTATTTATCTGTGTAGCTCTTACTGCTTGTGCAGATACTTAAGGCATTTGGGTTATGAAGTTACTTATGTACGGAATTTTACTGACGTTGATGACAAGGTATGCGACTTTGTCCTCTTATCATTTTTCTGAATCTTGGGCACCTGAGCCACGACTGCAATGAACACTTTGAATATAACAAGCATCCTCTTCTTTATACAGTTTGAATGCTCTTCTGATTTTCTTGTGAACATTGGTCTATTCTTTTTTCCCTTTTATTCTTCTCTTTGTTGGCTTATTCCCACTTGTTTAAGATTGGATTCACAGCATTCTAAAGTCTTAAGTACTGATCTGCGCAGGTAATTAAGAGGGCTAAGGAGTGTGGAGAGAACCCCTTAGATGTTAGTAATCGTTATTGCGATGAGTATCTTGTAGATATGGCTGCTCTTCAGTGCCTCCTTCCCACCCACCAGCCTCGTGTCAGTGACCATATGGAGCACATAATAAAGATGATAGAAAAGGTCTGCTGTCTTCTTTCTTCTTATCTGGTTCCTTCAATACTGTTGGTTGACTGATGTGATATAAGGATGAAAGCCATAATTCTCAGTAAGGTTTATGATCCATATTTGTCATTGTTTCAGATTGTTGAGAAAGATTGTGGGTATGTAGTGGATGGTGATGTGTTCTTCTCAGTTGATAAATCACCCAATTATGGTCGATTATCTGGGCAACTGCTGGATCATACTCGAGCTGGTGAGCGTGTTGCTGTTGATCCAAGGAAGCGCAATCCTGCTGACTTTGCCTTATGGAAGGTTTGACATGTAAAATCATTTTGTTGAACTTTTTCTGAGTCAGTAAAATATAGTTTTGGAGTTTATGCTGAAATATATGCAGGGTGCAAAATCCGGTGAACCAAGTTGGGAGAGTCCCTGGGGTCCAGGAAGACCAGGATGGCACATTGAGTGTAGTGCAATGAGTGATCATTATCTGTCTCCGAGATTTGACATTCATGGTGGTGGTATAGATCTGAAATTTCCGCATCATGAAAATGAGATCGCCCAAACATGTGCAGCTTGTGAAAATAGTGGTGTGAGTTTCTGGCTGCATAATGGGCATGTCACCAACAAAGAAGTGAAGATGGCAAAAGCACTGAATAACTTTTTTACAATTAGAGATGTATGTTTCTTATCTCTCACTGTTCCAGTATCATAAACTGAGGCCTCCATAAGTGTGATTTTTTCTCATGGCTGATGCAGTAATTGTTGGATCTTTGTAGGTCACGGCCGAGTATCATCCACTGGCTCTGAGACACTTCTTGATGACTGCACATTACCGGTCTCCTCTGAATTATTCCAAATCACAACTAGAGAGTTCGTCTGATTCTTTATATTATATTTATCAGGTACGCGTTTTCACAATTTGATTACCTTCTAAGGGTTGCAATGTTTTTTAATTAATAACTCTGATCATCTCCTGTTTATTTAGACATTACAAGACCTTGTTGAAGCTCTGTTTCCATATCAAGAAGCATTAAAAAATGACAATGGAAAGGCTGAACAGACTTCAGAAGCCAAAGACATGATCAATAAGGTGAGAAGCGAGTTTGAAGCAAAAATATCAGACGACTTGAACGCATCTCCTATACTGACAGGGGCGTTCCAAGACGCGATGAAATACATCAACGTTTCGATCACCAAGCTCAAGAAAATGCAGGTGAAGCAGCGGATGTCGCTGCTTGTCTCGCTTCTCGAGGTCGAGAAAACAGTGAGGGAAATTCTTGATTTGCTTGGTTTGCTCTCTACACTGAGCTATGCTGAGTTTTTGAAAGAGATGAAAGAAAAGGCATTAGCAAAAGCAAAGATGGGAGAAGAGGAGATTTTGCAGAAGATTGAAGAAAGAAGAATTGCAAGGAAGAATAAAGAATTTGAGAGAGGCGATGAGATTAGAAACACTTTGGCACTTGCAGGGATCTCTCTCATGGATGTTCCTGGAAAAGACACTCAGTGGAGGCCTTGCTTGCCCCAGTCTCAGAGCGACTCTACCCAAGTCGTCGACACTACAACTCCATGATATCATCCTATTGCTTTTGACTCTCTTCTTTTTAAAGCCTTTATCACTTCCCTAAACCCTGATTTAGTTACAAACTCAATCAAAGTTGAGCTTTTTGTGATTTCACTGGAATCTGTACTTCTTAATTCCTTGCACTGGAACAATCAAATTTGAGACTTTGGGGTTTTCATTGAATTTGTAGCTTTTAAGTTCTCGCATAAGCAAATGAAAGTGAGACAAGAAAGAGAACTATAAAACAGTACCAATTCAATAAAGTGCAACTATTTTAGGATTTTCTCTGACCACGAGAAAGAAAAAATAAGGAAATTACTCTCTTTAAATTGTTGCAACGGTAAGTTCCCTATAAACAAAAAAAAATAGCGAATATAGGCTCCGAATGGTAACCATACCGCACTACAAAACCGCACCGCAACAGTGCTGTAACAGTGTCAAAATATCTACATATACATATATATCTATATATTTTCGCTACTATTTGAACCGCACCGCACTTCTCCCGCAGTGAAAACCGCAGTTACCATTCGGACCCATAAAAACCATAAAATCATAAATTATATGATGATGATGAGTCTCCATCACATCCTTGACTTTTGTAATTAGGCCGCCTAGCACCACCACCAAAACATCTCCATCATATATTGTTTTCCCTTTTGTTTGCGACAAAAAGATCTTGACCATACACAGCTATCGACTGAAATATTCTCTCTAATTCAAAAAGCTAGATTTTTAAGAGTATCCTTCAAAATATCTTACTGAAGGCACATTGAACTCAAAATGCTTTTAAGTGTGTGTTGCATTCATTAAAGTATTTCATACGTTACGAACGTTGTTACTTCTTACTAAACTTATTTTGTTTGTGCCAGATACCCAAAAAGAAAACAATGTCTCAACTTGTCTGAAGATAATAAACCCAAATAACAGCATAACATGGAGTATGTTAGAAAAGAAAAAAAAAGTCTTTGTCATGAAACACCAGAGTATTTGGGGTTGACTTTCATGTGACCGTATTCGTCGGATGATTCATATGGGAGACAAACTGAAACTGTTGTAGACTATACCAGTAAAAGCCTTCAATATATTATATTGAGATCAAGCTTTTGTTTTTGTCTATTGTTGTTTGGCGGCTTGAGTTTTTCTTTGTTTATCTTTGATTTTTATATATGTATCTTGTCGTCGGCTAAGAACCTGACCAGTGCATGGTTTTACCCATATACAGTCATATATAGTCACAGCTTTATCAACAAACCAAACAATGAACTTACTGAAATGTTTAGGATTTCAAATAATGTCAAGAATTAAACCAGATCGATCCAGTTATACAGAGGCAAAATCAGTATATCCATTTTTGTTTTCCAAAGTTGACCATTGCATGGTTCAATTGGAGAAATCAAAATCTGATAGAACTAACCTATATCACAATATTGCTGGTAAAAAAGCATGCGTTCGTACGTATTATCATCAATGTAATGCTTATTAATTGCTGCGAAAATTCATTAAGGGCAGTGATTGTGAATAATCTGGAGCAAAGTGTATGTAGTTTGATGTTCTCTTCGTTTTACAACTCTCTTTAATTAAAATCCAAAACACCCCACATGCATCATGCATGCACACCTCAAATAGATCAGTTTTACAATTGAGAAACAATAATTAATTAATGAAGCAAAACACAAACAAACAAACTCACGAAAGAGTTACCATTAAATCCAAATTATGAGTTGTTTATTGATCGCTAGACTTTGTCCTCGTATATATTCCTCCAATACAGATACATAAATGCAGTCCCCATTGTCCCGTTGTCTCCATACTTCATAATAATACAGTATTTCTTAAGTGAACAATAGATACTACGAGGAACATTCTCTATAGCGACACATGCATAGTTGTAGTTGTATAGTTTTTAAATGATCAAGGACTAGTCAAAGAATCAATAAGGGAATTACATTACATTACAATCACTGAATCACGTGAACGGATAAATTATGGATCATAAACTGCACTTAGTAGTTTTTTTTTTATTTTTCTGATATTTGATAAAACCAAGTTAAGAAAGTTACGTGTGCAATATATATTAAGAGACAACGTAAACGAACGGTTCAACTAAAACTTAATATTGTCGAACGCCAAGGTTGAAGAAGCAGAGTGTTGAATCCATATATAAATGGTTAGCTAAGATACATTTATATACTCAATCGTCTAATCCGGAAGAGTAAAACAAAAAAAAAATCGCATGTCTTTTTCTTGATTCTTCTAATACTATATGTATCTATACTATTAATTGGGGATCATTATTTGTCTTTGTAGCCAAACAAACTTGTAAAAAAAATATTACAAAATATACAATCTCAAACTTATAGCCAAACACACTAAAAGACAGCAAAAAAGATAAATAAATAAATAAAAAATAAAAAACAAAAACTATCTATATTTATGGAAATCATTTTAATTTTGTTACCATAAAAAATAGACAAAATTAAATTCAAAATTAAACATATGCAAACATATTTAATATTAGTTATATATTTTAGAGTATTTTTTGAAACTTATAATTTATATTTAAGAAAATTTTAAATGAAAAAGTATGTTTGATTATAAAATACATATCATAAAATGTGGAGAAATATACGATATAATTAATTATATCATCAAATTTTAAAAATATAATCTTAAAAAATGGTTAAAAATCTTAATTAAATCAATAATTAAAAATTTGTTGGCTAAAATCATGCAAAAATTATATATCACATAAAATCTCTTATTTTCATATAAATCTCTTATTTTCACATAAAATCTTCATATTGAAAAAAGCAATCTCAAAAATATAGCACAAAAATAAAATAATATAAAATATATTGATTATATATGAGATATTTCCGGTTTTCCTTTTAATATCGTAATAGTTTGATCGTTATAAATTCAAGATTTCCTTTTAATTACATCATAATAGTTTGATCGTTATAAATTCAAGATTTCATATATTTTGGTACCTCATTAACTACTAAATTAAAACTAAATAATAAGTGGATATATCAAATTTAAATAATTGTTATGTCTTATTAGCAATTTCTAAATAATAAATGGATTATATTTTTATGATTTAATTTCTACGTCTTTTAAGTAAGTTTCGAAAAGAAAAAACAATCAAGTAGTTAAGAACAAAACTATCTAACTGAAACCAAACTAAATGTCAAACAGGTATGAATCCAAACTATATATGATATACTATAAATATCTAAAAACATTATCCCACATATATAGGTACAACTGATATAATTATATTCAAAATAATATAAAGACTTAAAATAATTTATTCAACAAAAAGGGCTGATTTCATTATTTTGAATATATATGTCACTAATCAAAATTGTAATTGTATAAAATGAAATATATTTTTCAACCGTATTATAAATAAATATCATATCTAGCCAATATAATAAAAATTGAATTATTTTATTGCATTAAACACATTATTTTATTTTTAATCAAATCAATACATGATTTTGTGATCACTTTCTACAAAATGATTTTAATCTTATGCAACAAGAGTAAAAATATTATACAAGATGGGCACGGGATGGAAAGAAGTCTGAACGGAATGTAAGCATAGATTTTCATACAAAAGTCTTACAACATGTTACAATTAAAATTAATTAACGCTTGCAGTTTTATATGTAATTTTGTTTACATCATCTAGCATAAAAATGTTCAAAGTGAAAATTAAAAAATCTTAACGTATGTTAGATAATAGTTAAAATATTTAAAACAAAGAAACATAACCAATATGGATGAACTAAATATATAATAATAAGAATAAAGAAGTCAATTATTTTTGTAATTCATTACTATATTATATCGTATATAAAGATACTCACATACATTTCAAGTGAAACAAACAAAACCCTGAGAGCTAAGTCAGCAAAACTACAATAAACTCATGAATTAAAAAAAATAGAAATACCTAAATATGTAGGAAACAAAAAAGGCTAAAATTGAATCTTTAAATTGAAGAAAGTAATGGGAAATAAAGATAAAATTGAACGATCAATAACATTAAAAATTGAACAAGAATTGTGTATGCTCGGATTAGAGGTAGTGTCTTGTGAATGAAAATGGTGGGAGCACGTGACTTAGATTTATAATTAGAGTTTTATTAATGTGGAAAAATAAATATTTAAACGAAGAATACGAGTATTCCGTCTAGATCTCTTACCAAGTTTCTTATAATAAACATTAGCAAATGATTATGTTTTTAAAAGGAAACGATTGTGGGACAGAAATATATGATGGATAGAGGACGATACGGACAGGACGGGTCCGAATGGGATATGACGAGACGGGTCGGGACGGGACGGGTTTGGACGAGACAGGAAGGGACGGGTCGGGGCGAGACGGAAAGGGACGGGACGGGTTTCTCATTCCAAACTATATGTAAAATAATTCAAACTAAAGCCAAATACAAATCCGATTTAACATCTCTAAGCAAACAATTAGAAATATTTTGATTATTTTAAAAAATAAACACGTAATATCATTTAACATTTTCATTTTCATTATTTTAAAACTATATTAAGTAAACAGTATCTATATTTTACAACTGTATGCCTATGTATAGTTTTTCAAATAAACTTATGTAACAAACTTTTACCAAAATCGTATCTACATAAGAAATGGTAGTTTTGCAAAAATAACCCCGCACGTACGTGCGGGTCCATCACTAGTACACATTAAACCCATGAAAGAGTTACATTAAAACCCAAATCATATTATAGAATTATTTATATCTTTGTCGGCATTTATTTAAAAGAAAGTAAACTGTTAGAAAAGAAAAAAGAAAAAAAAAAGTAAATCATTATAAAACGATGTCATCCTTCACGTCACTTCTAATGTGGTATTCACATTATGGTCTCCTAGCCGATTTCCCACTCCGTTTATCCGATCGTTTAGAGTCGTCGATTTTGTTTTGGTTTGTCTTCAAAAGAATCTTTTTAAAATTAGGCTAAAAAGCCTATAATACTTAAACCATGAGATCAATTTGAACTATAAGCAACAAAAAAACGAAAAAAGTAAACCCGGATAATTTCCTAATTCCATCTTAATTTTATAGACAAAGGTTGTACAATAACTGATCTACATCACTAAACCAATCGACTACGACGCTACTATATATTATATAAAAAAATTTGTGATTTTAAAGTCAAAGAAGTTTCTCTATGTTAAGTCGCCGTCTTTTCTCATAGATTCGACCTGGATTATTAAACAAACCTGGCCATTTCGAGTTTTTTTAATCAAAATTTTTTTTTTATTACGAGGATGCAAAAAGGCATCTCTCTCTGATATAAATATCTGACCAAAAAAACCAAACCCATAAGAGAGAAGATAGAAGAGAAGCGAAGACTTTTTTTTCTTTCCAATACACTAGAATGCGCCTATATCCGTGTCCGTTATAGTACGCCTACATCCGTCTGCCCCCGCTAGAATGCGCTGGTCTCCGTGTGTCCGCCTCTCTTCGCCGTCTAATGTCTGAACAAGAACTACTCCGCCAATTCGAACAAGCATTTGTCTTAATGTGCAAAACCAAAATGGGAGTCAATGCTTCAGAGCCAAGACGAACACGTTCACGATCTAGTCAATCGCAAGGGAGGCATCACCATACTCCATCGACGAGACGATCTCCGTCAACAAGCACCACCGGCACAACAACAACCACCACCACCACCACGACTTCGACTTCTAACAAAACTATCAAAACCGGCGCCTCCTCTTCCTCCACCTCATCCTCCGGTGCGGCTTCTGCCTCAGTCGCTAGTCGAACGTCTCTCGCTAGTCTCCGTGAATCTTTACCTGAGAATCCTCACATATACAACGTCTCCGAGATCCGTGCCGCCACCAACAATTTCTTAGCTCATCGCTTGTCTTCCTCTTCCTCTAAAGCCTCGTGGCGTTGCAATCTCAGAGGCAAAGAAGTAGTTGTGTTCCAGAGAAAGTTCAGACGAAGAATCGACATGGATGAACTCAGAGATCGTCTTTCCGATATCTGCCGGAGCCACCACGGAAGCATAATCAATCTACTCGGCGCTTCTGTATCCGGCGGCGGAGGAGGAGGCGATCACATCTACCTAGTCTACGAATACGTCAACGGAGCTTCTCTAGCTGATTGCTTGAGAAACCCCAAGAACCCTAATTTCACGGTTTTATCGAATTGGACTTCAAGGATTCAGATCGCGACGGATCTAGCTCACGGACTCGATTACATCCACAACAAGACCGGTTTAAAGATCGATTACTTGGTTCACAACCACATCAAGAGCTCGGCGGTGATCGTGACGGAGCCAGATTTCAACGCTAAGATCTGTCACTTCGGAACCGCCCAGCTCTGCGGAGAAACTGATGAAATGTCGCCGGAGAGAGACGAATCGAGGAACTCGAGGCGATCCGATAGCAGAGCCGTCAGATTCGAAGGAGTCAGAGGCTACATGTCGCCGGAATTTCAAACGTCGGGAACCGCCACTCAGAAATCAGACGTGTACGCTTTCGGGGTCATGATGCTGGAGCTTCTCTCCGGCGAGGAGCCGTTGAAGTACAGGTATGATAAATCAACCGGAGATTTCGAGCGGACGTCGGTGATTGAAACGGCGGCAGCGGCGATAGATGAAGGGGACGGAGATAAAGAAGGGAGGTTGAGAAGGTGGATGGATCGGAGATTGGTTGATTCGTTTCCGGTGACGGTGGTGGAGAAACTAACACGGTTGGCGTTGGACTGTGTACAGGAGGAACCGGGGAATAGGCCGGAGATGGGAAGAGTCGCCGGGAAAATATCTCAATTGTATTTGGAATCGGAGAAATGGTCAGCGAATATGAAACGGCCGACGGATATCACCGTCTCCTTCGCTCCCAGATGAGCCGAATCTTCTTTATTCCAATTTTTTTTAACTTTTCGAAATTTGTATATTCGTTTTAAGTAATTAGTAAGTAGGATTATTGTTTTGATTTTTCACAAATTAATGATTGACCATTTGATCTGGTTGTAATTGTAATTACGACATCTCTTCTTCGTTTGAAGATTGTTGAAGTTACTACTAGTTTTTCAATTTGTTTATTTGTGTTCGTGTGGGGGGCATGGAGAGCAACTATGAAATTTTAAGTACAATGTCAGTTTCGAAACGTCAAAACGATGAAGAAAAGATTGGTAATGGAATCTGCTTTTAGAATCGTGTCGATGGATGAGCTTTTATGTTTTAAGTCATACTTATATGAAGGAGGGACCAATCTTCATATTACATGAAGTTTGAATTAGAGAAAACTTTTGACTTTAATCAGAATCAAGCTTTTATATTTCGTTCTTATCAGATACGTCATTTTGAATTTTGAGGTGTAACATGTTCTCCCCTACTATTAAACATAGGCGAAACTAACAAGTTAACAGACATATGGGCCATTGAATTGCTCTGAAACTGGGCTTTCTTCTCTTTGTGTGGCCCAATTAATTTTTCATTATTTTAGCTACTCAGCTCAAATGAGCATCTTCTGTAAAGACATGTTTGGTATGATAATGAACTATGTTTTCGCAATAAATGATAATGAAAAAAAAACAACAAATTATGATGTTTGGCTGAAATTGTCAGCTCTGAGCTAATTTGTTCAATGGAAAACAATTTAAAAAAATAGAGGTGAAGAAAATAGTTTGGTTGAAGATTTTGCACGAGGCATGTCTTCTTCTACGAAGGAAATATAAAAAATTTCAAGAAAACTTTCTCATAACCATGTATCGTTTTCTAACGAATATAATTACTGATCGGTTCTAATTAAAAGACCATACTATGTTATATCATCGATTGATTGATTCAACATTTAGTTAGCAGCATGTTGGGAGTAATAGAGCATTGAAAGATGAATCTTGTTAGATTAAGTATAAATTAATAATAACTGTCAAAAATAATAAATTGATATTTGGGTGGAACAATAAAAGAAGAAGATAGATAGAAAGATAGATAGATTCAAGAAAACAAAAGGAGAAGGAAGAGAATGAGAGGTCAAGTCAACACAAGTCCACATCACACATCACTTCACACACAAAAGCATACAAACTGTCTTGTCTTGTCAAATCATTTTGCATCTCGACAAAATCTTACTCCCATACATATATATATACATATACACACTTATCACTTATACATAAACATATATAAGTGCTCATTTTATCAGCGTTATATTTTAGAGCTGATTTTGGTAGGCAAGATGACGCTTAATTCTCTGATGTAAATTAAGCAGCCACACAATACTAATATTCTTAATCAATTTTAGTTAACAATAATCTTTGATGCTTGTATGTGTATATAAGACTGTAAACGTGGTTACATATATACCGGAAGACGAATTCGCTCGGTTGTGTTTATGTTAGGGCTGCGTTTTGGAAGATGCATTTTAATGATTTCGGGAAGTTTTAGGCCAACCATAGGTAAATATAAGGATTAGTCAAAATATAAACACGGTTCATTAATATCTATAAGGTATTAGGGTGTTTTTTAGACAGAAAAAAAAAGTAATTTATCATGTAATTCTAAAAAATGTAATGTGATTTACGAAAGGCAGAAAATTCTGAAACTATAGTGTATATTATTTTCAACTGATTATTTGTCTTGATATTATTCCATTATATATATCATGTAAATTAAGCGTTTACCTTAATATTTTGATAGGAAGCAAAAACGACGTTTTGGAGAGAAATGGAAGTAAAGGTTTTTGCTGGATAATGGACAGAGATGGGATCAAAGGGAAGTCAAGCTGCTGCAATTAGTCAATGATTTGTATGTAAGAGTGATTGATTTTTGTATTTATTTAGTAATTTGCTTCTTTTTTTGTTGTTGTTGTATAAAAATCATATTCGAGTGATGTACGCATATTTGGATGAATAATGGATAATTTGCAAATTTCTCTCTGGATAAATTTAGCTTTGGTGAAACGGTGATCAAATTTTGTTTTAATTTCAGAACAACCACCGTTTCAGATACAATTAAATGATATGTAGATCTTCTCTAGCTTCATAAATGAGGCAAGACTTTGAACAGTAAAAAAGTTCAAAAATCAAATATACTAATAGAACTTCAAGAGACAAGTAGACTTATCTTTTGAAACATCATATTCTACATATACTACCAATTACTTCGAGTATATATGCATGTTCACATTTTTTTATTTTATTTTGCATGCAATTGATTAGAAAGTTGAGAGAAGCTTTGAACGACAAGAGTAGGTGCAGATAGATAGAGTAATAACAGCCTTTGCTAAAACAGATTACATGACCACTCTAAAAGATTTCCTTCTATGTCTTCTTTTTTTTAACTTTTAACTGTTGAAGTAAATCTTCTTCTTAAATCTTCTTCTTCCTCTATCTATAAAAAGAGCAGCTGCAATTTACTGTTTCACCGCCTGTCTTCTTCCTTTTTTTAAATCTTTCTTTATTGAGATTTACATAATATACAAAATCCTTAACAACCACTTCTTCTGTCTATGCCACAATACTTAGCGGCAGAACTGGAAGCTCCAGCTTTTCCTGTCTCTTTCTTCCCCCACACAGAAACTTATATCCTTATTTATTTGAGAATTCTAAATTTATAATGATGGTTTTTTATTAATTTCTTTTCCATTTATTGGCATTTGACCACAGTCTATAATATTGATAAAGCTCGAGTAATTTCTTTGTATTAACAAAGATTTCTCTTCTAGGTGATTTGATTTCAAGACAGTAGAACAGAAGTTATGTTTGTATATTGTATATATACAATGTTTTTTTTGTTTTTTTCTTGTATAATTTTGTACCTATATTATTAATGTAGGAAATTATTAATTGAATGACCCATTATATGGCCCAAATCGTTGACTAACTGAACACAAAAGAAGTCTCCATTTGACCCCAATAATAGCATTATGGCAGATTACAAATTCTTTTTGAAATAAAAAGAAAAACTTTACTTTTTGAAATAAAATTCTGACTTACTGAACCATTAATATTTCTTGAATTCAGAATTCGTCTTTTTAGTTCTTGATGATGTCATGATACATGTTCTTAGCATCAATAATATTTGTTGACATGTATTTAGTTTAATCTTACCTGTCCCAGGAAATGTATTGCTCTAATCCCCACATTTATATATGCGAGAAGCGCCTTGACTAATTTTAATGAAATAATTGTACATAACAACATATAGTTATGCAGTAATCTGAACATGTGTGGCATGTACAAAAGAGATAAATCTACACTCAAACATGTCCATATTCTTTAGTAGTTCTTACCCATTCGTTAGTTATTAACTGTTCAAGAACAGTGAGTATTACTTTGGCTACTAAAAAAAAGTACTATCTACTCTTAGTTTTAATGATTTAGGTGCTATTTGCACTTAACCTTTTGGGAAATTGTAGATAATTCTCTTAATCTTGTAAGATGGCAATTAACATGAAATTAAAGGTATATCAAAGAAACTGACGATAAACTTTTAGCTGGTTACAACTCGCAAAAAATTATATTACATAAAAAAGTAAAGATATATAATAACAAAAAAGTATTAGCTCTTTTTCTTGTAGGAAGTAATTAATAGTATTAGCTATGACTGATCATAGTCTGATATATGTGGTGACGATTCGTAAAATCAGTTAATAATTAACTTAAACTAGCTAGTAATTCATCAACCATCGTTTTGTCGCCGAGATCGTAAATTGATTTCTATTGGGTTTGATGGACATGTCTCTCTTTTTCACTTGTTCACTTTATTTACTCACATGATTGTTTAGAAGATAGTAGAAAGAAACTAGTAAGTTAACTTTACCCAAAAAAACCCAGTAAGTTAATTTATGGGAGATTTTCAGTAAAACAAATGATTAGCATGCAATTAAAAACAGTATCACATGAAAAAGGTCATGTCGGTAATGAGTAATTAAGATGTGTAATTGAATTTTCCGTGCTGATTGATCTGATGGGCAAAATCATCTGACATATCATGTCAATTGTTAAAAAGGTTCACTAATCTTTAATTTAAGAAGAATCTCTATTGATAAATAAATAAATTACGAAAATCAGTGTATCATAAAACAAAATATTTTACAAAAGTGAATGAGAAAAAAGAAGAAGTAAAAATCCAGTAAATATATCGGAAAGCAAAACCCTAGGATCCGGTCATCAGAGGATTCCACTGAAAGTAAAATCATTATAATAAAGGAAATTAAACCATATTATATATGAGTGAGTGTGACATATATATGAATCTTTATACAATTTCTTTTTTATACTAATATTTACCATTTATATGCAGGAAAAAACATTTACAATGGCAAAAGTGGGTCGAAGAAAACAACAAGAAAATGGAAAAAATTTCTTGAAAGAGAAGAGAGAGAGAGAGAGTGAAAGGACAAGACAAACGTCAAATCGGATCTCTTTCTTATCATACGACTGCCAGTGCCTCTTCCTGTGTTGTCATCTTTTTTTTCTCACTAATATTTTATTTTTTCTCAACCATATAACACAAAGTTAAAAAAAACCCCAAAAAAAAAAAACACCCAATATGCATATGTATGTGCATGTGTATTACAAATACATAATATATTACAGATTTGGAAAAAACAACAGTTTCTTTCTTTCTCTATGTTTATGTCAAAGCAAAATATGGAAATCATAAGGAAATATATATATATATATATATATATATATATATATATATATATATATATGAGTTTATCATCCCGCACGTGTGTTCCTGACTGACCTCAAAGTGTACCATTTGAAGAATATTTCAGTGGAGAAGGACCGAGCCGAGATTGACGGATGGGAATACTATCCTTATAACCAAATATAATTATTGTTTTTAGTTTCTAAATAATTTTAAAACATATGCTTGAAAACATATGTAGAGAGTTTTCACTGTAATCAACAAAATAACATTATTGTTGCATGAAACTGAATGTTATGGTATACTTTAATTGAGACTTTTCATCTATTGAACGCTGATTGTTTTAACGGAAATCATATATGACTGAATATATTTGTATAAAATATACTAAATTATGTATTTATTTTCCGCTCAGTACGAATTTTAATCAACTTTAACCTTGTTAGTTGTTAAAACACATATTCTCAATATGGGTTATTAAATTTTGAATTTAGATTGAATAATATTTACATTCTTGAATAATAGTGCTTCCTTTTTATTTTATTTGAAGAGATTACTTTAAAAAACAAAAAAAAAACCAAAAACAATATAGCGGGCCGACAGAAGGACCCGATCAACCCGGCTGACACGCATCCCCATGCTCTTCAACTCTCCTCCACCGATTTTTATTAAAACTTTACATTTATTTATTTCTACTTTTGTTTTTCCTATCTCATCATCTGTATTATTTACTAGTTGGTTCTGCCAATTAATTTGTCAAAACGAATCTGATTAATTCAAAACTCTACCACGCTTTCTGAGCTCAAGGCTTTAACCCATATACCACCGCTTATAACCAAACTCTTAATGTGTACTCTCTAACGAAGCTGTAGTTTTGTGTTCACTAGTGTACCATCATTGTTTCCTTTTAATCTTCTTCTTTATTTTTTTCTTTCATTCACAACTTTTATATGATTTTTGTTTCCGGTCCTTAATTTGTACGACGACAAACATAGGTATCATCATGGACAATATGATTTTTTTTCTTTGTTTCGGTTAGAGAACATGACTTGTAATCTAATGAATCATTTGATTGATTTAATCAACGTACTTCCAAGTCAGAACCTCATCATCTATTGTTCTTTTCAAATTCCTAATTTATTAGCTTTGTGGAAAAGATAAAAGAGATTATGAAAAGTGGGGAAACAAGAGAAGAGACGGTCAGAAACGGACCAACGGTCAAACACCAAACCATCAAATCACATTCACTAACTTAGTACAGTTGAGACTTTTAAGTGGTTTTGCCTTAACGAATTAGGCCAATGTTCTTATCCATCACCGTCCTGTCCAAGTTTACCATTTTATCCCATCTTTTACATATACTTCATCAGACTAACAACTTGATCATACGCATGCACATATGGGCTCGAATAGTTATCATGGTTTCGTCTGTTTTCTCAGCGATATATGTGGTGAATGCTTTAAGAACCAAAATAAAGGGTTCATATATATAGACGTGTCTTGCCGCGTATACTATTACGTGACGATGGCACACATTTAAATGCGACACGCACATACACAACTAAAAACATTATACATGTAAATATGACCGATCCAAAACAATTCTATATATCACCTTTTAATGTTAAGAATAACTGGTCGAAATATCCATGTACCATTTTAGTTCACCATTTATATTATTATTTCGATTGCATCACCTTGTTATAATAAATGCACCAACCAATGTTATATTTTTTCAAGTTTTTGTTTAACTACAAACATTCGTGTTTAACTACAAACATTCTGAATCTAATAAATTTGTTATCTGTCGATCAACGTACGGGTTGATAGCCATAATTTTTACGAAATTTGATAGTCCATCTCCAAGACTTCAACAGTGTATACTTCCATAAATGTCTACACTGCAGAGATATGCATATTAACTTGTTAACTATTAAGCAAAGAAACGATGAGTAGTTTTTGTTAATTAGAAAATCATAATATCACACTTTAGAGCTAAAATTCTTATTATTTTTTGTTGATATTGTGTGTATATGTATCATCATGATGATCCGTATTTTATTTGAAAGCCACTTATATTCATATTTCTGAAACACATTTTTTTTTTGTGCATCGAAATTACTCATTTTGTTAGCATTAGGACCTTCAAAAAGAGGATGCACAAATACATGTTATGTCGTCGTTGATTGGGTTTCACATATGCGGTGAACCAAGCCAAAAAGACAGTTGCTAAATGGTCTCTCATATATTGGTTTAAGTTTCCTTGCCAACAAATTAAAGTACGTGATTATGTATGTATACGACTAAGTAAGTGTTACGTGATACATAGGGTTACTCTGGGGTCTAGTTAGTCGGCAGCTAATGATATTATTCACTCATAATCATCTTATTATATACTTTAGTTTCTATCTCTTTCTTTATAATTTTTAATTATAAGCAAAAAAATTAAGGGTGTGTTGGCAAACTAGTACATTTTTGAAACATAATTGTAAAGGTAGTACATTTACTATTCATAATTAGCAAAATAGTACAATTTTACTATTTCAGATATCTGTACAGACATACAACTGTACAGTAACATATTATTGTACATCAAATATTTGTACAAAGAGAAACAACTACAAATAAACATATTTACACATAAACAAATATACATACATAGACCAGAAAATATCTGTACACATAAAATTATACGTGTATATAGACCGCTATACGGATGATTTTCCGTACATCGACAACAACTGTACATAAGGATAGCTGTACGTATCAAAATTTGTTTGAAAAAAATTTGAAATTATTAAAAAAAAATGCATATCAAATTATAGAGAAAAAAATATAGATTTTTATGCAATTAAAATTTTATAGAAAACAAATATATTTTGATGAATAGTTTAGTTATTAGATTTAAGGGGATTTTTAATAGTGTCTAAATAGTGTTCAAATAGTAAAAATGTATTAGTTTGTTAATAATGAATAGTGAATGTACTACTTCTACAATTATGTTTCAAAAATGTATTAAAAATCCAATTAATCCAAAAACTAATCATTTATCATCTTTTAATATTTGATTGCCCCCAAATGGATTCGTTCCCATACTTCTATGTTTAACAAAACCTTTTCCCACTTTGTCATCTTCCCATGTGAGTAAACATTCCTCTAAACTCTAATTTCTGATTTGATTCTGATTACAAAAGCTATAATCGTATACTAGAAAACTCCAATTGCTCATAGCCAAAAAAAAAAAAAAAAAAAAAAGCACACACGTCGACATTAATCATTATAATATAAATTAATTTGAGACCCCCCGGTCCGCCCATTCAGATCTCTGTCTCTTTCTTCACCTCTGTCTCTCTCTCTATATCTATCTATAATTCTATACCCACAAACACATCTTCCACACACTATAGTATCCTCCATGAGCTTCTAAAGATAAAAAGCTTTGTGACTCTTCTTCACTCACAATTCTTTTTTTGCTTTACACAGATTTTTTTTTTTCTTCTTCATCTTCTTCTTATAGCATAGGAAAATCAAAAGGACAGGACTCTTTTTTTCATTGTTCCTTTCAGAACCCTAAATTTTGTTTTCCGAAATTTTTTAGCCATGAGCAGTAGTTCTTTCGAAGAATCTCTGAAATCTATGTCGTTGGATTACCTGAACCTTTTAATCAACGGTCAAGCTTTCTCCGATGTTACTTTCAGCGTTGAAGGCCGTCTAGTCCACGCTCACCGTTGCATCCTTGCCGCTCGTAGCCTCTTCTTCCGCAAATTCTTCTGCGAATCTGATCCTTCACAGACCGGAGCCGAACCGGCTAGTCAAACCGGATCAGGAGCCAGAGCAGCCGCAGTAGGAGGAGTGATACCGGTTAACTCGGTAGGTTACGAAGTTTTCTTACTTCTACTTCAGTTCTTATACAGTGGTCAAGTCTCAATCGTGCCGCATAAGCACGAGCCAAGATCGAATTGTGGAGATAGAGGATGTTGGCACACGCATTGCACTGCTGCCGTCGATCTCTCCTTAGATATCTTGGCAGCCGCTCGTTATTTTGGCGTAGAGCAGCTTGCCTTGCTTACTCAGGTTCCAATTTCACATTACTATATCAAGTCTTTTTATGTTTTTTAAGATATGTCTCTTTAGGTTAAAGATTCTTGTCTTAATCTTGGTAAAGTACTGTACCCATCTTTGGTTTGGTTTATTTCGGTTGAGCTGAGTTTTGAAGCCCTATTGATGATACTCACATATAAAAATAGATAAAGAGTTGTTTTTGCCTTGATTTCATGTGTAAATGAGCTTAAAGATTTGCTTGCATTGCACCCACTGCAACTTTCTTTCCGGATATAGATGGCTATTGATTGATGTGTTGTGTTGTACACCGAGCGATTTCCTAAAAATGGTAAACTTTTTAAGGGTTTTTTTTATATATAAAAAAAAAAAGTCTAAAAAGATATCTTTGGAAATAGTATAGTTTTGAATAATAACAGTGATTCTACTAGTAGTCCCCAAAAATTGAGGCATGGCATCATAATCATCTTGTGATTTTGCATGAGTTTACTAATCGCATGTTTTGCGAGTATGCGATTTACTTTCAACATTCCCGCTGTTACAGATCATGCAATGTCTAAACTTTAACGAATTTTATTATTGCATAGGCATTTGCCTTTTTCATATCGAATTCCTTTTATTCCCACAACCATAGGCTTAATTTCACAATGAAATAAGACATGCATGAGCAATTGTTTTTCTTCTAGTGTCGTCTGATCTTACTTTTCTCTCTGTAGTTTGTGAGACATATATGGTTTCTTTCGAGTATTCCTTTAATTACAATGAACATGCTATTAATCCAAGGAAAAGAAGAAAATGGTATATAGCGTCTTTGAATTCAACATTTGATTTTTAAAAGCCAACTGTTGCGTTTTTGTTGTTGTTCACAGAAACATTTGACGAGTATGGTGGAGAAAGCCTCCGTTGAAGATGTGATGAAAGTGCTGATAGCTTCAAGAAAGCAAGACATGCATCAATTATGGACCACTTGCTCTTACCTAATCGCCAAATCCGGTCTTCCACAAGAGATTCTAGCCAAACATCTCCCAATGGAACTCGTAGCCAAAGTTGAGGAGCTCCGTCTCAAATCTTCAATGCCTCTTCGTTCCCTAATGCCTCACCACCATGATCTAACATCGGCTTTAGACATCGAGGACCATAAGATCAGGAGGATGAGACGTGCATTAGACTCCTCTGATGTCGAGCTTGTGAAGTTAATGGTGATGGGAGAAGGACTCAATCTTGACGAGTCCCTAGCTTTGATTTACGCGGTTGAAAATTGTAGTAGAGAGGTTGTGAAGGCACTTCTTGAGCTTGGAGCAGCCGATGTAAATTATCCAACAGGACCCACAGGGAAAACGGCTCTCCACATAGCAGCCGAAATGGTCTCTCCGGACATGGTGGCCGTCTTACTCGACCACCACGCCGACCCAAACGTCCAGACAGTGGATGGAATCACTCCTCTCGACATCCTTAGAACCCTAACGTCGGATTTTTTGTTCAAGGGGGCAATTCCTGGATTGACTCACATTGAGCCTAATAAGCTCAGGCTTTGTCTCGAGCTGGTCCAGTCCGCGGCATTGGTTATATCACGAGAAGAAGGGAACAATAACAGTAACGATAACAACACAGTGATCTACCCTAGGATGAAAGACGAACACACGAGCGGAAGTAGTTTGGATTCAAGATTGGTTTATCTGAATCTTGGAGCCACAACTCGTGATCTTGGGGATGACAGTAGCAATCAAAGGGAAGGGATGAGTATGCATCATCATCATGACCCGTCAACAATGTATCATCATCACCACCACCATCATTTCTAGGTCTTTATATGGTTCTATATTATACCATCCTTTTTTTGATAACCATCATCCTTTAGTTAAGACTTAAGAGATAAACATATTCAATATCTAATTAATTTGTCGTTATATATGGTCTCCTTTTTCGCGGTGAGTAAATTTAAAACGTTACTTCCATGGAGAGTGGAAGGAGATATTGAAAGGTGAAGAAGTACACAAACTAAAGGGTCATATAGATGGAGAAAGATCTTGAGTTACATGTCGACATATCACATATGTATAATCTTTATACAAAAGTCGGTCGTTGGATTTTATATTTAAACAATGCATGTTACCGATCGAGACCATAACATTGGCTTTTGTTTTGGCTAATATTATAATGATCTACAAAAGGAAAAACCCAAAAGAAAAAAGGGGAAACGAAAAGAAAAGCCGATATTTGTGGAAGTGTCAATGTCATCACCTCTACTACAATGTTGACATTAGTGTATTCAAAGACAAAAGACAGATGATGATCAGAATTACTTGTAACTTTGTAGCCCATTTACGAAGATATTTTTACAATTTTTTTATAATCCGGTGAACACATGAACAATACTTCTTGTTATGGCGGTCCCTAGTTGTTCTTTTAGGGATGAAATTACAAAAATAAAAATGACAAAGAAAAATGAAGAAGAAGAAATTAACACCAAAATTTGTTTGGTGAAATTTGAATCTTAAAACAGTATCAAGACTAATTGATATTTTTTCATATTTTGGAGGACTATTCTACAAAATTTTGAAGTAACTGTTTAGGATTTTGCAACCTAGTCCTTCTCTTGACTTTGGTCAGTCAAAGCTTCTACAGAGTCACTCGTGGATTAGATTCGCCTGAGCATCTTCACCGTCCTCAGACGCCGAGCTTTCTCCGTCAATAATGTCCTTTTCCGGCGAATCGAGTTGCACGCTTTCCGGAGACTCATCGTAGTCGTTTTGGCTATCATCCTGATTCATCCTCAAATTCTCTCCTCTTACGAGATTCAACACTAATCCGTTGTGTGTTCTTCCCGTCTGAAGATAATCCCCTTCCGCAACCGTGATGCTGCAAGACGAAGAAGCAGCGACGTTCAGTTCGACCTCCGGAGCTCTTTCGGAGTCTCCAATCGTCGTCTGTTCAGGATCAGCGGCGTGGAGATTCTGAACGTAGTCTGTGAACATCTGAGCTGACGATGTCCTCATCAATGGTCCACCAGATCTCGTCCAATCTTCAGCTTCTGGAGAATCTCCTTCGCTTCCTGCTTCATACGAATGGCTTAAGTTGCTGGTTCGATTATTACTACTCTTCCCGGATCCAACCACGATATGCTGGTACAACCGTGAAGCTTCTGCGAGCACATCATCATCGACGGATCCGGATGAGTTCTGACGAGCTATACAGTTCCAGGAAGGGATTCGTTTAGAGGCGTTGAATCTGTTGGCTCCAGCCAAGAGATGTTTAGATGGTGGGGAGGAAGAGATGGCGGAGAAAGCAGCGGCTCTTTCAGCGCTGCGTTTAAGGCGGCGCATGTGGTTAAGAACGGCGACGCACTCGTCCAGGACTAGTTCAATCCCAAAGTTTGCTTTGATGACTGCGAGTTTCTCCCAGGTGCATCTCCTTCCTTGATTTGCCGCCTTTTGAATCTCTACGTTGCTTGGGTTCTGTATGATCTTCAAGTACTGAAATCCGGAAACACACAGTACAAAGGACATAGAAAATCAATACAAGAATTGAATGTTCTTTGGCATTTTCTAGTTAGAATAATTGGTACATTGTTGCAGCGATTAGGCTTTGCTTACCTGAGATAAAGTAGCTGGCATGACGATAGTGACATCACCTTCCCATTCTTGAGCGAATAGGGAAGCTACTTCTCTCAGAGGAAGCCCGAGTTCTAGTACTTGATGACATCTATGCTTCACTTCCATCTCCGCGAGTTGAGCGAGCTTAGGAAAGGTCAAGAGATCGAATTAGGTAATGAATCATGAGTATGTCTGTTACGTGTAGATAGATATGGATACATACCTTTGCCGCAAATCGACCTCCACAAGCTCTAACAAACTCCTTCATCCTCAAGAAGGGTGCTATGTGAGGGTTGGCCTGACTGACTATGAAATGGTTGACATTGAAAAGCTCTTTGAGTTGCATCATCGGTAAGTCCATCTCCAAACTACCGTCCCTCCAGCGCCGAACTGATTCTCCTGAGCCCTCTTCAGGATCTAAGTTAAAAGGTGGGTGATAAGGAACAATCTCTCCAGTTCTATCTTTGGCCATGAGTTCTTGAGCCTCAAAAAGACCAGGGAAAGCACAAGATGCAGTCACTGCACTCCATATCACAACATGAGGCGAAGTCAGATAATTCAGACATCTAGGCGGTTCGTGTTTTCTCAAGGAACAAACTGTTATCCCTAGAATCCGTCCTGTTATGTCGTAAGCTTCTTGGAATGTAAGATTGTTGGTGAGATTCCTCAACTTCCATTGTAAATGCCGGATCTCATGGACTGCGCCTTGAGTCATAACCCGTTTCACAGTAGTGAAGATCCCTCCCATCTGATCAAAGAACTGTAAAGCATGCCAAGAGCCTTCAAAGAAGCTCTGTAACTCAGGCCATGACCTTGTCCCCACAACTGCACACATTACGGAACCCACGCTTGAACCAGCTATAATTCTTGGCAAGAGCTTATGTTCCACAAGCGTCTTCACCACACCAAGATGGAAAGCCCCTAAAGAAGCACCTCCGCTCAGAAGCAGAGCCGTTCTTCCATACGCGTGTCTAGTCTCATGCATAAAAGAGAGTTTCTCCTCCAAAGAAAGCTCTTCAGTATCCGTGTCACAAACCATCTTAAGCTGTGTAGAAACCTCATCGATGTACTCTTTAATTAGTCTCGGCACATGAAGCCTTCCCTTGTGAAGCTCAGGGTTACACATGTTTCCGAGATTTCTAACAAGATCAGCTCTCATGCAGAAGATAATGTCTTTGAGAGATCCCTCATGACGTCTATGCTTAAGCTCCTCAAGCTTATTTCTCACAAGCTCCACATCAAAAAGATCTGTCTCGTTCACCTTCGGAGTCTCTTTATCCAGCATCTTTGCGGCATGAGACCATTCCTCATATGTCAATGCAGCTCGCATCATGTTCCTCCAGAATTTCCTCCTGTAAACCATCTCAGCCTTTGCTTTTAGGCTTGTGTAGCGATTCAATAGAAAGGCCATCGTGGTCACCATTGCTAATATCCCTTGTGGATTCCTGGGATGTAGTAAGGACACAAATGGTGATAGTAAAACCCTACCTCCTCTTAGGAAAAACTTGAGAACTATAAAGAGTTTGTGTCTGAATATAGACACTGAGTTGCAGAACAGGATCCTGTAGGCAATTGTTCTTCCGATTATAGTCGTGGGTCCTATAATTGAGAACGCATCAACGCCTGCTTCGTTGCTTATATCCATTGTCTCTGATTCAAAGACGAGAACCTAATCACTGGTTTTTAGGATGGCACTAAGAAACGAACCAGATGACAGGATTTTTGTGTGTAAAGCCAGGATCAGAAGAATCAAAAGATCAATTTTCTCTAAACTATCAACCCATTAAAAAACAGAACGAGAAATCTCTAGGAAATGAAATTGAGCAAGAAGATGAGACATCAAGTGATGGGAAGCATAGGGATTTGTGAGATAACATTGAAAAAGAAAAGATTCCGATGTATAATGGAGCCTTCCAAGATTTCGTTACAACGAAGAAGAAAAGAGAGAGAGAGAAAATTAGTTTAAATGAAACCTGAGATTCATTTTTGCTAAGAGACAAAAATGGCGATCTACGACCCAACCTAATCTTTATACTTTCTAATTTTGGGAATCTAAACACGCGAACACGACAAATTAAAAAAGGATTAAGATTTGTTCTTTTGCACAAATAGTCTCTGTTTTTTGAAACTTGCGAGTAGCGACGAATATAAACCCGTGGAATTCAAACATCTCTGGTTCGTATTAAATAAGTTCGGTATTATCATCTTTATAGCCACGACAATAACGGAGGGACTTCTCGTAATCAGCCCAATTTACACACACAGAGACTTAAGGCCCGTTTGTCAGGAAATTTAAACCAGTAACCAATCAGACTGAATCTCATCCTCATTGCCAAACAGACAAACACTAAGGGAAAGAACCAAAATCAGAGAGACCAGAGTCATATAACTAAGGGAGAATCTGCTTAAATCTGAAACTAACCTTACAAAATAGATAAGAAACATAAAAACTGATAAAAGTAAACGGAAGTGAGACGTAGAATACAAGCATATAATGCCTTTTGTCTCACCTTTTTCCTCAGTAGATACCACAAAATCAAAAGAGTTCAAAACTTAAAAGAGTACTAGCATAACGGAAACCCTATCTCATTCCTCATCATCCTCACTGTCTTTGTTCTTCTTCTTCTTATCCTTCTTTTTCTTTTTCTTCTCACTCTTCTCCGCTGCTGATTCATCTTCAGCATCAACAGCAGCTTCCTCTGTGTCTTTGCTCTTCTTTTTCTTCTTCTTCTCAGACTTTTCAGACTTTGGTGAAGCTAACTCTTCTTTCTCCTCTCCCTTCTTATCTTTCTTCTTCTTTTTTTCCTTCTTCGCAGACCCAGCTTCTTCTTCTTCTTTCTCCTCTCCCTTATCCTTCTTCTTCTTCTTTGATGACTTCACCTTCTCTTCAGCCTCGCCTCCTTCAACTTCTTTGGTTTTAGATTTCTTGGTTGAAACAGGAGCAGGGCTATCACTGCTGTCATCATGCTTACGCTTACGTGCTTCTCCATTCTCAGCCTCAACCTTTTTCTCCACAACAGCATTGTCAGGAGCAGCAGCAGCACCAGCAATCATCGCATCTCCACCAGTAGGCAACACCACGTTCCTGCTCCACTCAACTGGGGTTTTCTCATTTGGCTTCCCGTGCTTGTCCAATTTACCATCAGCAATAAGCTTCTTCTTCATCGAAGCCCTCGGTCCCAATCCCCATTTCCTCGGGTATGTGTCTCTGTCCATCACCACCCGTTTGATCTTAGCCACCACACCGTGATCACAAGTAGCCATCACAGATGTTGTCATCTCAGCAATTCCAACAGCAATAGCCTCTCCCTTGGTGGTCATAAGAACAACTTCAGTACCCACATCAATGTCATTCTCGAATCTCAACAACCCAGGAATCATCAACTTAGCACCATAACAGATAGCATTCACAGCGGAATCCTTGACAACGAGTCTCTTGTAACTCGTCAATATCACCTCAAGAGGCATAATCACCCTCCTGAGATAAGACTCATCCCTGGAATTGTCATAGACATACTGGGCATCCATCACATCATGCATTGTAACCATGTTATCATTCTCACCCAAAATACCAGAGCGGACCCTTCTAAGCTCCTGCATATGCCCACCAACACCAAGAAGCAAACCCAAGTGAACACACATGGTCCTAATGTAAGTACCCGCCTCACAAGACACCCAGAAAACAACCAAATGCCTATCAGCATCATACTCAAGCAGCTTGCTTTCGTAGATTGTCCTGATCCTAAGCTGTCTTTTAACAGCAGAGATCAAAGGAGGCCTCTGGAACACAGCTCCAGTGAGCGATTCAAGAGCTCTAGCCACTTTAGCAACATCAGGGACAGCCGAGTGAAGCCGAGCTACACAGACGTACTCTTTACCCGCACCTTGCTGCGATTTCACAAGCCGTGTGGCTCGGTCAATACAGACAATGAGATTTCCGGTGACTTTAGGGTCAAGAGTTCCACTGTGACCAGTTTTCTCAACACGGAGGATACGCTTAATCCAAGCAACAACCTCGTGAGAAGAAGGATTCGCGGGTTTATCGAGATTGATGACACCGTACCTGATATATTCCTGAAGAGGACGTTTGAGAGGGGAGTAACCGGCGCTGATTGGAGTGTAGTGACCGGTACGGACGTTGAGCTGGTCGTAGTTCTTGAGGAGGATGGGCCACTTCGAAGTGTCGATTGCTGGAGTGAAACTCTGTGGCTTGATCATGTAGTCTCCGGTGTCGGCGGCATCATTCTCCTCCTTCTTGACGTGCTTTTTCTTCTCTGAGCGTGAGATTTCGACCTCCGCCATGGCGCCGGCTGAATTAGGGTTTTTGAAAAATGGAGGAGGAGGCGTAAGAGTTTGTAGCAGAGGTAGAAGACGACTGATTGGTAACTTATAAAGAGACTAGGGTTTTTTAGGGTTTTAGGTGACAGTGATGACATTAGAAAGTTTGAAGGTGGATACCCTTCTTGGGCTTTAGTTAGGTTTTTAAAATTTTAGTTGGGCTTTCATACAAGTTCAATTGGTTTAAAACCCCAATTAGCGAGGTCCATATATTGGTAAGTACTCTGTTTTATTTTTGGTTATTTTGTGAGGTAATGACTAATTTTAAAGACCTTTCATCAGTTCAAACTTCAAAGTAAAGACAGTTCGTAGTAGGGGTAAAAATTCGATAAGTGACCAAGTGAATAGTGCATTTTTGTAACTAACACCTATGATTTATGGAAGTCGTTGATAATGTGATTGACTTAATGCGTTATTCAATGTTTTGATATCAGATATATGTATGTAGTTTGATTTAAATATAATGCAAATTATGTCACAGCAATGAAAGCAATGTTATCGCCAATCTCCAAAAGTCCAAACTCTAGCTAGAGTAGAGTAGGTAGAGACTACATGAACCATGAATCCACTATATTCGCTTTCAGTTCTATATCTGCAAACTTTAATTAGTGTACTGTTTCTCTTTGATACGAGAGAGTAGGGACAACTATGTTCATTTTTGTTTGTTTGTTACTTTTATAGAATGTTATTTTGGTTCACAATCGCATGATTCATGAGAGGAAATGTTTATTATATAAAGATGATCGTTGATCTTGATACAACGTCTATCGTTGGGCGGTCTCGTAACAACAAAACTGATTAATATAATGAGAAATGAGGCATGAATAACGCTTGGTGCTTTTAGTATGAGAGTCGTACATATGTGTAACAAGAACACAATCCCTATATTATTTATAAAAACCAAGACCGTGCCCGTGCGTGAGTTTTTTGACCACAGAAATATTTAAGTATGGGAGAATATAGTGAGTGGTATATGATTCTACATATATAATAAAAATCATGTGGCTATTCAAACACATGAAAAATTTATCACACATATTTAAAAAATGTTTTTGAGTGAAGTGTTGTGGTTTGATTCTAACATTCTTTAACAAATCAACTACCGCCCCTAAATCTTGTGGAATTATATATTATCCGAATATCCTTATTTACGCTTACTGATTCGCATAAAGGAACAAAAAAAACAGACCCCGTTGTTTAAATCTGTTACATTTTACACCCCCACAAGTGTAAAAGTCAGCCTTTGCCTTCTTCTCCCTCACTCTGTTTTTCGCCAATAAATAGTCCTTTCACAAAGAAACATATTATTTCTACAAACCTAATAAGAAGTGACAAAAGAGAGAGAAGAAAGCAGTTAAAGAAAGAAATGGCCGGAGTTCAATACAGTTTCTTCCCGACCGACTTCTTCTACCCACGAGCTTCTCCTCCGAGTACAAGCCTTGTCGCTGCTAATCCAAAAGTGGTGGACAAGACCCAATCCCAACAAAAGAGAGATGGCTTGGTAGTGATTGACAAAACTCGTGCTTCTTTGTCTCTTCAGCTTGTACGTGAAAAGACCACTACTAATCATCATCAGTCTCAAACATGGAAGAACACGAAGCCACTTTGGATTGAAGATGATATGTGATTTGTTATAGCTTTTTAAGATACAATCCTCCCTCCTTCCTCTCGTGCCTCTTATACAATCAATATACATCATCAATAATGTCATTTATCTACTATACTCTGCTTTTTTGGATTCATGTCTTCAGTAGAGTTCATCTTTCAAGGTTATCAGAATTGGCTGTTACTAAAGGGATGATCTTAACACCACCAATTAAAGAGTGTTCGCTAGATTTCTAAATAGCCTACTTGCTTTGTGTGGATCGTATGTTTTCTATAGAAGCAAGTAGAGCTGCGACTCTGTTATCATTTTTTCACAAATTGTGTAATTTGGGTATTGAAATGATCATACTTGTTAAGACGACGCAAGATTAGATGAAGCCATGAGAAGAAGAAAGAAGGAGCGGTATATAATAAGCCAATACTTTGTAACAATAAACTGGGTCTCCCAACCATGTACAAATCCAAATAATCTAATAATAAGAGAAACTTAACAAGGCAGAAGAAACAAGTCTATGAATGGGTTCAGCAATAAAGAAAAATAAAAGGAAGGAAAGAGATTCATAATAATATGAGATCATCATCATCATCAGTAAACCAATATCCCAGCTTCAAGGAAGAGACATCTCCACTCAGCACTCAGAAGCAAGCGTCCAAGACACAGCAACAACACAGAGCAGCAAGACTGCAAAATCAAAAGCAAATCATTACTGATCATTTCACATCTTTTTGAATATCTGCAACATGCCTCACAATCAAATCAAAGCACTTCTAGTCATATCTTACACTGAAATTGAGTCAGAATTGCAATGTAGAGACAAAAACCACTCAAATCAACACTAACAGATGGAAGATTTATGAAAAAGGGAGACATGAGAAAAGATCTGAACATAAAAAAAAAGGAGCAAAAGATACATACCATCCTTCAAGCATACCAGGACTGTGCTGCTGCTGCTGTTGCTGAGGCGGAGGGTACTGTGGTGGATAAGGAGGAGGATAACCCTGCTGAGGATAGCCTTGCTGAGGATAGCCCTGAGGAGGGTATCCTTGCTGAGGATAGGGTTGTCCCGGAGGTGGATAAGCGTCCTTGGGTGGTCCTTCCGGTGGATAAGCATCCTTGGGTGGATAACCTATTCAGATCGAGAAACAGCTAACGGATTCAGAATTCAGAATCAGATCCATCCACACAGAACAGCAACAACAACAACAACAAATCACCAAAATTATATACAAGAAAAAGCGGATGAATAATAACGAAAGAGGAGGAGTGAATATTAAAAACAAAAGGAAGAATCTGGAGAGGGACCTTGTTGAGGAGGAACACCAACTGGAGGTTGACTCATCGTACTTCTTCTTCTTCTTCTTCGCTGCTACTTAGTTTGTTTTCTCTGGGAAACAAGAGTTAAAAGGTGTGGGATCTTTTTAAAGGGAGGGATGAGCAGAAAAGAGAAAGTGAGAAGAAGAGCAAAACCGCGTTTTCTTTATACACGAATTTAAGTTTTTTTTCTCTTTTTATCTTTTTTTTTTTTTTGTTTTGAAAAGGGTGTTTTGTTTCTCTCTCTTTCTAACGGTTACCCTATCAATATTTGCCACGTCCTATTCAAATCAAATGTATTAATTTAATTACTAACCTTTATTTTAGGTCTTTCAGATTCAAAGTATATCTAATTAGTTTTTGGAATGTTTTTAAAATTTTAATTTTCTTTTTGGGAAGGGAATCCAAATTTTATTTTCCTTTACAGTTTTTTTTTTGTTACATTTTTTATCTTTGACTTAAAGGTTCAATCTATCTACTTTATATTTTTTTCCCTCATAGTGATTAAAATAGAAAAATTTGATTTAGGTTTTATAAATTGATTTACTTATTTTTTAAATAAAAAAGATTTGTTTCTTTCATTTTTCTTATATCTAATCTAAATTTAATTTATTGTCAATTTGTCAAATAAACTTTTTTTTTGGTATCCATTAATTCACAAAATACTATTATACTATTTTACAACATTTTACATTATTTTACTTTTTTCATATGCATCAATTTTTTAAAAGTAGAAAAAAACAAAATATTAAGTTAATTAATTTATTTTTTGGCATGCAACTAATATTTTATAAGCAATATAATTTGATATAAAAAATCATTAATTTTTTTTCATAGATCCAACAAAAGAATTTACATAGCTAAACCCGAGATAATAGAGCTGATGAACAAATCAAGGATAAAGGGACAAATAACATGTTTTCCAATGTTAAACGAACGAGTCACCTAGTGATCAGAGAGTGTCTAATGTCTATGGTGGAGTTAAAACGCTAGATGATCAATTGGAGAATTCCCCATTTGCCACAGATGAGACGATGGAGTTATGGCACAGCATCCAGTACTCTCTCAATGGCATGTGCATCCATGGCCTTGGAGGAGGCAGATCAAGCCCCAGTTTTGATGGCATTCTGGACAAAAAGACAACACAATGGTAAATCATTTTGAAAAACAGAGGGAGAGAGGCTAAAATTTGAGATCGATTTCATATTTAAATTCACCTTTTCCCACTGAGGACTCCGCGAGCTGATGTAGTCAGAGAAGAAGCTGATATTCCTGAAAATATTGTTGTATAGTGAGGCAAAAGAATTTGTCCTGCAATATGTTACATATAGTGTCAGCAAAAATTAAATATCAACACTAGCATCCAGATCAAATACTCATTTGACTCAGCCAGAAGGTTCACCTAAGCTTAAAAAATTGCTGCGAAGATTGGAAACCATTAGAGATGGTGTCTTCAAAGGAATATTATGTTCTCTCATTAGATTTGAGGAAGATTCAAGGATATGCTCTCCGCAGTGTTCCATTTCAAACCAAACACCAGAAGGAAATCTTTTACGCCTAACCAGCCAAATCATGATTTCTGCATATGGTGTTGCATGGATAACAGAGATGGAGAATTCAATCAACATACATATGGAGTTGATTGTAGTGCTCGTTATGGTGAAAAATATGTAGAAAACTGAAGTTGTAGGCAACAGAAGCAGAAGAGGAGTGAACAGAAGGGATCCCACTACATGCTGCTTCACAGTGTAACCATAGCTGTCTAACCTTTGACGTAGAGGATTTAATTTTCGCCCTCTGGAAGAAAAAAAGAAGAATTCAAGATAAGGTTTAAGGAATTGAGATAAACAAAACCAGTAAGCAGATAAAAAGATGAGACAATAATTAGTAGTTTCTTTGGATTCAAGAATTTTAAAAGTAAAACAGTATAATTCTAATATGTCTCCTCCTGCTTCTACATTTAATAATCCTAGGAACTGATTCACTAATGAAAAAACTCAGCGAATTTAATGCTCAAATTACCTGAAAAGCCTCCACAGTGCTGCTAAAGCTTGAATTTGGTGAGAGTACACAAGTGTGATTGTCCAATGAAGAGCCATTATATGAAGTGTTGCAAAAGTAATGACATCTATAACAAATGCGGCAGATACTGTTGCACCAAAAGTAATTCCTAGGATGGCAACTGCTCTTATCAAATAAAAAATGAAAGAAGCCATGAATACCCAGAGAGTAGACCATATCTGGATTACATTAAGAGATACCATGCCTAAAACTCCAGCCAATTCTGTGTTTAACTTAAAACCTGCTGGAACTCCCATCAACCAAACACAACCAGACCGCAAAATACCATTCGTGAACTCCTTTGCAAAGTTGAATATCCATGAGCAGACAGATTCGGTGTTAAACAATAGACATAGACCAATCCAGTTCCCCAAAATTAGATCAACAGCCATGGCCGACCATGTAGAATGCCTTCGCAGTGCAGCTTTCTCTGCATGTTCCACACATGATATGGACCTTGTGAAATCCAGAAAAATTGTCATAAATCAATAAGCATAATTCAAAATCATGAACACACCAGGGACAAACGGTTTGTGTGAAACTTCTTGGAAAAATGAGAAATGCAGTGCATGAAGATATCAGGAATTAAACTTTTTATTTCCAGAGATTAGTATGCATCTACTCCTTGCTAACAAAAATATATAAAGATGGAACTTCGAGCCAAGTGCAAACAGAATACGTGAACAGATTTGACTAAAGAAGCAAATTTTGGTATATGATTGAACTTACATCAGATCATTCTCCTCCAGGAAGTTTGGCCAATATAAGATCTGAGAACTGCGTATTCTGAAGTTGATCCATGTATTTTTGAGTACCCTCTTTGATGCGATATGTACCAATGAGAAAATCGGAAAACTTGAAAGTAAACAGAATAACTGGATAAGGCTATAAAAAATAGTTGATAAAGAGCCTATAATTATGGCGAGTGATCGCCATGTCAAAGAAGATATCCTGAAAAGCAAGATGCAAGTAGTTAGAGATTTAGAGCAACTAACAAAAACGAAAAAGAAGAACTCAACAAGGCAAATAAAATATCACAAGTGCTTACAGGTAACTAATGGAAAAGTTCCGTGAAGGAGTCTCTAGCGGCGTGGATATCTTTTTATAGGCAATCTTGGCAGCTGAAGCGCAATTTATGGAAAGAATCACAGTTTCCTGCTTAAGTAAGAACAAGAGAATATTAGCAACTCGTCAAGAAAGAAACAGTACAACAAAGAGAAGCATTTTTGAAACTTCTTAACCATTTCATTCAGAGGTTGCCTATTGTGAAGATCATCAACCCATTTGGGTTTCTTAACAGGAGCTTTTGTCTGAAGAGGAGAGTTCCAAAAGCTTAACGAGAAATGGTGAGAACCAAACACTGGAATGTCATAGACTATAACCTGACATGTTGGTGTTTCAAGGAGTCAAATACTGGCAGCGTATAGGAAGAGAAAAGAACAATACAGGAGAAAGACATCATGACTTACATACGTGGACATCACATTGAGACACAATCTCCCCATTCCAATGTACATGATGCAGTCTAGAATTTGAGTGAAATTCCATTATTCTATGCTCCGAAGAATCACACACCATGTGAATCCAGTGACTGCTCACAGAATCTTTCCAGAAATCCTCTGATAAGCCATCAACCTTATTACAACCACAGCTTAGACTGCTATAACTGCAAGGACCACCATAAGCTCCGGCCTTACTGCACACATCTTTGTCTGTTACAATCTGAGATGAGTTTCCATTAGCATTAAGGCATTTATCATAACGACCAAGGAGCGTAAATGCTGCCTTATCCCGTAAAGGTGAAGGCATCTTCTCATTTGTTGTATGGAGTACGTCCTGTTATAAATCACAAAGGAAAATGTCGCCTACACTGTTTATCAAAATGCAAGAGAAAAGGGTAGGTAAAAATTCGTAAAACACGATGGGGAAAAAAAATTGTGAAGTGAAGTTATTACTTGGAACTTAGATCCTCCATTGGACAAAGAGCTCTCATCAGAGATGAAGGCCACAACAACGTCAAGACAAAAAGAGGAATGGGATACGAACCACCCAAACAATAGACTGTGACTCAAACCATCAGTTGATGCGAGCTGCTTAGGCAACCAAATCCGACATTTTCTCTTCATTTCAGCTCTGTGCAACACAATTCCCAAAATGCAAAACGAAAGAGAACGACAGATCAATAAGAATTGGAGACAAACAGTTCAAAATGCAAACATAACGCAGGAGACAATTTCAAAAGAAAAGAGAGTAAGTATATAGATCTAAGAACACAACTTCAATCTGAGCTAGAGAACTATGTTAGTCAAGTAAAATCAGTTAATACCCAGAGGGATACTCGAATCGTTACTAAATCGGAGAAGATACGACGGGGACTATCAACTAACTACAGCGCAATTGACGATCGGAACGATGAACCGAGATTTGTAAATACAAATCTGAGCCATAGAAATTCATCAATTCTACTTAATTCGCTACTTGTATAATCACGAAAAGGCTTTATTAGATGAACCTTGAGTTTCAGGAGAGTTTTGAGTCTAAAGGTGACGCTTGATTCAGCAACCGGAAGAAAGATACATTCCGGCGACGAGACGAACGGCGGAGAAATGGAAGTAAAATCGGCGGCAATAGACTATATTTTACAATGGGCTGTTCGGCCTACAAAATTGATCTCGGCCTTTTTTAAATATAGAGGTTCATTAGATTAAATATTTTCTAATAAATTTGAATTTAACCAATGTATTTTGTTCTTTGAGTTTTGGTGGATTTATGAATTCTAATCCTAAGCTAAAATCTGTGTATTTAATTCATAGTTTAGAAATAAAAGCCAAGGATGTTAACAAATGTTTGAAGATTTCTTAGTTAAAACATACTAAAGACACAAAAAAAAACTCAAATATACTTTGCTTATTTTATAATCCATATTATAAAATTAGATTGGGTCATTCTAGTTTTCATCTTAGTTTGGGTGTTATTTTTGATTAGATTTGTGTCAAACTAGTTATATATCTCTTAAAATTATATGAACTTTAAAATGGATTGAAATGAATCCATGTGGATTTAGAAGATACACAAACCAAAATAAACCTTCCAAAATGACTACACTGATGTAAGCTAATCTGTAACTTGTATCAGCACTAGATCTGAATCCCTATTCTTTAAGTACATACAGGTTACTATGAAACATCCTCAGAGAGAAAATCTGTGCTGTCTTGTTGCTTCTTCTTCCTACGAGCTTCATCAAGCTTACTAGAATGGGTTCCAAGCACTTCGGTTATGGCTTTTGGCAACCAGAAGCCAGGCCGCTCAAGATATGGCGCTCGGTCAATAACCAATGGTTCTCTCAAGGTTACATCAATCCCCTGATAAGTCCATAATGCTAGTGTTGCTTCACCTTTGAGACCAAGAGCCAACCAGCCAAGACCAGCCACTGAAATGTCGATGCTTTTCACTTCCCAACTACTTCCCGTCACCTGAATCTCCTTCTCTTCCCAGTTTCCCAATTCAGACGCTCTGTTCTCTCCAATTGGTGGCTATTTAATATTAAAAAAGGGTTTCCATTACATTCTGATGTTGCAAAAATAAGGAAATGCGCAAGAAACAAGCTTTACTTACCTGCAGGCGTAAACCGGAATGGCCCTTGAGTATTTCTTCAGCGTTCTCCGTTTTTCCTAGATGCAATGAAACACTATGCGATGCCCATACTGTTATGTATATTGTTTCAACCGATGCACGAACGAGGTCTAGCCTGACCAGGCCACCAATATGAACAGACTGTCCGGCCTGCAAATGAAAGATTCAGCAGAACCAATTTAATTCGTGGAACACAAACTCATGTACTTATATTAAAGCAATAGAACAGTTGCTACACTGTATCTATCTAATGGTTTTCTACCTCATCAATTTTCGGTACTGGTTACAAGAAGCTCTAAAGTTTAGCTCTAGGTCTCAACTCTGGGAGCAGACAAAAGCTTAGAAAAACTGTTAAGATATGAATAAGAGAGAGCTTGCCTTGACTCTGTAACTCCGAGGTTGAAGCTCCTTTCTTATCTCAACCATTTTCCGCTCCTCTGAATTTAATCTCAGGGACATAAGGTAGGGATGTAAAAGGCCGGGAGTGTCATACATCTTCGCCTTTGCAGACAATATTCCACCAATTCTCAATATTCCAAGAGTTGTTCCAGGAACAGGAGCTTCCGTGAGCCTAGTGACTTTTGCACCATCTTTCTTGGATAAGGCATTGATCAAAGTAGATTTCCCTGCGTTCTGAGCTCCAATAACCCACACGTTTCCTCTTGGACCAGCCAACTCTTTAATGTAAGCTAGCAAATTCTTAACACCAAGATCTTTGCGAGCACTAACCATATAAACCCCACTTAGCTTAGGCGCTCCTCCAGCCTTGGCACGGTGGCGCACCCATCGGTCTAACCGAGCTGGTGAAATCTGAGTTGGAAGTAAGTCTACTTTTGTTGCAACAAGCACAAGTTTTGGGAGGTTCTTGCTACCCTTAGGATCATTTTCAGCTTTTTGAAGCACTTTAAACAGAGACTTGGCTGCTCGTTTGGGAAACGAACCATCAAAGTCGACACAATCAACAACCATAACTACAACTGTCGTGCTGGAATTACTCATCGGTTTTATTAGTCTAGTTGATATCAACCTATCAAAATCGAAATCTGGTAAGAGGTTCTCTGCAGCCTCATTCTTCACTTGGCCATAATTCCTAAGAGAATGGCAACGAGCACACACCGTCACATCATCAAAATTGTCTTTCTTTGCCTCCTCTCTAGCTATCTTCTTCCTTTCTGTTTTCGAAACCCGTTTCTTCTTCTCCCTCTCCTCAGTGACATTACCATATCCAACACCAGCCGGGGCAAAACCATCCAATTGAATATCAATCAGCTCTTCCTTGTCTCCCCACTCATCTGATTCCCAGTCAAACTCACTCTCACCTTCAGAGTTGCTACCATCTATTGTATTCTTGATCTCATCATCCATTCCATCATCTCCCCCCTCCGCCTCCTCCTTCACATCATCAGTATCATCATCATCTACCATTTCAAACCCATTAAGCTCATCATATTCCACCTCTTCATCAACTACTAAGTTCTTTGCAGTGACCTTTCTCTTCTGATAATATCCGGGTAAATCTGGATCATTGTCCTGCATAAAAATCCCACAACCTGGACAAATGAGCTTCCCATACTCCTCATCTTCATCTCTTCCTTCGCTCATGATAAGATTTTTTGCCCTCTTGGGAAAAATTGTCCCTTTAACTCTCTCCACGCTTTGAACAACTGGTTCTTTCTTCACAGCTAAACACTGAACCGAAACAAAACATTTCTTCTTCTTCGTCTTCTCATCACTCAACCCTACTGAAAATTTGAGTTCTTTCAGATACTCATCACGAAAATGAGAAACTTATCCGAATTTCAACAAAACGGAAAAGTAAATTCACCTGAGAAAAATGGAAATTCGGGTCTGGGTATTAACCGGCTAATGCGAAAGCTGCCATCTTCAAGCTTTGGTTTTACTCTGCATATCGTCACGGTACTTGAAACCAAAACCACCATTTTCGTCGAGCTTGATACTATCAACTATCACTAATAATTTGGTTATGAACCAAAATTTGCCGTGATAAGCAACTCCGTCGACACTCGAGAGGATAGTCTCAGATAACTAAAACGCACCGTATTACTTCAAATCCGACTTCACTCTAAAGTCTAAACCCTACACATAATTACATAAATACCCTTCAATTCAGTGGAAAGGTCGAAAAACAGAGAGAGAGAGAGAGCGTTAGACACTGGATTATATGATTACTCGTAAGAATTAGTTTTCTAATGCTCGTATAAATGTATCACAATTCAGTTCTGTTGATTCCCTTTGTGTCTAAATGACTAAGCTTTATGAGAATGAATGGGAGTTACGTGGAAGACATTAGAGGCTCAAATTTTAAAACAGAGTCTTAAGGATAAGGTTGTGGAGACCCATAACGCAGACAAAGAAACGAGCTTAAACCCCATTTAATATTTTAGTCGGAGCTCCGGCAAGAAAAAATGGCGGCAAAGATTACAGGCGGAGGCTTCTCATGGCGACGCTTGTACAGGAAGAGGACACCATCTAGATTTCTGCTCTTCTCTGTTCGAGCCTCTCAGTCAATGGATGACATGGATGCCGTCTACAAGCAATTGGGTATGTCTCTGATGAATGTTTAGGCTAAGAAAAATAGTCAATTTGGAACTGTGTTTTGGGATTTGTTCTTTAAACAGCTTAAAGTTGGAAGCTTTATGGTTTTGAAAAGGTTTTGGTTTGGTGTGGCATTTTGTGTATAATTTGCCTCAGGATTGTTTTCACTGAAAAAGAAGATTAAAGATGTTGTTCTTAAGGCTGAGATGTTAGCACCTGATGCTCTTGAGCTTGAAGAAGAGCAATGGATAAAGCAAGAAGAAACGATGCGTTACTATGATTTATGGGATGATCCAGTAAAATCTGATGAGATTCTTCTCAAATTAGCTGATCGAGAGAAAGCAGTTGATATCCTCAAAGACCTCAAATACAAGGTTCTTTTTACTTATTCTGAACAAATCTTTTTGCTTTTTTTTTTTTCTTTTGCAAGAAAATTAGTTTTGAATGTGTCTGTTAACTAGGCTGAAGAAGCTAAGCTAATCATGCAATTGGGTGAGATGGATGCTATAGATTACAGTCTCTTTGAGCAAGCCTACGATTCATCGCTTGATGTAAGTAGATCTTTGGATCACTATGAGATGTCTAAGCTTCTTAGGGAACAATATGACTCTGAAGGCGCTTGTATGATTATTAAATCTGGATCCCAAGACACAAAATCACAGGTCGGTTTCATCAATTCTCAAATCTCAAGGCACTTACAGTTTCCAACTCTTTAGTTGTGTCTTAGTTACTGTACGTTCTTATACACATTTTGGACTTGCAGATATGGACAGAGCAAGTTGTAAGAATGTATATCAAATGGGCAGAAAAGCTAGGCCAAAAAGCGAGGGTAGCTGAGAAATGTAGCTTCTTGAGCAATAAAAGAGGTGTAAATTCAGCCACAATAGAGTTTGAATACGAGTTTGCTTATGGTTATCTCTTAGGTGAACGAGGTGTCCATCGCCTAATCACAAGTTCCACTTCTAATGAGGTATACATTATCAGTTATAACTTCTCTTTCTAGTCCATTTGCCTGCCCGGGAAAGAATTTAAAAGATATTTTCTTTGCGCCAGGAATGTTCAGCGACTGTTGATGTCATACCATTATTCTTGAGAGCATCACCTGATTTTGACATAAAGGACGAGGATTTGATTGTATCGTATCCAGGAAAAGAGAATAAAAAATTAGCTGAGCATATGGTTTGTATTCAACATATTCCAAGTGGAATTACAGTGGAATCTTCAGGTATCTCTAAGCACATTACACTCTGGTCTACTGCATATTATGCAGACATTATAATATAGGTTGTTGATGCAGGAGAAAGAAACCGGTTTGCAAACAGGATCAAAGCGCTAAACCGGTTAAAGGCGAAGTTGCTTGTGATAGCGAAAGAGCAAAAGATCTCGGATGTAAATAAAATCAACAGAAAGAACATATTGGAAGAAACGAGGAGGTATGTCGCTAAGGGTCACAAGATGGTGGTTGATAAGAAAACCGGTTTAGAGATTTTGGACCTGAAATCTGTCTTGGATGGGAACATTGGACCACTCCTTGGAGCTCATATTGGCATGAGAAGTTCAGTTGATGCGATTTAGGCTTTTAATCAATTGGTACACTTTAGTTGTCTATTGTATCCAAAGCAACAAATGGTTTGCTTGGCTTGTGTGTATATATATATAGAGCCTTCTATTATACTTTTTCTTTTGTCAAGAAACAAGAACAAGATACGAGTCTAACAATCAAACAAAGTAGGAACTGGTGACGAAAACTAATTAAAGCTAGCTTTTAAGTTTTAGATCAAAACTATGAGACTCTAGTGTCTTCTGTATACTTTTAAGTTTTAACTGTCAGCTTGGAGAAAGTCATATCAGAGAGACATAGCTGTTGCAATAATTGTCGTGTCACGTCGATTACATTCTCGAGTTACTTGCTTATTGTTATCTAGTCCATAAAAAAGGTAAATAAATAAAGGTTTGGCAGAAAAAACTTTTCCTCTAGTAAGAGAGTTTGGCAGAAACTTTAATATCATCAAAGCTCCTAGATTAGTAAATCTAATTACTTTTTCGTTGCCGGAAGACCAACTATTTCGTCGGGGTTGTCCTAAAATTAAAAGCTTTTTTTTTTTAATATTTGATCTCAGCTTACACTTCAACAATAAATAAATAAATGAAAAAGCTAGTCAGAAGATCTAATTTATTGTTTACCAAAATTTTATACTGGCATTAATAAGTAATTTGAATAATTTATAGTTATCAACTTTTAGCTACATTATAATACTCACTTGAAAAATTCATTTTGGTAAAAATTTAGATTATGGGAAATGTGTCAAACAACAGTCCTTATACCAAATTAATGTCACCATGAAGATTAAATATAATGTTTATATTTTAATCTATTCAGCAAAGGAAAGAAGAAAAAATGGAAATAGTTGGGAAAATGGAAATTAATGTTGACGAAAAAAAGGAAATTGTTTATTTATTTATTAAAAACGAAGAAAATATGAAGAAAGGTTAACTGAAAAACGGCTCCGTCATCAATTGAACGAGAGAGAGAGAGAGAGACTCCTTTCAAATTATTTTCAGTTTCAATTTCTTCGTCTCCCTCCCACATCACACACACACACCATCTCTATATACACAGTCCTCTACATTGGATCTCATACTCTTATTCTATGCCACTGGCGTTTTCTGTCGCATGGCGGGTCTCTACTCCTCTTCCTCCTCGAAACCCTCTGTGTCATCCTCTTCCTCAACATCATCTTCCTCGCGACTTATTCTGCTCGTGACTCTCCTTCCTCTCTCCCTCGCCTGTTTTGCCTTCGTTCTTCAATGGCGCGGCGGTCTCGACGACCCGGTTGCCCATTGGTCTACGGATCATCACGAGTTCCCCGGAATGGTTTCAACCCAAGAGAAACGTTCCTCCCGTCGTTCGGTTTCTGATTCGGGTTGCGTTGATCTTTTGGGTCAGAGTCGTGCCCCTTCGTTTCCTTATTTCCGGGATTGGAATTTTGATTACCAATCGGATCTGAAACCTAGGGTGAGCCCTTTTTTATCCAAATTTTGGGTTTTCTGATTTTGGTTTGGTTTTTCATCTGATTTGATTTTTACGAGTGTGTTCCTGTTCATATATCTGTGATTGCCATGTATCGCTGAATGATCCTTGTTATGTATTTCATTGTGATGGATTTCTCATCTTGAAACTAATTTATGAAATTGTTCCAGTCAAACGGGTTTGATGAGATATCCATAACAACGTGCAATTAAGTGGTTTAGCTAGAGTGAAGTAAATCTCTGCTACTTTGGTCTATGGCCTCAGATTTGATTTGAGTGCTGTGGGATAACTTGTGATTTATAATCAGATTTATGAAACGTTTCAGACTTTTTTTTTTTTTTTGTTGCAAATATGTGTTCTTTTGTTTTTATGCTTGCTAGATATGCATTACAACAAGCACTTCTGCTGGCTTAGAGCAAACACTGCCATGGATTTTCTTTCACAAAGTTATTGGAGTTTCAACTTTTTATCTATTTGTTGAGGGGAAGGCTGCATCCCCAAATGTGTCTCGAGTTTTGGAGACCATCCCAGTAAGCACTGCAACTATTCTTTGTCTGTTGACACTAGTTTCTTTTCCTCTCTTCTTATTGCCAGTGTGATTTCTTTTGCAGGGTGTAAAAGTTATACACAGGACAAAAGAATTAGAAGAACGACAAGCCAAAAGGTATTCTGGTCTGCTGCATTTTTGTTGATATGTTTTACTCTCAGGTGAAACGGTAGAAAGAAAGTTTTTATTGCAGAAAGATTATAGAATCCATTGATTGATATCAAGTGTTTCAGTTAGAAAAGATTGGTAATTAATATACTGTGCCTTTGTTATGATTGTCGTGTCTCTACTAAAAAGTTTTGCTGGGACTTCTTTACCACTAATATGATATTTCATTGCCTTTCGGTTTTCAGCCGGATATGGAATGAGACTTGGCTGGCGAGCTTCTTCTACAAACCGTGTAACTATGAATTGTTCGTGAAACAATCATTGAACATGGAAATGGCAATCACCATGGCTCAGGTATCTTTTACATGTTCCATAGCTGATTACGGCATTTGCTAATAATCACTTGATAACGTAATAAATTCCAACTGTATTCTATTATGCGGTGTATTTAGGACTCTGGTATGGAGTGGATAATTCATCTTGACACGGACGAGCTTATACATCCTTCCGGAACCCATGAATATTCTTTACGCAAATTGCTGGGAAATGTATCTGCAAACGTGGATATAGTTATCTTTCCAAATTATGTGAGTCTTACTTGACATAAGATCTTCATTTTAAACTATAAATAGTTTCCTCTGGCTTCATCAGCATTGCCCGTGTTTCAGGAGAGCAGCGTTGAGCGAGATGATATCAGGGAACCTTTCAGTGAGGTGCAAAAATTATCATCTGAACCTATGTTATGCCCCCATGAGAAGTTGATCACATGATTGTTTACCCTTCATGGCTACATGATTATCTTAACAAATCTAAATACCGTTCTTATTTGTTGTACTTTCATTTTATTGTAGGTATCAATGTTCAAGAAGAATTATGACCATCTTCCGAGAGATGTCTACTTTGGAAGCTATAAAGATGCCACTCGTGGAAATCCAAACTATTTCCTAACCTATGGAAATGGGAAATCTGCTGCCCGTGTTCAGGCCCATCTTCGTCCCAATGGTGCTCATCGATGGCACAACTACAGAAAGAGTCCAAAGTATTCTCTTTTCTCGTTAATTTGTCTTATCATTTGACTTTTTATATTTGGCATCGTTTTGCCCTGTATATAATATGTTAGACTCTAGTGTGGTTTGTTCAATAGAAGCTTGTAGTGGGACATGGACGAGCCTGAGCCTCTCAATTTCCATTATTTGAGGGGGACTAACTATTCTGTGGCTTTTATATGGCATCTGTTTACAGTGAGGTCAAACTAGAAGAAGCTGCAGTGCTGCACTACACTTATACTAGATTTTCAGATCTTACTTCAAGACGTGATCGTTGTGGCTGTAAGCCTACTAAAGTGGATGTCAAGAGATGTTTCATGCTGGAGTTTGACAGAGCTGTGAGTGGAGATTTATACTTAATCCTTTCTTTTTCCTGCATATTACTAAGAATTTGAACTCTGGAGTCACAGCTTTTGGCCATCTCATGTAGGCCTTTATTATTGCTTCAACTGCGAGCTCAGAGGAAATGCTGCAATGGTATTAATATAGATTTAAATATAATCACTGCTTTTCATCCCATTTTCCCCTGCTGCGGCAATTTAACAAGCTTCACTAATACAGGTACAGAGAGCATGTTGTGTGGGCAGATGAAAAATTGAAGTTGAAACTGCTTAGAAAGGGAATTCTGACCCGCATTTATGCTCCTATGGTTAGTTACAACAAACCCAACCAACCTCTTATATTTGACATGATCGATCAATGTATGGTTTTCCACAAGCTATCATCTCTGACAGGTTATAATCCAAGAGCTAAGAGAAGCGGGTGTTTTCAGCTCCGTGGTAACTGCAGCTCACATGTCTCTCTCAAACAAGTCTTCAACTGCTGCTTCGACTTCAAGCGTTACCCGAGAATCATCTCAGGCAACTGGTAGGAGGAGGGTGTTGGAATTTCATCTTGATCTTGGCGGTGAATATCAAACATCAGCGGTACCACCACTATCGCCTCCAGGCTTGGAAGCAACCCACTTAAAACCACAATCTGATACTTAAAAATGTTTACAAAGAGTGGAATATTTAGAGTGATTTATGAACCTGAGCTCTGGTGTACATTTAGGAAAATTTTCGTTTAGGTTATACACAGATAATGATTCTACAGATAAAGAGGAACATCATATAGCAGGCTTCATCATATGTACTATGCAGAATACTTGATCATGTTGACGATTCTTAACTTCACATACAAATTCATGGCCTTCCTGATCTGACTACTGGTTTTCTTTTGTGCTATATTATCTTCATATGAACATGAATCCTCAACCTTAGATACTAGTGTTTCTGTTTCCTTTTGCTGTCTATTTAACTTCTAATCTTCAGATTTATGATCTTCCTGAAATTTGAAGTTTGGCTTCGGAACATCTTTAGCTTCTTTACAACTTCATTTTTAGGTTGAGGCAATGACAGATTCAAGAATGAGGAAATTAAAGTTTTTATATTACTCAGACAACTTAAGTTTCACTCATCTCAGCTGAGTTACTCTGCTTACATGAGAAAGTGGTTTTTTATCAACAACTTATCACACTACGTCTACTTTAGAATAAGATATCTCATTAGCTTATACAACAATGTGGATCTGGCCAATCTATACGTATGATTTACTCTTACTGCAGCATTCTCGTCTTTATAAATCTTGATAACTTCTTTCTTACACTTTTGATTTTTTTTATAAAAAAAAGAATAGTAATCAAGCAATTTCACATGATTCCCATAGTTATTTTATTTCTTTATACTTTACTTTTTAAAAATCTTTTCTCTTCGACAAAAATAATAGTACTACTTCTTAGTGAAGTGTGATACGGTGTCGTATTGCTGTGAAGTAGCAAGTTCTAATTAAATGCTACACAGACTTTGAAGCTTCAGCGAAAAGTCGAAGAAGCAAATCCAGAGGCGGGGAACCAAAATCGCCAACCATGGCAGCTCGTAAGAGAACTTCTTCGCTGGCTAATTCCGCCAAACCAGCTCCATCTGAACCTGTTCCGTCGCCGGCGGAGCAGAAAGCCACTGTTTCCGGAGAGGATTTCCGTCTCGCACCGCCGAAATTGGGCGTGATCTTTGTGATCTCTTCGCTTCTATGTTCGATTTACCTTTACCTTCTCTGTTTCCACTACAATGTTGACAACGAGCTCAAGCGTCCGATCCTCATTAACGCTGGGCTTAGCTTGGTTGGTTTTTTTGTCACACTCAAATTGATTCCTGTGGCTGCTAGATACGTTCTGAGGCGTAATATGTTTGGTTTTGATATCAACAAAAGAGGCACTCGTCAAGGCGAAGTTAAAGTGTAAGTTTTTTCCCTCTTTGATTTGTTTCTTGTTTAGATTTCAAATTGGTATTAGTGTTCATTGTTTTTTCTTGAAATGGATGGCTCTTAGATTTGATATTATAGGAGGAGAGGAAAAGTATGAAGTGTCTCATTTTCTAATTCATATTCCATACATTTTTAGGCTTGATTTGATCTCTGGGACATCTGCGTGTGTCATTGGTAATTTTAATGTGCTTATTTTCTGCAATCTTATGTCTTTGTAGGCCTGAGTCATTGGGAATCGTTGTCGGTATTGTCTTCTTGATAGTGGCGATAGTATTTCAGTTCTTTAATTTCACAGAAGATTCGGTGGTAAGTGTGCAAAAGCTCCTACCTTTGATCATTCATTTCTTTTGGCTGAGTGGGTCATTCATTGGTTATGTAAATCTCATGTGATAATCCTCTTTTACCAATTTTCAATCTTTTTTTTTTCTCTGCTTTGCATATGTGTTTACACTGAGCCGTTATGTCAAATGCAATTTTTTTGTCGCTAGACGAATGTAAACTGTGAACTTGGTAGCTTTTACCCCATTTATTGCTTTGATGCAATTCATCAGTCTGGTTAATGACTTCTTGCAGTGGCTTGTAGAGTACAATGCAGCTCTGGCATCTATTTGCTTCATGATTTTGCTTGGATTTGTAGATGACGTCCTTGATGTGCCTTGGAGAGTGTAGGTGCAATTCTTATTTGTTGGATTGAATTCATTCTTTATTTCTGTTCACACATTAATTCTTGCCAATTTTCAGGAAACTTCTCCTGCCATCTTTTGCGACCCTTCCACTGCTGATGGCATATGCTGGACATACAACTATCGTTATACCGAAACCTCTAGTTTCTTATGTTGGCTTGGAAGTGCTTGATCTAGGTACAATTCTTCTTGTATAAAATATTAAACCATCATTAGCTATTTTCAAATTGATTTCCTTAATTTTGTACTTTATCGTGGCAGGACGGATATATAAGTTATATATGGCGCTACTGGCTGTTTTTTGCACAAATTCTATAAACATTCATGCTGGTCTGAATGGCCTTGAGATCGGTCAAACCGTAGTTATTGCAGCTGCTGTAAGTTCTGCAGTCAAAATGCGTCTAAAATTTGTTTGTCCCAATGTACCTCCGGCTGGTTTCTCTTAAGTAAAGATATGATGCATTCTCAGTTACTTGTAGATCCTAATACACAATGTCATGCAAATCGGAGCATCTATTGATACTGAGTATCATCAAGCTCATGCCTTCTCAATCTACCTTACTCAGCCGTTGATGGCAACATCATTGGCAATGCTTGCCTACAATTGGTAATACTTTCAACTTCAAGTCCTTTTCTCTTAAATCTATCAGGTAAACAAACAACGAGGATTGATTTCTCTAACCACATTCATGTCGACTCTTTGGTGTTGTAAGGTACCCGTCTGCAGTTTTTGTTGGAGACACTTACACAGTCTTTGCCGGAATGACTATGGCGGTTGTTGGCATTCTTGGTCACTTCAGGTGTAATTCAAACTATACTTTCCTTATTTCCCTGTACTTATAGACTCATGATTTTCAGTTTTGCTTACGTGTGAAGCCTGCAGTTAACTAACTTAAGCTTTTGGAAATTCCCTTTCGCAGTGAAACCCTCCTAATCTTTTTTCTTCCACAAGTGTTGAATTTTCTACTGTCGCTTCCGCAGGTTTGATTGCCTTTCTTCATCGCTCACACTTTCTGTTGTTACTTTTCAATTTCATGTGAAAGCATCTAACTTGCTATGGTGTAACTCTTCAGCTTGCTGGTATTGTGAAATGTCCACGGCATCGTCTTCCCAAGTAAGCCTTTTTTTTTGGTCACTTTACATAAAAGCAAAGCCAACGACACATATGACTCTTTGTTATATAAAAGCAACACGTGACTCTTTGTTCCTCTCTCTTTTGAACAGGTTTGATCCTGCTACAGGACTGTTGACAGGAGCAAAAGATGGGACACTGGTGAACGTGTACTTGAGGATATTTGGTAGGAAATCAGAAAAGTCTCTATGTATTCATCTTCTTGTTTTCCAGGTAAGCTTGTTAATGCCCATATGATCTGTAAATACACCAGTTAGTTTGTTGTGTGAGAGAAAGAGAAGTCACAAATTTGGTTTGTGTGTGTTATATTGCAGGGTCTAGCTTGTGCCTTTTGTTTCATGCTTCGGCATTTCCTTGCTGGTTGGTACAAATAAAATCTCTGCGACGTGAAGATCTCTCTCTCTCTAAACGTGTTCTTCGTTTCAGCTCTTTACCTTAGCATTTACACACACACACAGAGAAGTTGTTTTTGTTTCATGTCCAATATATATTAGTACCAATCATTTTAGTTCACTTAGAGAGTTTCCCATCTAAGGCGAGTATATCTCAACAGTATCAGTCCCAAGGAACGAATCAGAACCATTTGACTTGGAATGTTGTCACACATATCATTCACCAATCTCGAGTCACTAAAGCGGATACATACACGGTTCACAAAACTAGTAAATACACTAAAATTAGTTTAGTTACTACGGAAAGTTTCAATGAAAAATTAAAGAAAATTTATTAAAAACAATATTTTCTTGGTAGCTTCGTGAATCTTGTAAGCTTCTTTTTAGACTCAACTTTGTTATGAGTTGAAGATATCATGCAGCTTTTTTTTAATAAACTAAACAATTGAAATATCCTTTTTTTGTAAATTGACGGGAGTTAGTGCCCTCCCTATGTTTTATTAAAAATTAAAAAATCATACAATAACGTTTCGTGGCCGAGGCTGACCAACAACATCCTCGTTTAAAAACGACGCCAAATCCGGCGGAACAACATTAAAACAATAAAAGCCTAAAGGTAAAGAAAATGCATAGTTCGCTAACCCATCCGCGAGGCGATTAGCTTCCCTATACACATGAGAAACACGGACACTCCAGTCCTTCGAAAGATAGCCATAGCACAAACGTGCTAGGAAGGACAGCGGATGAGAATCACTAATCCCTGTCGTAAGAAAATCCACCACCATTTTAGAATCCACCTCAAGCTCCACCCTCGGACACTTCAAATCCCACGCGAGGTACAGCCCATAATACACCCCCCCAAAGTTCCGCCAACGGGCCTGAGCAATAACCTATATTAAGAGAAAAACCCCTCACCCAACTACCATCCTCACTCCGTAAAACTCCTCCTGCCGTGGCTAAACCCGGATTACCCCGAGATGCACCATCCGTATTCAACTTTACCCAACCCGCCGTCGGAGGAACCCAAGCAATCTGTCTAACTAGGCGAGGACCAGCCACCGGGCTCATCATTTCTCTCGAGTGCACTCGATACACCTCCTTCGACACATCCTTCACAAACTGAACTCTATCTCGGCATTTCTTATTTCCACCAAAAACATTACTACACCTCCACTTCCAGCCCCACCAAGCTGCCATGCCAAACAGAGTTGCCCAAGGAACCTCAAAACTCATCGACATATCCTTAAGATTCCCGAACACCCACTCCAACAAGGATTGGCTAAAAAAGACACCTCGCTTGTTAGGAGCTACTAACCGGTCCCATAAACCTGACATGGCCGGGCAATCACGTAACACGTGCATAATAGTCTCCTCTCCGCTTTTACAAACTTGACATAATCCGGATTGACAGAGGTGGCGTCTGAATCTCTCGGAATTTGTCATGATCACTTGGTTAACTACCAACCAGAAGAAAGCTCGTACCCGCTCCGGAACCCGAGCCCTCCACACCTTATCGAAAAGACATCCCATATTTGGCTTACACGTCCCATCTTGTGTAAGGAAATCATACGCAGACCGGACAGTAAACTCACCATCATGGCTTGGCCCCCAAGAAATCCTGTCACGAGCATCCGTAACGGTATCCACCACCATCGCACGAAGCCTTAGCTGAAGCACCTCAGAAACAAACGGTGCGATTTGAGGCCAATCCCAGCCCGATCCCTCAACCCACATCTCTCTTATGCTGCGATCCGCTAACTCCACAGGGACCTCAACAGTGGCCAACTCCAACAACGGAACATTAAGTAACCACTTCTGCGTCCAGAACTTAACTTCGCTACCATCTCCCAAAATCCAACGCATGCCAGGATAAACAACTTCTCTTAACCCGATCCCCACACTCCTCCAAGTTGAAGACCAAGAACTTTTAACCATTGTCCAAGTCGGATCTGAAGCTTCCCGGACTTTATATTTGCTCCGCAAAACCCGTGACCATAAGCTCGTGCGATTACGCATAACCCGCCAACCCACCTTCGCCAATAAAGCTTTATTTGATTCAACTGCAGACCGAATACCAATGCCTCCTTCTCTCTTCGGTTTGCAGAGATTTTTCCAAGATAACAAGTGCTGTTTTCTAGCCTCTGGCGTTCCCCCCCAAATAAAAGTCTTCGATAAACAATCAAGTTTAGAAAGAGTTGATTTAGGGAGCATAATTGTACTCATGGAATGGACCGGTATGGACGAGAGAACCGATTTCGCTAAGGTTATGCGGCCCGCCAGACTTAATACTTTGCTTTTCAAACCCGAAAGACGAGAGGAAACTCTTTCCACCACTTCCCCAAACGTGGTCTTATTCATTCGCTTATGAAGAATAGGCATGCCAAGATACCTTCCCAAGTCCTTAGTAACCTTTATACCACTCTCATCCGTAATCAGACGAACCATCTCACGACTAACATTGTCTGAGAAGAAGATTTTGGACTTCTCAATACTAACTTTCTGACCCGACGCTTCACAAAATCTCTCCAAAACTTGTCTAATCACCCTTATCTGCTCCACAGAAGCTTCAGCAAACAAAATAAGGTCATCCGCAAAGCATAAATGTGAAAGTTTGGGGCCACCCCTTGATAAACTAATTGGTTTCCAAGTCTTTAACCCCACTACTTTCTCAATCTGGTGGCACAATCGTTCTAAACATAACACAAACAAATAAGGGGATAAGGGATCCCCTTGTCTCAACCCTCTAGCTGGCTTAAACGCTTCCGTCTTCTCCCCATTCCACATAATATGCATAGAAGGACCCGTAACACACTTCATAACCCACTCTATCCAATTCTCCGGAAGTCTAGCAGCGCAAACGGTATCATTCAGGAAGTCCCATCTAATACGGTCATACGCTTTTTCCAGGTCAAGTTTCAAGAGCATCCAACCCTTTCTACCTTTTTTACGTCTCATTGAATGCACTGCTTCCTGAACAATAAGAATGTTATCCGTACTCAGTCTTCCTGGTATGAAACTAGACTGAGCTGGCCCGACTAAGAAAGGCATCACACTTTTCAGACGTGAAACCATTACCTTAGTGATAGTCTTGAAAAGCACGTTACACAAGCTAATCGGACGAAATTGCATTATCGTCTCCGGCTTTGTAACCTTGGCTATCAACACAACTAAAGCATCGTTCATCTCTTCCGGAAGCTGTCCAGTACTGAAAAAATCCAACACAAACTTCACCACAGAACCTCCAACCGTCTCCCAACAATCTTGATAAAAAATAGGTTGAAACCCGTCCGGACCCGGAGCCTTATATCTTCCCATACTTCTCACTGCACTCTCCACCTCCGACGCCGAAAAATTCTTACCCAAAGCCATTAAATCCGCATTAGAAAGGCAGGGAAAACCATCTTGTGGAAGCTTATCAACAATAGCATCAACATCATCCATGGAGTACAGTCGCTTATAGTAATTGATGGCCATGCTCTCCAACTCACGAGCATCCGATATCCAACGACCATCATTCCCTCTTAGCAGCTCAATCCGATTTCGCCTTCTACGAATGATTGTAGAAGTATGAAAAAACTTAGTATTGCGATCCCCCTGCACGAGAACTTTCTTACGAGATTTCTGGAACCAAAGCAACTCCTCTTGTTCCAAAACAATGTCGAACGCCTTGATAAGACCCTCCTCTCTCTGCAATAACGCATCTGCCTGGGTCACCTCAAGCTCAACTTGCACTTCCTTTATTTCATGGAGCAAACCATCTTTACGCCTCTGAATATCCCCAAAGACCTCCCTATTCCACTTCAGGAGTTTAACCCTCAGTTGTTTAAGAGCCTCTTGCGTCGAGATATCTCTGTTCCAAGAAACCTCAAGCAAATCTTTAAAGCTTTCATGATGCAACCATGCTGCCTCAAAGCGAAAAGGTCTTCTTTTCGGGTTACCTCTAACTTCCGGTTGAAGCTGCACATACAGCGGAGCATGGTCAGAACAAAAAACAGGGAGATGAGTAACGACAGCCTCATGCCATTTTAAACGCATGTTCGCATAGCATAAAACCCGATCAAGTCTCTTCGCAACATAATTCTGCTCCTCTCGACCCCGTTTCCACGTATACTTGCTTCCTCTGAACCCCAAGTCTATCAACGATAAGTCGTTGATCCAGTTCCCAAAAGCCAGCGAATCCGGAGAAAGACTACCATTACCCCCAGTCCGCTCATCAATACGAATGATGGTATTAAAGTCACCACCGATCAAAATTGGACCAGTAATGTTATTTACCACCCCACGTAGCTCATCCCACAAACCACTCCGTCTGCTCACCGTAGGGGCTGCATAAACAACAATCAAGTTAGTAGTCTCGTCCTCCTTAGTTACCGTAGCGTGAACAAACTGAGATGAAGACTGAACAACCGCAACATCTCCAACTTCAGACCTCCAAAGGAGCCAAATCCCACCACTTTGGCCCTCCGCATCAACCCGAAACGAGCCGTCGAATCCAAGGCCTTGACAAATTCTCTGCGCTCGATCACCACTCGAATGAGTTTCAAACAGAGCGAGCACCTCCGACTTGAATTTCTTCAAAATATAGCGAATGGATCTTCTAAAATTGGGTTTATTGGCCCCCCGGCAATTCCATAACAAGCAATTCATTATAATAATGTAAACTCCACACCGAACTACCGGGGAAAACCGTCATGCTCCCTGCAACTCCATCTCTTCAGATGGATGTGGAGGCATATTCAAATCCCGCTTCTGCGACACGAGCTCTAAACCGGCCATACCCGACATAGACTCAGTAGTAACTGTGGGGACTAACTTGACCGAGTCTTTGTTTCCTGCACGCTCGTGTCCAAATATTCCCCCAGCTCTACCCAACTCCTCCCTCTCAACACGAAGACGTTTTCCCGACAACGACATCTCCACCTCCCCATTTGTCCTACCAAACACCAACCCCAGAGCGGGCTTATTAGCTTTATGTTTCAACTTAGGCCCATTACGCAGCCCTTGCTGAGCTCCAAAATTGAATTGTGACCCTTTTCGCATTGGGCCTAACCCTTTACTAATAGGCCCAACCCTCCCCCTCTCATTAACTTGATCACCACTCTTCTCCTTCTCCTGTTGAGTAATGACAGATACGTTTTCCTTATGCGGTACCACTGAACTCTCGCTTTCCTTACCCACCCTCTCAATAGAATCCTCCTCCAACTCAACGAATCTGTTAGAAATGGTAACATTCGAAACACCATTAATGTTTGTGATATCCTGCAGTGGGTTACCAGAATTGCCCTTCCCACGAATATCCGTTTGGTCGCCGGACTTGCGAGACGTCTCCGGACGCCGACCCGATCTTCTAACCATCGTAAACTCTTCTCCCCTCTGAGTCTCCTTGACTGGCACAACACCCTCCACCAACCTCTGCTTATCCCCATGATTCTCTGTTTCCAACGTTCTCCGAGGGCACGACACAGTCCCGTGTCCAAAGTCCCGTGTCCAAACAAACCACACACTGGACAAATGTTCGTCATACCCTCATAGGAGACAAAGTACCGACTACCGTTGATCAATATTGATCCTTTCAGTGGCTTCTTCAAATTCACATCCACACATATCCGAGCAAAACGACCTCTCTCGAAATTCATCGTTGTGAGATCCACTTTCACTGGTTTCCCTAATCCCCTCGCCAACCTCATAAGAAGTCTCTTATGATAGAAGTTCACCGGAATATTCGATAAACGAATCCACACCGGTGTTGTAACAATCTCATCCGTCATGGGATCAAACTCCGGTTCCCACGCTTTCACCATGAGATAACTCCCAAAAATTCTCCAAGGACCTCCGGTTAACGCCTCTAGGTATTCATCCTCTAACTCGAACCTAACCATGAAGAACTGGCGAGGTAGATCAACCACGTACATCGCCCCCTTCGGCCTCCACATCTCCCGTAATTTCTTCAACAAGACCGCAATGGAAACATGCCTCCCCAACACCTTAACAATCATACATTGCTTCCACAACCCATTCATCACCTCCAACACCTCTGCATCAATAGTTACCACCGCTTCCCCTTCATCCCCTTCTGGGAGTTCCATCCTCACACTCGTCTCCAAAAACTCCTCCGCTAACAAATCATCGGGTATTTGTTTCCCTCCAACACTTCCTCCGGCCACCTTACTCGCATATGATTGGCTCAGATCCGGAGGGTCTCCCGGCGGTCGACTACCCTCCCCCACGTCCAGCATCGTCGCATCTTTTTCCCCCACGGCCATGTTTTACAATTGAAATATCCTTTTCTCGCAGGCTATTATATAGTTTACATTAAAGTTATTTTCGGACAAAAAAAAAAGGAAAAAAAGGAAAGTGCTTCCCTATCGACAGACTAGTGTCGTACGACGACAATTAAAAAGAATCGATAGGGGGACTATCCGTCGGGTATCGAAGAAGAAAGGAAACCCACTTATGGGATGCCATGTGTCAGTACATAACAAGCGAGGTATGTTTTATATAGTAAGAAACCCCTTTTTGCCCTAAATATCCCAAATTTATCATATGTTCTTTCCTTATGTGGCTCTGTCTGTCTCTCTCTCTTCTACTCCTCTCTCCTTCTCTTCTCTTTCGATCAAACAACAACATAACCAAAACAAATCTCTGACCTGAACCATCTCTTATCTCACCCGGTTATCGGATTTTCCAGATCTCTTTTCGATTTCATTTCCCGCGATCTTGGGTTTTTCAAAAAGGTAATGTTCGATTTTGTTTAATTGAATTCGGGAGCTGATGGTTTGGATTTGAATTTGAAATTCACGATGATGATGATGTAGAAATGGGAAGGGGAAAGATCGCGATTAAGAGGATCAATAACTCTACGAGCCGCCAGGTTACCTTCTCCAAGCGAAGGAATGGTTTGTTGAAGAAAGCAAAGGAGCTTGCGATTCTCTGCGATGCTGAGGTTGGTGTTATCATCTTCTCTAGCACTGGTCGGCTCTACGATTTCTCCAGCTCCAGGTACCTCTTTTTTCTCTTTCGTTGACTTTTTTTTTTTGGTATTGGTTTGGTCCATGTGATTCATTGATGAACCAATTTCGAAATCTTAAAATTCGATTTCTTGTTGGTTGTTCTATCTGCAAATTCATTTGGTTTAGGGGAAGAATCGTAGATCAGCTCAGACTAAGTGAAGTGGTTGAAATAATCCCAAGTTCAATACGATTTGATAGAGATTAAAAAAGGTTTTGAAATTAAGGGAACATGAGAGTGTGTTTTATTTCTCTGTTTTTGTATGTATGTTTCTATGTTGTGTGGTGCGTAGATTGTGAGGGACTTGTGGTGTTTGCCAAAAACATACTAAATTTGGTAGAAACTTTATCAGAAGAGGAAAGGGGGGGAGAGAAATAAAGTGGTTAGTGGTTGAAGAAACTCTTAAAACTCTCTCTCTCTCTCTCTCGCTCGCTCATTAAAACCACTTTTTATTGTCTTCTTGGTTTGGTTAGAGAGGTTTTAGAAAGAATCGTCTCTTTTTGCGCTATTCCTTTTCTTTATTGGCAACTAGTTGGTGGGTTTGATGTACCTAAAATGAGCTGCAGCATTATCTTATGTTATTAATACTTTAATATACACAAGTGGGGGAATCATTTCTGATTTCGTTGTCATCCATAATCAAGTTTTGCTCTTTTATTATTCAACTTGCTCATTTGTTTAATGATGATATGTAGAGGAGTTTAGTCTTTCTTTTTGGAAACATTTTGCCTATTGTTAGATAATAATCTCTCTGTTTGCATCATTTATCTATTAGAAAAGGTTGAATATAATCTGCCTCTTACATCTGTCTCAGAGGGAGAAAGCTTCTGTTATTCTCTCTTTTTTTTTTTTGTTCCTTTCTTTCAGTTTTCTCTGTTTTTAGAAGTGGGACTCTGCCCCTTTTCTTTTTCTTTTCAATAAAGACAGCAAAAACAAAAAGAAAAGAATTTGTACCATCCATCAGAAGTGTTGCAGTATGAAAAGAAACAAAATATTAAGTACGGAAGATCTTCGGATATAATGTAATGGTTGCAATTTCCAATGGTGTAAAATGGTCCTTCACATTTATGTCTCACTTACCAATATATCTATAACCTGTTTTTGTGATTAGAGTTGGCCACGTTCTCTGCTCAAGCTTCATACATCTTGTTTAGCGAATCTGTATCTGGGTTGCAGAGAACCATTCCATGTAGGCAATGATGGCTTAGGGTAGACTAAAATCCGTTTTTTTAAGTAAAACTTTTGACAATGAATTGTAAGGAGAAATGTTGCAGTGTATGTTGCTTGGTTACCTTACCTACCAACCACACTCTGCAACTATGCAATTACCTTTTTCGTTGGCAGCATGAAATCAGTCATAGAGCGATACACCGATGCCAAAGGGGAAACCAGTTCGGAAAATGACCCCGCTTCAGAAATTCAGGTACTACCTTTTTTGTTGCTCCTCCTTATGGATTTTAACGAGTAATCAAGAGAACCAATTATGTGCTTGAGTTAAGAATATACCAAACAAGTAACATACAAAGACAGAGAGACTGTTATTGGTGCTTTTTACTGATGTTAGCCTATTACAACTTTATTGGCATTTCCCCACTTTTAATTCCTCTCCAGCTGATCCTGGTTTCAATATCAGACTTCTGAGTCTAAATACCACACATCATTTGTTGAAGTAAGTTTGCTATAAAACACAAGACATGCCCACCTGACCATCAGATTACATACATAATTTTGCATTTTCTTATTCAAGAATCCGTTCTAGACATAACATACAACATTATGTTTAATCCAAAGACAAAATACATGTTTTTCAATCACCTGAAAATCATTTCTACTATATTACAGTTCTGGCAAAAGGAGGCTGCAATTCTAAAGCGACAGCTACATAACTTGCAAGAAAACCACCGGTATGTTTTGCATCCACTTAGATTGTCAAACACTCTCGATAGTGGTTACAACTAGAACAGGGAAGGATGTACTAAAATGCAAAATGAAAACTTATATGTAGTCTAAGGCTGGATTTTTCAGAACCCAAAAGTATCCTACCATTTGCATAGGAATGGTCGATATTAAGAAGAAGAAAAAAACCAAACAGATTAAGAATGTTTTTCAACCTCTTAAGGTTTTACCAGGATACTGGATGTTTTCCCCAAAACCACCATTTTATCTCTACCACCTCCAGCATCTAAAGGCTAAACCATCCATAAGAAGGAAATAACCAAACACTTTCACACTCACACTTTCAAACACTTTGACAGGCAAATGATGGGGGAAGAGCTCTCTGGACTAAGTGTAGATGATTTACAGAAATTGGAAAATCAGCTTGAATTGAGCCTCCGTGGCGTTCGGATGAAAAAGGTTTTGATGCTGTGACGATAAAGTCAATTTTTGGAACCATTTAGAAGAAGTAATAGCTGTACTATATCTACTATGTTCTTGCCTTTTTCAGGATCAAATGTTAATCGAAGAAATACAAGAACTTAACCGAGAGGTAGGACAATGGTCACCATAATATAGATTTTAGACATTCTCCACTCTGTTGGTAAGGAAGATGCTAATTTTTCTTATCTTTTCGGATGCAGGGGAATCTCGTGCACCAAGAGAATTTAGACCTCCACAAGAAAGTAAACTTAATGCACCAACAGAATCTGGAATTACATGAAAAGGTACCTTTGGGGTTTTTTTTTGGAAGCATCTAAGAGCCAAGATTATTAGAATCTGTAACATGCTAGAACATTTTATATTTTCTTATCTAAGGATAATATGTGCATATTCCAGGTTTCAGAGGTTGAGGGTGTGAAAATCACAAACAAAAATTCTCTTCTCACAAATGGTCTAGACATGAGAGATAACTCGAGCGAACATGTCCATCTTCAGCTCAGCCAACCGCAGCATGATGAGACACATGCAAAAGCTATCCAACTCAACTACTTTTCCTTCATTGCATAATATATAAGTGGTGTGCATACGCACACACTTATGTTGACCTCTCGTTCGGAATCATATCTCAATTTAACTGTTGCAGCTTGTTACTGCATAAGCAAAGAAACATAAACATGATCAGTTTGCAATCCATTTCTATCAAACACCAGCTTTGTAACTCTTTCAAAAAACTTCTTTCTCCCTGCAAAATAACTTTGTAACTGTTGGTTTGGAGCTTAAGCCAATGAGTAGTTTGATGATCATAGGAAATGAGTGTTTTCACATAACCTCGTAGACTTCCGTTGCATTCTAGTTTTCTCATCCAAAGCAATTTGTAAAATGTGAGTAAGTTAGCAGTAATAAAATGTGAGGTTGATATATCTTATAGAACGTAAATTCTTAAATGTAACATATGTGCCTCAACGATTGATATATCTTATATAAAAGTATTTGAGGTTGAAAAAATTATAGATTTGAAAACTAGAGGCATAGAGCAAAATAAAAGTAATATATATAGGAAAGGTATTGGTAGCTCAATCATGAAACAAGAATAAGAAAATAAGTATAATATATAATTATGAATGCGGTTCCATGTGTTACACAGTGAGTAAACTTGGGAAATAAGCGATAGAAAACCCACTATGCTTAGATTTGAAAGCTAAATCATAAGAATTTTGTTGCGGATCATGTATCATCAAAGTGCGGCCAGATGCCTCCAACCTATGAAGCACAATCTTATTTTTCTGAAATGTTGTGATTATTTGTGTTGGCGCAACCGATTGGCCAAACAAACTTGAAGTTATGTTCAAATCTATGGAAAACGTCTTCTCCCATTTTTTGCTTGTATTCAATGACCATATCTCTTGCTTCATGTCCTTCCCGGCCACTGATACACACAAACGGCCATTCACGTCGTTTATAGCAACAAGACCAACAGTGCTAAATGGTAAATTCAGACTCACTTCAAAAGTTTCACTATATAGATCAAAAGACACGATATGGCTTTTTGAATTGTATACTTCGCTTAGCCAATGTAGTGATCCATCTACATATGTTGGAATATCGCAATAACATACTCTATAGGGAGAACCAGTCACGTTCCTCCAAGTGTTTGTGTTAAAAGAGAAGACCTCGCATGTAGTTACGTTGTCTAAACCCAACTCTTTCGAATTATATAACCATACCAACTTATATTCGCCATTGATCTTGTCTCTACCCAATCCGAGGAAGGGACAATCTATACTCCTCCCGTCTGCCAGACAGAAAAAGAAATAAGAAAAAATATAAGAGTCTTGTTCATTTAAAAAGAGAAAGTAAAAACAGATTTGAATGTTAATTTACTATTTTTTTTTAAACTATCTAAATCATTTAAAAACCAAGAAAAACTAGAAGTTAAACAATACGATAATTTATTTTGGACTTTTGGACTCCAAAAAAAAAAAATGACATGAATCAGTTTGGAACTTGAAATAAGAACAGACGATTCCATGTATATATGAACATAAGATGTATAAATGAAGTGAAGTGAATTTACCACCTCCATTGAATATATCTTGAATAAGATTTTGAAGCATTGCCAACGGAAGACTACGATACCAATTTATCGAAGGATTGATTACATAAATACATTGAGTGAAACCGTAAATGCATAGAAGACCATCGCAACTCTTTGTGACAAAAATCAAGAATTTGTCGTAAAAAGGGTAATAAGAGCGACTTTCGACAAAAACCGATAACCTCAACGTCAATGTATTTACACATACTTCAATGGGTTGCACACGTTTACTCTGGACAAAGAGTATATTCGGATCATGAGATCGCTCACTGATTCTCATATGTCTCTCCTTAAAATATTGAGACATAGTCGTTAATCTCCATTCCTTTGATACACATTTGAACTTAATGATAGATTTAACTGGAAGTTTTTCTAGAATCTTTTCCACAATGTGGTGAGGTAACATTATATTTGAACTTTTTACTTTTACTCTTCTCTCCCACGCCCCAAGTTGTTTAGGTTTAGGGTTTCCTCTCCCTTGATCTTCCATTGATAGTCTTTTTTTCGGTTAATTATATGCGCATGAATTTTTTATGTTTGAGTTTTTTCTTTGGTTTTTAAGTCAAACTTATGCTTGAGTTATATATACAACTTACATGCATACTTAAAGGAAAAAAATTTCAGAGCATTTTATCTTCTATGCATATCCTTATATAATTTTCCAGTCAACTAATAACATGTTATTTTTATTTTACTTTGGAAAGAAAAAAAATCTAGATTTTAATTCTTTAATGGTCAAACTAATAAAGACAGGATGATTTTATGTTACCTAAAGTTTTATGAAATATTAATCTAAAAACAATAGTATTATCTCAATTAAAATAAATAAAGGGATATTTTATATTACCTAAAGTTGTATCAAATATAAACATGATGTTGTTATAAATCCGTTGGATGGAAAATCTTCTATAGGTAGGTCAAGAGGTCAAGCTAGTGGAGATTACATCATACATCAACAATTATATTTTTGGGACTATAAAGCTTCTTCTTCTTCTCTTCTTCATCAAGTCTCTCTTATATGGGCCAAAATTGGGCTTGAGAAAAGGCTTTGTAACTATGGGCTTCCTAGTAGCCAGGGGGTGTATGAGCTCTGAAACGTCATAGATCGTCTTCGTGCACTGTAGTATCGAGTGGAAGTGGAGGAGCGCGATTGCTCAAATCGACTTAAATGGCGGACGAGGATTACAACGAAGCCGATGATTTGGGGTATCTTTCTCCCTCTCTCTCTCTCGTCTTCTCATATCTCTTGTGCTCACCACACTCCATTTGACTTTTTACTTCAATTTTATCAGTCTCAGATCTCGACGATGGCTACACAGATATGTCATCAACCAATTGCCAATTTCACTTCCTTAGCCGATCATTTACAATCCCCAAGTTTTATCCCAGGTTAACTTGTAGACATATTTTGTTCAGCTCGATAATGTTACGTTTATGCCCGATACTCTCTCTATTTGTTATACTTTACTGGTTACGGTATTATTAAATTATGAATTTGATTCGATTTTGGTCGAGCTCGACATTAGCTTTTGGTCTTCTTGGGACTCGTATTGATACTCACCGCTTCGTTTACCTTGTGTCGTAAAATCATTCCCCTTTTTGTTTTTTTTCTTACATTTTCTGATTCGAGTATCAGATAGCTTGAATCAATCATATCCAGTTCTTTTGGCTGTCTCTATATGCTTAAAATCATTTTTTGATCTCTCTTCTAGCTTGAAACAATCATACCCAGTTCGTTGGTAGTCTCTCTGTGCTTTGAATCATGTTTCACTATGTTTTGGTACTCCTTATGGCACTCAAAGTTAACTTCATATCTTTGCATTTCTGAGTTACCTGTTAAAGTATATTTATTAAGAATTACCCAAGTTCTTTATTCCTATTTCATGTCATCTGAGTGAGGGAGTATTTATTGATTCTGATTCATAATTGACACTTTCTCAGGTGGTCTTGTTATCAGTTAAGGCCTTCTTTGGTTTGTGTTTTCACGAAACCGTACAAGTTCAAGTACTGGTGTCCTCCATGGTGGCAGCCTTCTAGCCCTGAGTACATTGAGCTCAAAGATTTGGCGACAGGGAAAATCTTGGTGACCTTTTATATTAGGACAAGCAGGTAGGCTTCATTTACTGTCTACTGGAACAATTAGCGGGTGTTTTGCAATCACTACTTGCAATCTCTAACTCGAGAAAAGTTACTGGTATTCTACCACATGATAAGCATAATAGAAATCCGTATAAGTAGACTGTCTGGTACTAATAAGTGAACGTTTGATTGTCTTTTTCACTGATCCAAGATTAATATGTGCACATGATTGTCTATCGAAAGTTTCTGCTATCTATGAAATCCTTTTGTGATCTACAACAGCGTCTGATGTAATTGTGTGACCATGCGTTTATGCATTTTCTGGATACATGTAAACGTTTGGTTGTTTTTTTCATTGCAGTGCTTGCATGTTTTGTTTCACTGTTTCTATTAGTATGCTGTGCTGTGCTCTCTGGAGGAACCCCATATCAGACGCTAAACATGATAATAAACTTGTGAAAAACATATCAGGCGCTATATAAGAGGTGAATATTTCCAACTTGTGAATCCAACATTTCAAATAGAAGACTATAAAAATGATATTAAACTTTTTCAAAGTAAAAGTTGAATTATGGGCAAAACACAAGAAAGTTAAAGCAGAGCTGAGTTATATATCACATACGAATTCCAAGAGTTGTATTACTAATGTATATAGAGTTGTAGAAGTTTACAACATTCCACTAATGGAATTGGAAATAGCGTTAATCTTAAAAAAAACTTTATTAAACTGGTAACAATTTAGAGACCGACTAAGAGGCATTATCCTTTAAATACCGCTTAGCATTTGGCATTGCAGAGCATCAGCTCCTTTCTACAAAATTCTCTACCTGTGAATTTAGTTCTCTAGCTTCTTGTATAACAATGTCTTCCTTGAGTGATACAAATCTTAAAAAGCTGCAGCAAAAAGCATACGAGACCTTACTTGTTGCTTTGGACGCGGAAGCTGAAAGTTCCGTAAGTTGAATTATTAATATAATGATAGTGTTATCAAGAGTTATTATATTTGTAACTATGTGATTCGTATTAATCTTTGACTATCTTTTTTTTTTTATAAATGTCTTAAAAGAGGATCGATGACGTTAAAGAGTTGTTGAACATAGAGAAGAAGATAACACCAGAGAAACTTCAGAAAAAGAGGACAAAAGCTTATGAGGCTTTACTTTTAGCCTCCTCCCAAGACAATTCCGCATCCAGTTCAGACAATGCTGTGTTAGCTAGGTGGAGGAGCGAACTTCATATATCCGAGGGCGTCCATCTCGAATGTAAGAATCGGGTCAGAAACAGGATGTTACCACCCGTTCAATCTACCCAAAACAATGTCTTACCACCCGTTCAATCTACCGTAGGATCATCAGGCTCGAACGACGTCGCCAGTCCCGCAATTAGGCGTATCGGAGAATATAAATTCCGCTTTCCTTTGCCAAAAAAGTAATAAGCATGGAATTATTATAACTAACTAGCTAGTATATACATCGTGTCTGATGATCTCTGCGACGTAGGAGCATACATATCATCGTCGCTGTTGATAAATAAATGTCGAAAATATTGGTTTTTCTTTTTATCAATAATATTGATTTCTTATATTAAACATTGCTTGGCTTCGTAATGTTTTTTGTCACATTCTATTACAGTGATCCCTTTTTTACCCTTTTAAACAAATATCTAAACTTTTCAAATGAAAGTTACTTATATATAAAAAAACAAAAATGAAATAAAATAATAAATAACAAATTCGTAAAAGAAGAAAAATAGAAATGAACAAATTGTAGAAGGAAAAAACAACGTGCTAATGGACAAAAGAAAAAAGGAAGCATCTCTGGGTCTTCCGTGAGCTCAAGGTGTTAAACCAAGCAAGATTATTCATGATATATATATATATCTTAAAATGATCAAAGGAAACAATCGTAAGCAAAGAAGATGCTAACGATGATCATAGATGCATCTAATAATCTGTCATCTCCCACCGTACCATTGTTAGGAAAGAAGCAATATTGTCAAAAGATCATAATTCTACATTCTGATGAACTAAATTATTACAGTCGCAAAGCCGAAATCCCAAACCAGTTTCTGGTAGCGAGTTTGTCATGCGTACAAGTCCTAATCTACATTCACACAAAACAACATCCGCCAATAATATTGTAAGAGAGAAGAATTTGTGATTTCATTGGATTCCTTCATTTGCTATGAATTATAGATAACTACCGACGGACAGTAGTAGATTTCGGATTCTCGATCCACCTTTACCAATGCAAGAAAATCAATGAAAAAAGTAGGAACCACCACATCCTTACAACTGTGAGTAGTCTAGAGATTAATCAACGTATGTAGTCTAGAAGAAAAAATAACACGTCTTTCTTAATGGAGAAATAACAAAGCATATAGTCAAAAAAAAAACAAAAAAAAAAAAACTTATGTTTTGGTATATAGGAGAATATGTATCATTTCTATGTCCTTAACATTCCTTTTATGGGTATAGAATAATATTGTTGTACTCTCGAACAATTCTTCGATTCACCCCTAGGGGTGAATCCTTTTGTTCACCCCCTTCTCTTGTAGCCAATAAAAATGATACATGTCATATTACTTTAAATTTGTCATATTTTTAATAAAACTTAAAATTAATAAATAAAACAAATTAAGTAAATAAAACATTAAAAAGAAATCAGTTTAGTTAACGGCGTCATCACTCGACACCACTTTTTTTTTAGGTTTTCAATTTTTTAATTTAGTGGCCATTGATTTATTTTGGATAACTGCTGTTCATATTGCCATTGATGAACATCTCCACCCTTTTTTGTTGTAGTCATGGGCAACAAAATATAAGAGTTTGTTTGTTTCTCTCTCCGAAGAAAATATAAGAGTTTGTTTGTTTTTCTCTCTCTCCGTAGAAAAACAGAAGTGAGAAGGTTTCAAAACCAAAACAAACCTTCAATTTTTACTAGACTAACAGTATTAGATCAGATAATTTGGTTAAACAAGCCTGGGAGATACACCACCACTGTTATTTATGAGGTAAGGTCACGAGATTAATATTGTAGCATCTTTACACACACGTATGCATATCTATATATTACACACGTATGACTAACTTTCTTAACCAAACAAAAAAACAAAAAATAAGCAGAGCTGATCATAATTACCTGCATGTAATTTGGTTGATGTTAGAAGTATGGTTGAAGACTATGTTTTGATTTAGTTATAATCTCAGAATATTTTGGAAGAAATCGGCTATACTTGGTGCTATATGCAACTGAAATAATTCCAGTTCAAATACAACGAAAAAAGGTGAAGACGTTCATCAATGGCCACTAAATTAAAAAATTGAAAACCTAAAAAAAGAGTGGTGTCGAGTGACGACGCCGTTAACTAAACTGATTTCTTTTTAATGTTTTATTTACTTAATTTGTTTTATTTATTAATTTTAAGTTTTATTAAAAATATGACAAATTTAAAGTAATATGACATGTATCATTTTTATTGGCTACAGGGGAAGGGGGTGAACAAAATGATTCACCCCTAGGGGTGAATCCAAGAATTGTTCTGTATCTCCCATTCTATATATAATGTGTTCCACTTTTACTTAAACTAGCATGCATGCAGCGTAAACGTAAAGGTCTAAATTACACAACAAAAATACGGTCGTTACTTTATCGGTTCTTGACTTTATACGCACACTGGCAAAACATGCGCGTTCTACTCACGCGCTTTGAATTTGATTATAAAGTATAACATAAAATCATAATATAAATTAGACATTTATACATACTGTATATATAAAAATAAAAACCATGCATCATCATCTGCCAAATAATAATGATAATTGATAAATTTTACGAATTTTAAAAAGCTATGTTAGAGAAATGTAATTTAAAACTGAATGGGTAATTTGTTTCAAAAAAAAGAATTGAAGGGTAAAAAAATAAAATAAAAACAGTAAAAGAACCTGGGACTCCCAGGCTGGGACGGGTCGAAAAGGGTGAGCTGGGTGGGTCTTCGAGCTTTACGGTACAGTGAGCTAATAATTGCTTCAGAGGCACGTTACGCACAAAGCAAGAAAAGCTTCCGTTCTCCGATCCAATCTCCCGTTCCGTTCCTCAATTCCAATTCGCCAACACTCTCGCTGTCTTTGTCGTCTACTCGCTTCGTTACCAAAAGCTCCACGCCTCCACCAGTCAGCTAGCAACATACAATATATCTGTATGTGGTTCACGCGCCACGATAGAATATATATATTTTTTTAAAAAACAAGCAATATTCGAGAAGCTGGCATGCACTTTTAATACAAACAACCCGTGTGACTTGAACGGGACTCATCATTAATCAATCGTCATCGGATCACACTCATACAATTGCTTTGGTAATAGCTTTTCCGCTAAAAAGACCAAAAAAGATAAAAGTTATGAAACAAGCTACTAGGGAGAGGACAGGTTGGTAATTTTAGAATATTGTCCGAAAGAAAGGATTAAAAGCAATCGTCGTCACTTGTTATGTATCACCGGCGTCATGAGTCGTGACCCAACAATGTCATCACATCATCAATATATACTCCCCTCGGACTCGGTGCAATGGCTCATCTGAGTAAATCTTCTGAAATCCTGTCTCCGTCAGATCCACCATCTAGTCTTTCGAATCTTGCTGAGGATTAGGTATACTACAGTCGTAGATCTTGAATCTAAGCCCGTAACCGTAACTGGGTGTTCCTGTTTTGGGTTTGATTGGATTGTTGTTGGTGAAGGAGAGAGAGTGGTGGGAATTAGGGATTTAGTAGTAGCTTCGAAAGGTGTAAATTAAAGAAGGGACAAATGATGATAGGAAGAAAGCATCTTTAATGGCAGATTGTGACTAATTGGTGTTGCTTGATTTCTCCGCAAGGATGCAGATCATTGGTCTACAAGTTTTAGGTAGTACGTAAGTGAGTCTCATTTTGGTTGATGAGAAAATGTGAGGGAATAGATCGCAGAGAATCCACTATTGGGAAAGAGCTTTGAAGGATTAACATCGTTATAAATTGGTATTGGAACTGAACGAACAAGTGAAGATCAGCAATTCTGATGTGTATTGTCACTTCAACCCTAGCTATTGGGATTAACTACTTCTTTATCTAGGTGTGTAACTGCAGCCTAGCTATATTGATTCTTTTATATAGAGAGGGGTTGGATTCGTGGTTGTTTGAAGAGGTCGGGAATTCATATATGTTCCATTGGTGTTGAACGAGTTTCTTCTACCAGTTTATTCTTCCACATCAAGTATTTCTTTACAATGCTAGCAAACTGAAAGTCTCCATTGTTGACGATGCAGAGTTTTGGGAGAATAGTTATCGGTTAACGAGGGTGCCGGCTCCAAATTCAGGTGTAACTAAGCTATATCAAAAGAAAGGGATGAATGTAAATGACCCCTCTGATAGAAAAGAAGAAGAAGACCAGAATAATCGGGTGTTATGCCCACTATTACATCTGTAAGTCGATTGTTTCTGCTGGAAAGTCACTGCAGCATATTCCTGTCACGTCTTCAGAAGTTTCTGGAAAGATTCGGTACCATGGTCGAAATGGTTTTGGGAAGTTGGACAGTGCCATACTGACTGAAAAGAACAGCTTTAGAAGCACTGCAGAATTACCCTTGTCTGAAATCTTTTTTCGATCACTTGTTGGCAATGGTGATCATGTATCTAGATCATCTGTGGAAGGATGAGGTGAATGAGTGGGAGATCTCTCCAACTTTAGCAGCATATATAAGTGGAGAGCTGGTGAATGGCATGGGTGATAAACATCTTCCAGTTCTCACCTACTCAGATCCAATGTGGTATAAGTTTTTGCCAAAAGGAGGCTGCAATTCTAAAGCGACAATTACATAACTTGCAAGAAAACCACCGGTATGTTTTGCATCCACTTAGTTTGTCAAACACCACTTTTTTTATAACTCTTTACAAAAACTTTGTTCTCCCTGCAAAAAAAGCTTTGTAACTCCTGGTTTGGAGCTTAAGCCAATGAGTAGTTTGATAATCATAGAAATGAGTGTTTTCACATAACCTTGTAGACTTCCGTTGCATTCTTGTTTTCTCATCCAAATCAATTTGTGAAAGTGTGAGTTAGTTAGCACTTAGCAGTAATAAAATGTGATGTTGATATATCTTATAGAAAGTAAATTCTTCAATGTAACTATAGATGCCTTCAACGATTGATACATTTTATTATATATCTATATAATGGTATAACTATCAATGATCCTGAAGAGTGGATTGATTATTTTCACATCTTCGTAGCCATTTTTGTAATTTTATTTCGTGCAGTCTCAGTCTCATTATATATTCATTAATCTTAGGTGAAATGTGAATGAGTCCTCTTACAAATAAAAATGAAAATCTAGAATGTTGAGCGATATACTCGAAATTTAAAAGTAAAAATGAAGATGGCAGTATAAAAAGTAATATAGGAAAGCTATTGGTAGCTCGATATATCCTGAAACAGGATCATAAGAAAATAAGAATATTTTATTATCAATGAGGTTCCATATCAGTGTTTACACAGTAAGTAAACTTGGGAAATAAGCGATAGAAAACCCACTATGCTTAGATTTGAAAGCTAAATCAAAAGAATTTTGTTGCGGATCATGTATCATCAAAGTGCGGCCAGATGCCTCCAACCTATGAAGCACAATCTTATTTTTCTGAAATGTTGTGATTATTTGTGTTGACCGAACCGGTTGGTCAGAACAGCTGGAAGGTATACTCAAATCTATCGAAAACGTCTTCTCCCATTTTTTGCTTGTATTCAATGACCATACCTCGTGCTTCATGTCCTTCCCGGCTTCTGATACACACAAACGGCCATTCAGGTTCTTTATAGCAAGACCAGCAGTAGTAAATGGTAATTTCAGACTCACTTCAAAAGTTTCACTGTAAAGATCAAAAGCCACCACATGGCTTTTTGAATTGTATATTTCACTTAGCCAATATAGTGATCCATCTACGTACGTTGGATTATGGCCATAAGATACTATATAGGGAGAACCAGTCACGTTCCTCCAAGTGTTTGTGTTAAAAGAGAAGACCTCGCATGTAGTTACGTTGTCTAAACCCAACTCTTTCGAATTATATAACCATACCAACTTATATTCGCCATTGATCTTGTCTCTACCCAATCCGAGGAAGGGACAATTTATACTCATCTCGTCTGCCAGACAGAACAAAAAAAACAATAAAAAATATAAGAGTCTTGTTCATTTTAAAAGAGAAAGAAAAAACAGATTTGAATGTTAATTTACTATTAAAAATAAACCAAAAGTATCTAAATAATTTCCAAACCAAGAAAAACTAGAAGTTGAATAATACGATAATTTATTTTGGACTAAAAAAACAAAAATGACATGAATCAGTTTGGAACTTGAAATATATAAAAAAAAACACGGTTCCATGTATGAACATATGACTAAGTGAATTTACCACCTTGATTGAACATATCTTGAATAATTTTTTGAAGCATTGCCGACGGAAGACTCCGATACCAATTTATCGAAGGATTGACTACATAAATACACTGCGTGAAACCGTAAATGCATATTAGACCATCGCAACTCTCTGTGACAAAAATCAATAATTTGTCGCAGAAAGGGTAATAAGAGCGACTCTCGACAAAAACCCGTGACCTCAACGTCAATGTGTTTACACATACTTCAGTGGGTTGCACACGTTTACTATGTACAAAGAGTATATTTGGATTATGAGATCGCTGACTAATCATCGTATGTCCCTCCTTAAAATATCGAGACATAGTCGTTAATCTCCATTCTTTTGATACACGTTTGAGTTTGATGATAGATTTAACCGGAAGCCTTTCTAAAATCTTTTCCACAAGATGGTGAGGTAACATTATATTTGTACTTTTTCCCTTTACTCTTCTCTCCCACCCCCCAAGTTGTTTAGGTTTAGGGTTTCCTCTCTCTTGATCTTCCATTGAGATCGCCTTCTGGTTATGCGCCTGACTTTCTTATGTTCGAGTTTTTTCTTTGTTTTTCTTAGTCAAACTTATGTTTGAGTTATATACAACTTACATGATTTGGAATCATGAATACTTAATAAATTAAGGGAAATAAATTTAGGAGTATTTTATCTTATATGCATATCTTTATATCATTTTCCAACCAAGTAATAGCATTTTATAGTTATATCTACTTTAGAAAGAAAAAAAAAAACTAAATTTCAATTATTTAATGGATAAAACTATTAAAAGCAGGATAATTTTATATTAGCTAAAGTTTTATGAAATAGAGATTTTGTATAAGCTTTCTTGTGATAAGTTTCCCTCTCGTTTTGTAAGGTAAAAACCATAAAATTATAGTCCTTAATTCATATTAATTATTTTTTTTCTTTTACGAGTTGATTACTGACTTGTTTGTGACCCCGTATAAATCTGAAGTTTTGTCTTTCTTACTGATGATGACATGCAATGGTTGTCTTAATTACTCTTAAGTCTTAAGCTAATTAGAAATACTGAATGTTCATTTTATTATTTTCGCGTCTCATTATTCCTATAATATTACAACAAGTTCCCACTCTTTAGTTGGAAAACTTTACAATACAAACCATTATATCTCATACCACTGCAATGTAAGGTGTTCAAGGCATATTAATTAGTTGAAATTGACGCCATACTTGGGCTGTAGGTTGGGAAGATACAGTCCCCAAAACCTCTCAACCGCGTCACCCAGCTTCAGATTCTCATCGTACAAAGCAAATATGTAAGTCTCTATAGCTTTCCCTGGCCTCCTCGGAGATCCAGTCTTCACAGTTTGAACCAAATTGTTCACATAAGTCCTCGCATTCTCGACGCTCGTGGCGGGTCCTCCTGCTGTCGGCCAACCGCTCTCTGACACCACGATCTCCAACGATGAGCCTCCAGCTTTCTCTAATGATGCGTAAAAAGTGTCTAAGATTGCGTAGAAGAGGTTTCGGTATCGGTTTTGTCCGTCACTGACTACAGTGGGCGATGGGCTGAGCAGAGCGTAGTCCAATCGAATGTCTCTCATGTTGTCCTTGTGGCTGAAGTAAGTGTATAAATTTACGAGCAGAGGCGATTGCTTGCTTACCAAGAAACCTATCACCGGCGCGATAAAGTTCCTAAATTCTGGCGTGAAGGTGCCACTTGAAGGAGGAAACCCGGAAATGCCTCTGGTGTCTACAGAAGTTGAGACCTTGATCCCGAGGCCAGAAACGGCTCTATCGATGTTCTGCATCGCCGGGAGGACAAACCTCGCAGCTGGGTCCGAGGGTTGCACCTCGTTCCCGACTGAGATGTAACGGAATCTGACATTGTTATAGTTGCGGACGTTGTTGCGGACCCACGTGTCAGCTTCAGCTTGGCTGGAGCCAACCTTGGGGAGATCAGGGTTTGGAACATCTAGCAGGAGCTCGATGTTGGAGCCGCGGAGAGCGTTGAGAGCCTCCGGGTTGGGGTCGTACAGCCGCATGCGTCGGATGTTCTGTCGTTGGTAAAGGGCCACGACTTCTGACGCAGGTCGCAAGTTGTTTCCATTTCTCCCGTAGCACACACCGATTTGTCCAACTTCATTTGGAAAATTAAGATATTATTAATGAAAAAGAATAAAAAATTTTCATATATTTTTTTTATAAATCTGATCAAATTCTGAAAACGAAATCTAAAGAGAGTAGTGTGATAATAGATGATCAATAAAATTTAAAGCATGAATTATATTGAACCTGCAGTGTCGAAGAAGGAAGCAATTATGAAGCTGAGAAGAAGCAGCAATAGTGGTAGTGAGGCTACGAGTTTACTCATCATCTTCATGATAAAAATTTATAAAGATGATGTTAAGAGAATGATTATTTTTATGCTTGCAACTTTGTGTATTTAAAATTGTAGCATTTTGCGCCCAATTTATAGAAAGAATGGAGGGATTCAAGTCAATGAAATAAAAACAAAGTCATCCATTACTAGCTAGTTTTGGAATCTATTATAACATTTTTGAATTACCTTTTGGAAAATAACCTTTTATTTTGTATTATTTGCATAATAAATCTTTGCCATTTAAATAAATAACAAAATTTTAAGATAAAATTTGTAATTAAATTACACTAGAATCGCAAAATTAAAAACTAATATTTATTACATTTAACAAAATTTCCTAAAATATCTCCCTGATAAATTGAATATCTCTCCAATATCTTTATATGATCTTATTTGTTTTAAAATTCACATTATTACATAAAACATAAGTATAATAAAAATACAAAAAACATTTCGCATATGTAGCAATTTGAATTTTTGAAAACGGACATATATTACTCAATCGATAAAAGAAAAAACATATATGTATAACATCCTACATCGGGTATAAAATTTTAGACAATGGTTCGGAACCATTATAAATATGACTAATATGAAACTTAAAAATCCAAAATCTTGAATAGAAGATTACAACAAAAAAAGTTTTACTAAATTTTAGGGAATCCAAAATTTTAAAATCTTGATTGGTTAAAATGAATTTTTGGAAAACAAAAACCAAAATCTCTCTCGAAATCTGTAAAACATTCAAGGTTTACATTTTACATAAATATGATTTAACGGGTTTGAGTATTATGTTTTTCTTACGGGTTATCTTACGGGTTAACAAAAAAATAAATAACAAATATAACTTAAACATAATTTTTTTAGTCCCGCGAGTTACAAAAAAAATAACAATCAAAAATATAATTACACAATCTTAAACACTAAAAAGATAATAAAATTAACAAATAAAACTTATATATATACATATATCTTTTTTTAGTCAAAACAATCATCCCGCGGTGTACCGCAGGTTAAAACCTAGTGTTATTCATTAAATCACACCACCGTTCATGAATATCTTTCTAAAATCTTATGCTCTGCCCTTTGAAAAGTCTAAAAATGTGAGTTTTCTATACACGTAGGTAGCTATCAATAGGCCTAATCAACTAGCTCGACACTAAGATCTTCATGCTAATTGAAACGAATCCTCCATAGCCTCAAAATCAAATACCCATATCTCAAATATTCAGTGAAGACTATAACTTACTTTTTTACAAATATATAGGCCGGATCAAACTATCTTGAAATTATGAATCACTAATTTTTCTGATGAAATGCGGTTTAAGAATTCTATTAACCATCCACTAATATTTTAGACATCGAGAATTTTCAGAACAGTTAGATCCCTACACACCTCAATAAAAGTCATAAGATTAAATGCGATGAGGACTTGCATTTTTGGAATCATGGTACAAGCCGTTAATCACACGTCGATCGTGGACCCATTATTGCAAATGGCATCGTTACGTCATTAATTAGACCAAACATCAATTATATATGGTTAAATGACTTATGTGTTACTTATTGTATTTTAACATAGGATAGTGCGATGTGTGCAGGAAATTCTAACATTATCGAACCAAATCTCACGAAAGAACCGATAATATATACTTGAATCATAATGATATATATATCATACTTAATTTCTCATAGACTTCCAAATAAATACTAATTAGTTAGTAGCGATTATTGAAATGATATCTCTTGTGTATTACTTTAGTTCCCTTGTAACTTCCGATGGAGATCCTGTAACATGGTTCTTTAAGCCATCATAACACTTTAAGCCTGTAAAACCTAAGGCTAACATGAGACTTTTTTTAATGATATATAAATAGGTAAGAATATAACATTTCTCTATGTATTTAATTGGATATAAACATCCTATGAATAAATGTATCCACACCATTGGGGTAATCACTGGTCTTCCTACATTAAATTTTGCGACGGGTTTAAATTTTAATATTCAAAGACAATTTATGATCATTATTAGATATGTTGAAAATATAATGGATTTGCTATCATTATATACTAAGTATTGTGTAAAATAAAAATATAATGGATTGGTCATTAATTAAGAGGGTAGTGGCTATAAACCTAAAACTTGGAAATTTTCTTGCTACATCAAAACTAACACCCAATTTTATTTTATTTTGACAGCCAACTGAGTACACATATATAATTAAGTATGGTTACACATGGTAACAAGTCAATAGTTGAACCGGTTACACAAGTCAATAGTTGAAAGGAATATTCCTATATACATGCATAATTATTTCGTCTTCTTAACTAGTAATATTCTTTTGCATGTGTCTGTGTGAAATACAATGTATTCTCAATTTTTAATTATCAAGTCGTAGTTATCTCATATATAGCTGCCTAGAAAATCAATAAAAGAAAACAAAAATGTTTAAATATACAAGTATAAAACGCAGACCACAAGATTGAGTTTTGGGACTATAGACAAAAAATCACAATCAAGAAGGGACGTGTGTTGTGTAGTGATACTAATAATAGCCAAAGAAAATTCTCGGCGTCGAGTTCAGTTGGACGACAAAAAAATAGAGACACCGACAAAGATAAAACCAAATGGTGATGGCTTTTTATTTTTGGGATAATAATGTTGGCGATGGGCCTGATGGCTTTGCTCATGCATATGTAAGTCGGACCCTATCAGTTTCCGAATTAAATTGTCAGACTTGTTAGGTATAACTATAATATTGATTAATAAAAATGTCTGGATCAGTGGATCAGATAATGTATTTTAATTAATAACTAGATTCGGATCCGCTTTATAGCGCGTGGGAAAATTACCGGGTTTTTAATCCTTTGTACGTTGCGGGATAATTTATTTGTGTTTGCTTTACTTTATTTTGATTATTAATTAAATTCTATCATTTTTATATTGTATTTTTGTGTTGGTTTCGAATATGTTCAAAATTATTTAAATTGTATGATTTTAGTTGGATTGTTAATTTTAGAACAATATGTGACATATATACATGTATAAATATTATACTATGAATCATTTTTAAAGTTTAGGGATTGACCCGCGGTACACCGCATAATCATAAATACATGATTTTAACTTGGACCTTTCATGCAGTTTTGTAAAATTGCAAATCTCTAGAATAAACAAATAAAGAGCCAATGATTTCTTATTTCTTATCGTGTTAAAATGTAAAATCTGTGTTTATGTTACAATTTTCTGGTAGCAGAAACTTATTTATATAGATAATATTTTCTTAGAGTTAGGTTAGCGTTGAAAAAAAGATTAGCTTTATAATCAAGCCAGCAATTCGAAACTATTGCCAAATAAATATATTAAAGATGGTTGAAAATGAATTATCCCGTAATTGGTGTGAAGATCATAGTTAATATAGGAGAAAACTATACATCTAAATATTAATATAAGATATTTAAGGAACATTTTGCTTTGAAATATTATGGATAATTTGATAAATATTTTATATTTAATTTATATTTCTGATTTTTAGGTTAATTTGTTAAACCAATATACAAAATCATACATTAATGTATTTTCCTTAAACAAATTAAGATTAATGTACTTTCCAAAACCGATATTGATGGTTTAATTTGGTAGATTTCGAAATAATATATATGGAAACTGGTATTTAATATCTTTAAATTTTTATTAAGATCCAATTGAAAAATTTCGGGTTAATTTTTTTAAAAAATCCGACCCAAGAAACTTTTGTACTTCTCTTTTACTATACTAGGCATGGGTAACAATACAGGATATCCAAAACTTTAGATGTATAATTAAGTTCAGGTAATTCTGGATGTTAAGAATGGTTCATGAAACTCAGCATATCATTATAATAACATAGCAGTTAAAACGATGGAGTACAACAAAGTTATGGCACATTCCTTATTGTTACAACAAGTTTTCCACTCTTAAGAGAAAAAGCCTCACAAGTCTTCTTCTTCAAGAAGCCTTTGCAAGAATTAGTTGAAATTGACGTCATACTTAGGCTGTCGATCCGGATGAAACAGTCCCCAAAACTTCTCATACGCAGCATTATCCTTCTTATTCTCGTCGAACATAGCGAATATATAAGTCTCTAAAGGTTGACCTGGCCTTCTCGGTGTTCCATTCTTCACATGTTGTATCAAACTGTTAGCATAAGTCCTGGCGTTTCCGACACTTGCCCCTTTTCCTCCGTCCGTGGGCCAACCGCTCTCAGACACCCCGATCTTCATCGATCCGCCTCCCGATTTCGCCAGTGCCGCATAAACAGAGTCTACACTTGCATCGAAGAAATTTTTGTATTGCAAATTGTTTCCGCTATCAGTGAATGCAGTGGACTGGGAGTTGAACAAAGCGAAATCTAGAGAGACTTGGCCCGAGTTATACATGTGGCCGAAGTAAGGGTAGATATTCGCGAGCATGGGAGATTGCTTGCTCGTCAAGAAACCTATCACTGGTCCAAGAAAGCTTATATACTCATCCTTGAACCTTCCTCGAGATGGAGGATACGTTTCTATGGTGGTGTCAGTGGATATAGACGTTGTGACCTTGACTCCAAGCCCTGCTCCAGAAAGGGCTCTCTCAATGTTCTGCAATGCGGGTAAGAGAAGCCCCCCAGTTGAGGGTTGCACCTCATTCCCGACGTTGATGTACCGGAACCTGACACTGTCACTGTAGCGCCGAACGTTTTCTTGGACCCACCTGTCCGCCTCCGGTTGGCTGTTGGCGACACGGTCAAGATATGCGTTGGGAACATCGAGGATGAGTTCGATGCCAGAGCCACGGAGAGCGTTAAGAGCGCCTGGGTCAGGGCCGTAGAGACGCATCCTCTGGATGTTCTTTTGCTTGTAAAGAGCCACAACGTCATATGGACTTGGCAAACCTTCGCCTTGCATCCCGTAGCATACTCCAATTTGTCCAGCTTTTCATTTTTCCAAAAAAAAAAATTGAATCAGCAGTAAAAATAAATAAGAATCAGTTTCTGTAGATGGACATGACTAATAGATGTTAAAAGTAGCTTAAAAGACGATTGAACCTGTGGTGCTGAAGAAGGAAGATACTACAAGGCTGAGAAGAATTATCAACATTGGCCTTGAGGCAAAGATCCTTGTGTTAGACATTTTCATGATTTTGCTATGATACTGTGAAATTTTATGTGTTTACCTCTACATTTACTGCCTAATATATAGAGCGAACCGGCGAAGCCCTGGGGGTTCAAAAGTCAGTCAATGATAGAAGCAAAAATAAGTTTGTGAATGAAAATCATCTCTGTTTTCTTAAGTTTCAACTTTACCACTTATTCACAAATAACTCGAGAGACAAGTGTATGTATTTTTAATGGTAATCGCTCGCGCCGCCCCATAACAATAATTAATATTCGTTTTTGTTTTCAAAGCATTTGGATTAGGAGAAAGGATCAGAACATTGGCTTGATTTCCTTCTGTTGAAAAGTATTCGTTTTTGTGTTTGGTAGCAATGCTAAAGTAATACTAGTAGTATATACTATATACTAATTCATTTTTTTTTAAACTCAAGTTTAAGTGATTAATTTGGGTAATATATATATATATGTTGGATCATCACTTCATCAGTGGAGTGTACCTGTGTACGCCGTTGGTAGATTAGATTATACGACAATCGTGGACCATTAAATACGTCGTTCATAATTGTTGGACCCATCAATGGACAATGGTAGCTAAAAAGTTTTAAACATGTATATTAGACTAGACAGGGAAGTCTTTAAAATCTACTCTTTCGGATCAATACGGCTTTTCCTTATCTGATGAATACGTGACCAAATCCCAAAATTGTTGATATTTTCGGAACCAAAACCTTGTTTTTTTTCTTTCTTTCTGATATGTACATATACTACTAGTACATGCATGTGATGAGTTTCTTTACTTGTCCGAACCAAAGACTTATCATAAGTATACTTCAATTTAAGTAAATTTATACGTAATGTATTCAAAAACAAAATCGTATTAATTATCCTGTTAAGGTTTATAGCCAACTTTAAATAGCTACTTTACGGCATAGTAAGTTGGACAATCAGTACGAAATCAGAAAAACAAAAAAAAAAGTAAAAAATTTAGACCATATGGTTCATGAAGGGACGTGTTGTGTGTTGTGTATTAGCAGTGGTGTGTAGCGCATGTGGGGATAAATGAAACGACGAAATTTTATTCTGAAATGTCTATTTTAGTTAGACGACAAAATTAGAAAGACTTGACTACAGTTGACTTGTAAATACTTTTCCACCATATTTTCAAAACGCCATACTAATTTTTCTTCACAAGCTAAAAGTCTCTTGAATTTTTCTTTCTATATATGTAAGAAATTATATACGTATATAGAAGCACAAACATCTTGTAAAATCTTTTTCTTATTACCTTTTATTTGCCAAGATTATTCCATCTTTAGGTAATGCATTGTGTATTACTTTCCATTCATTTTATAATATTATAAGAAAATACACATCTTTTTTTTTTCTATGTTAGGAGAAAAATCATATCCATTGTGGATTTGTATGCACCTAATAATTTACTGAACCTATTTAAACGTTAAGAAAAATTATCACAATTGTTTTTTCTTCCTCCTTCTCCGTTTTTTGTTGGGTTCGTATATAAATCCTAAAATGTCAAATAGATTATCACAATTCTTGGGTATATATACAATAAACATAACAAATATGTAGAGACTCATATTTATGTTAATTGATAATGAGGAACAAGATCGACGTTATGAAATCACAATTATAGGTTATAAAAATAATTAAACTAAATGAGTCGTTACAATCCCTCAACTTTACCGATATCTATATATTTCGTTTCAGATATAAAATTATACCATTCCTCGATATATAAAACATTGGTTCAGCTTAACCAAAGTTAATATCGTACTAGACTGCTTGTTGGGTTGGAAGTTGAAACAATCCCCAGAAAAATATAGACCAACAAAATTTCATATTAGCTTGATCAATTTAATTATAAAAATAATTCCATATTGTATATTTTAAAACGATGGAGTACAACATAGTTATGGCTCATTCATTATTATTCCTTACTGTTACAACAAATTCCCACTCTTTTTTAAATACCCTTACAGAAGGAACACAAAAAAAGCCCACAAGTCACTGACCAGACGACCCTTTCTTGTTCAAGAAGTCTTTGCAAGGATTAGTTAAAATTAACTTCATACTTAGGCTGTTGACCCCGAAACAGTCCCCAAAACTTCTCATACTCACCATTATCTTTCTTATCCTCGTCGAACATAGCGAATAAATAAGTCTCTAAAGGTTGACCTGGCCTTTTCGGTGATCCATTCTTCACATGTTGTATCAAATTGTTAACATAAGTCTTGGCGTTTTCAACACTGGCCCCAAATCCTCCTTCCGTGGGCCAACCGCTCTCAGACACCACGATATCCATTGATCCGCCTCCTAGTTTCTCCAATGCCGCATAAACAGAGTCTAGACTTGCGTCGAAGAGGTTTTGGTATGGCAAACTGTTTTCGTCAGTGAAAGAATTAGACTGGGAGTTGAACAAAGCGAAGTCTAGAGGGATGTTGCCATTTTCAGACATGTAGCTGAAGTAAGGGTAGATATTCGCGAGCAGGGGAGATTGCTTGCTCATCAAGAATTCTATCACTGGTCCAAGGAAGACTTTATACTCATCCTTGAACCTTCCATGAGACGGAGTTTTTGTGTCTGTGGTGACGTCGGTGGCTATAGCCGTTGAGACCTTGAATCCAAGACCTGCTCCAGAAAGGGCTCTCTCGATGTTCTGCATTGCTTGTAAGAGAAACCGCCCATCTGAGGGTTTCACCTCATTTCCGACGTTGATGTACCGGAACCTGACACCGTCAGCGTAGCGCTGAACGTTTTCTTGGACCCACTTGTCGGCCTCCGGTTGGCTGCCGGCGAGACGTCCAAGATATGCGCTGGGAACATCGAGGATGAGCTCGATGTCAGAGCCACGGAGAGCTTCAAGAGTAGCTGGGTCAGGGCCGTAGATCCGCATCCGCTGGATGTTCTGTTGCTTGTAAAGAGCCACAACATCCGATGGACTTGGCAAGGCGTTCCCTAGCATCCCGTTGCATACTCCGATTTGCCCAGCTTCATTTCAAAAAAAAAAAAACAAAAACAAAAGAGTCAGTAATAAAAAGAAATTGAAGCAGTTTCTGTAGATGGAAGTAGATTAAAAGATGATTGAACCTGTGGTGCTGAAGAAGGAAGCAATTACAAGGCTGAGAACAATCACCAACATTGGTGGTGAGGCTAAGATCCTTGATTCAGACATTTTCACGATTTCTTTCTTGATGCTAAGAAAATTTTTATGTTTAAAATCCAAATATTTTCGACCTAATATATAGGGCGAACCAGCGTAGCATGGGTCAAGTCAGTCAATGAATGAAAGTATGAAACCAAATTAAGTCCTCAATCGAAATCTTCTACCACCATTCCCATATACCTCTCTAAATCTACGATTTGAAAAGTCTTAACAATCTACACAATTGCAGCTTTAAGAAATTGTGTAGATTAAGAAATTGTAGTTTTAAAGCTGAGAGACGAATGTTATTAGTGGGATTACTCGACCAAACTGCAGTAATGACTACTCAATTTTTGGGTCTGTTAAGTATTAAGTAATCTATATTCATTTTTTTAGTACTCCAAAAACAAGATTTTTATTGACTTTTTGGGTAATATATGTTGCAACATCAATATATAATGTAAGCCGTTGATCATCATACGACAATCGTGGACCATTATATACGTTGTTAGACGACCCAAAAGCCATGACTTGCGTTCACAATTATTGGAATCTTTAACACTTTAGACACGGAACTCATTTAAATCCAAACTTTCGATCCAGAAACACTCTGAAAAAAAATATAAAGTTTTTCACAAAGGTATATTATATTGATATTTGCAGAACTAGTTTTTTGTTTAACATCCAAACTAAAACTTTATTTAGTTGTAATTAATTTCAAAGGTAGTTTTTAGGAAATATAGTGAATTGGGATTCAAAATAATGTCTATAAATCTATCTTACTTATAAGACATGTACATATACTACATGTATGTGACTTGTGAGTTTCTTTACTTGTCGGAATCAAAGACTTATCATCAGTACCGTTTAAGTAAAAGACCATCATTATTGTTAAGAAAAACTCTTATATAAAGATTATTCTTAACAAAATCTTAGACTAGCTAAGAGCCTCCTAATAGGATGTCCTTAATACTCCAAGTTATTTTAAAATAAATTAGTTTTAATTATACTATTAAGATTTATAGCAAATTATCTATTATGACAACATTTAAATAGCTACTTACAGTATTGTTGGTTAGAAAATCAAATACACACAAAAAGAAGTAAAAAACAATTTAGACCATGTGGATGCGCTGGGTACTAGACCATGGGATCACGATCATGAAGGAACGTGTTGTGTGATTATAAAAACCGGACGAAAGTTATTGTAACGGTCCATTTTAGTTAGACGACAAAATTATAGAGACTATGTGCTTGATGGACTTGATTTGAGGTTATGATATTTTCACAATGTATATTTCAAACATTTTTTTTTTCACAAGCTAACACTTTCACTATATAAGACGAATATATCTCTTTTTCTTTTAAGAGAAATTTATAAAAATACCATTAAAAGTTTTGGTTTTGCAAAAAATATCAAAAATACAAAATGTGATTTTCAATGGTATGTAATTTAATATTTTAAAACTAATTTGGGTTAAGACTTAAGAATCTCCCAACTTTATTTATTTTATAATGATATACCGATTTCTAATCTATACTATATAAAAGTATACCTTTCCTCGATATATAGAACATTGGTTCAACTTAACCAAAGTGAACATCGTACTTAGACTGCTTATTGGGATGAAACAATCCCCAAAACTTTTCAACATCAGGAGGGGTCGGCTTTACATTCTCGTCATACATCGCAAATATATAAGTCTCGATTTCTTTCCCTGGTCTCTTCGGCGTCCCGTTCTTCACATGATTAATCAACTTATTGTTATAAACTCTCGCATTCTCTATATTTGTCTCGACTCCTCCTTCCGTTGGCCATCCAGTCTCTGACACAACTACGTCCAATGATTCACCACCGGATCTCTCTAGAGCCGAGTGCACTGCATCGAGCATCGCATCGAATAGGTTTTGGTAAGATCTAGGAGGGTCCGATACGGTCCCTGGAGAAGCCGTGAAGAGAGCGTAATCGAGCCGGATTCGGTCTTTATCTCCCGCGTAACTGAAGTAAGTGTAGAGGTTTAAGTGTAAAGGAGATTTCTTGTTTACCAAGAAACGTATGATTGGTTCCATTAGCACCTTAACTTCTCTTTTAAACGAACCTTTCGAAGGTGGGTAAGACTCTCCGAGCACTCCCATGTCCACCGCCGTGGATACCTGTTTAGAATCCGCACATTAAAGTTCAAAAAGGAAAAGAAACAAAAACTTCTGTTGTTCCAAACTCAATTAAAGGAGTTTTGATGAATATCACATTTGAAGTCACAAACCAATAACACCCTCTAAATTCTTTTTAAAAAACTACCCTAAAAATAGTACATATCCATTTTTAATAAGATAATTTTGCAGAATGTAAACTTATGAGAAATTCTGATTATTGACAATATATACCTTGATACGACCACCGAGTCCGGCTACTAAAAGAGCATGGTCGATGTTTTCCATGGCCGGGACTAAAATATGTGAGTACGAGTCGGAGATCTTAACTTCGTTCCCAACAGATATGTAACGGAACTTGGTGTCATTCACGTAGCTCATGACGTTGGTTTGGACCCACGTGTTAGCTTCTAATTGGCTTGAGGCCACGCGTTGTAGGTCCGGGTTGGGAAGGCCCAACATTACCTCGATGCCGGAGCCACGTAGGGCGGTTAGAACGTCGTGGTCCGGACTGTATAGCCTTACTCGCCGGATGTTTTTCTGTTTGAATAGCTCAACGGTTTCTGCCGGTGACGGGAGGTTGTTGCCGTATCTCCCGTAGCAAACGCCGACTTGTCCAGCTGTTACATATATATTAATCCCCACATATAAACAATCTATATATTTCATGATCAAATGTATATGTTACTAAATTTAATATGATTTGTTATTAATTAACTTAAAAAACATATATCTAGTCATTTGAAAGTTTGTCAAGTTTCTTTTTTTTCTTTAAATGTTGAAAACTAAAATTAAACATTAATATAAAGGTATGGTTTACTATTAATATTTTTTTTCAATCTTCAGATACATATAATCAGTAATAAAATATATAGTATCAAACAGCTAAAAAAAAGACTTGACCTGGTCTGATTACTAGTTTAGGGGAGAGTGATATAGTAAATTAAAACCATATGTTTTATTTCTTTTAATATTTCTGGTATTATATATGTTATATATATTGCCTATATACAAACCTGCGTTATATGTATTGACGAAGAATAGAACGAAGTGAATGGTTAACGAAGCCAAGGCCAAGAAACGGAGATCCATGGTCTAGGTTAGGGAGAGGTATCAGGTCCTAATATTTGTTTAGGGAATTTAGAGAACCCGAAGTCAGTTGTTCATTGTGATTGCATTGATCATAACACATGCACATATATATATACCCAAATAGCATTATACATATATGAAAAAATTTACCGGATAAGCAATCAGGAAAAATACGTGTTGTTGGTATATATATATATATTAATAACTATCAGATACGGTATCTACTACACAAACGAGACTGAGAGAGAGAGAGACATATGTCTCTTCATAATTAAGTCCACTTGGTGCAACTTCAAGTCAAGCAACGCGTGTATTTTTATTTTAGGGTTCAAGATTTGTTGAAAGCAGGTATTGGAATATATAGGAACAGGCATGCAACGTACGAGTGGAAAAGGCAAACAAAGCCAAAGGGTGGAGTACTGGAACGTTACGTAAAGGGACTTGTATAAAAAGATAAATTAGTTTAAAATTATTAGTAAAGCTAAGAATACAGTTAAATAACGTATCTGAATTGAACGTAACGCATGAAAAATGTAAAGAATAAAGTCGTATGACCTCCTCCAGTTCTTTATAAAAGAAAAAAAAAAAATCACAGCAAAGTTATTATATATAATATATGAGTTCTTTAATATAGCTTTGTTGTACATAGTGGTTATTGCTACGTACGTGTTCGTTAAGGCAGTATGCTTAATGGTGATGTATCGGAAAATAAGACTTTTAATTTATCGTCGTGACACCAGAGACGTCTTTACCGTACGCTCTGTTGAACATTTTAGATGTGGGCAGGAGAAGGCTTTCGGTCAACATTTTGGCTTCTCCCCGATGTATACGGCAATGTCTGTCAATGTTACCAAACTGTTTCAACTAATGAAACTGGGCCTTACACGAAATGAGCCCAACAAGGAACTTGAGACAAATCTGAGCCCATGTGAAAGCTAAACGGAAATCAATTAACTTTGGATTCGTTTTTTTTTTTTTTTTTTTTTTTCTCAAGTCCTACTGCGAATTGCCAAAAGTCCAAAAACAAAAACTCAATGCGAAACGAAACATACCAAAAAGGTCAAAGCTTAAACCAACTATGTAAACCGAATTGTCATCCGCGCGTAAATATCCTTGGCAACTATTTGACCGAACAACTTCAAAATCCAACGAACGGACGGTCAGGATTGTCAGATCAGCATCGTCGGAGTCCTTAACGCCGGGTGGATCAGAAAGAAAAAAAAAAAAGGAAAAGCAACCACTCCATTTCTTGTGCTCACCATGCTCCATTCCCTCCTTTGACTTTGCACTTCAATTTTATCAGTCTCAGATCTCGACGATGGCTACACAAATCTCTCAGCTTGCTTCTTTCTCATCCACCAATCGCCAATTTCACTTCCAGAGCCGATCTTTTACGTTCTCCAAGTTTCGTCCCCAGGTAAACTTTTTAGATGTCGTGAAAAAGACATATTTTTGTTCAGCTCGATATTGTATACGTTTATGCCCAATACTCTCTCTATTTGGTTATACTTAACTGGTTACGCTATTCTATAATTATGAACTTGATTCGATTTTGGCCGTACTCGACATTAGCTTTTGGCCTTCTTGGGACTTGTATTGATACCCGCTTCTTTGGATGAACTGGTAGAGTTATATGACTTTACCCTGTGTAATAATATCATTCCCCCTTTTTTTTTTTTTTTTTTTTTCTTACATTTTCTGATTCGAGTATTGGATAGCTTGAAGCAATCATATCTACTTCTTTCGGTTGTCTCTTTGTGCTAAGAATCACTTGTAGAGCTCCTCTTCTAGATTTTCTTTTTGGGACTGATAGTGTCACCGCTAGTGGCTAATTCGCTTATAATGGTGCAGTCTTTTGTAGTTAGAAGCGTTGATGGGAATAGCTCAGAAACACCAGCGTCTCTTACCTATACATCTGAGGTTTCAAAGCCTATTGTTGAGAAAACATCGGCACCTTTTTCAACTGCTACCGGTAATGACATTATTACAGAGCCAGTAGAGGCCACACAACCAATTAGAGCAGCAAAGATCCACGACTTCTGTTTTGGCATTCCTTATGGTACTACTTACCTTGTGCCTCACAAACTTAGTTTCAAATCTTAGTGTTACTGAGCTGCTTTTAAAAGTTTTATTTAAGTATTCAAGTCTGCCATTTCTCATATGAGAGTATTTATTTTCAGGGTAACTCGTTTGTATTAATTCTGCTTCACTAATGATAATTTATTAGGTGGTCTCGTTATGAGTGGAGGGCTTCTTGGGTTTGCGTTTTCACGAAATCTTGCAAGTTTAAGTACTGGTGTTCTCTATGGTGGTGGCCTTATAACCCTTAGTACATTGAGCTTAAAGATTTGGCGACAGGGAAAATCTAGTTTTCCTTACATACTAGGACAAGCAGGTAGTCTTCATTTTTTGTCTACGCTCTACAAGAACATTTAACTGGGGGTTGTAGTCACTAAATTCTATCTTTACTTCCATTTCATCAAGTAATTGCTGGTATCTTACACTTGATAAGTGGATGTATGAATATCCATATAATTATACTGTGTAATACTACAAGTGGTCATCTGTGAACCAAGAGCACATGAATGTCTATCAAAATGTTTCTGTTATTCTAAAAGCTTTTGTGCTTACTCATTCATCAAAACTCTGTTATTGCAGTGCTGTCAGCTATCGTCTTCTGGAAGAACTTCACAGCTTATTCTATGGTATTTTATCATCTTTGTGATCATGCTGATTGTTTATTTTTGCTTGCTTGACTTCTCTTGTTCAATCTTGTACTTTTGCAGACTAAGAAGCTGATTCCTTCCGGGCTGTTTGCTGTCGTCAGGTAAAATAAATTTTTGTGATCCCCAACAGACTGATGATCTTTATTGGATTCATGTAACCGTGAGTTCACGTATTTCTTTCACTGCAGTGCTTGCATGTTGTGTTTCTATTCATATGTGGTACTCTCTGGAGGAAACCCACCTCCAAAGAAATTGAAACCATCTGCTAGTCCTTAATATTGAAGGTACTTCTCCTAGGTTAGATTTTAAAAATGGAGGTCTTCTTTCTTTTAACGACTCTGGTGTGTTGGGTTCCTGGTGTAATTTTATACTTATACGAGTTGATATACTTTTTTGTGACCTGTTCTTACCAGTGTCATGAAGTTTTGTTTTTCCTACTTGTGGTGTTGTTAGCCTATGATTGTCTATAGGCCATACTTTTATGCTAAGTGTCATATTCTAAGTTTAGTTTTTCTTACTTCAGACATGATATGATTTACTCTTAAGCGAATCAGGTATACTCAATCCAAGGCATAATTTATGTTTGATTCATCATGAGTCAAAAAACCTTTAAACACTTTGATTGAAAACAATCTTCGGGAGAATAAACAAAGGGCTAATTTGATATGTGGATCCAACATTTCAAATAGAACAACTCCATAAACTTTCTCAAAGCAAAAGGTGAATTCAGAGCAAAAAAAAAAAAAAATTGATTCCAGTTATGCAAAGCTGAGTTTTATCACGGAGAGGTCTCGACAGCAAAATTTTGATTAGCGGGTAGCTTGTGCCTGTGTGTGTTCCAAGAGCTGATTCACTAACTTGTAAGTCCGTCCTGATAAGCCTTTGGTGTGGTTTATCAACTGCTCATGCCTGCATAAAGCGGAAACGAGAATAGATTGTAGAAATATCAGACACACAGGATTAGGATACGAATGATGTACTAGATCTAAGTACGCTTACACGTTGGGCTGAGTAGGCTCCATGATTACAGTTCCTGACTCAGAATCAATCTTGGCATCAAGCTTTGAGGTGCGGATTAGGTTCACAATCCATCTCTCAGCGTCCTCATAGTTCAGGTTCAGTTTTTCAGCAAGTACCCTGACAAGGCCATAATAGACGCGATATGAATACAAAGTTAAAACCACAAGACTGCAACAGTTCCTCTTAAATTAAATAGCTGAATATGGCATAAATTTTTCAATGCGTGGAGAAAGATAAGTGATAAACAAATATTTCAAAAGTTCAGCAATCCCGAGAGAATAACTATGTGGAAACATACACAATTAACCGAATGTGAGAACTTACCCCATGTCAATCCTTTGATGAATTTTGCAATAGGTTTCAAAGATAAATAGGCGGGCATTCTCAAGAAACTCTTCTCTCAGTGGTACTGTTGAAAAGTTTCCATCCTCAACTCGCTTGCCAAGGAATGGATCATTCACAATAACCTACATCATATTAAAATGGCATGAGTGTTGATTGCACAGTTCTACACCAACAAAAATAAATATACATATGACATTAGTTACCTCTTCACACTCTCTCATCTTCCTTTGAGCCCCATCAAAGTCATAATTGACAAACACACATGCCAGGAACTCGATAATAGGATCTTTGTAGGAGTAGTGCTCTTGCTGAATGACTTTTATGAATTCTTTCAATTGAGGTCTTCTCCTTTTGTTGACAATGAAAGCAGTTGCCAAGTAACGCAGCAAGTGAGGAGCACTAGTTTGTATGGCATTTAGATACCTGAAAAAGTAAATAAACAACAAATTAGTATACAACACTGCAGCAAGGAAAACAAAGTGTTTAATTTTCAGCAAATGCCCATAGACAAAGCATACTCCTAAGAAGAGGTCTGGATAAAAAGAAAGTGAAGACTCGCCAACTAGTAACTACTAATCACTTGTTTTCACATCAGGACTAACTTTGACTCTAAAAATTGCTTCACACACAAACACCATATGCATACTTAGTTGCATCTAGATCAAGCTTATATTTAAAGCTAAGGAAATAGACGGTGATGCAAGGTATAAAGAAGAGATGCAAATAACATAGAGCTTTAAACTTACTTGTCTTGGTTAAAAAGATCAATGATCTGTGTCCTTCCATTATCATGGTTAAAAAAGATGTAGAGACCCCAATGCATCAACCAAATCCTGTTCTGCACCTGATTTAATGGTGATGCAAAACTCTGAAAAACCAAAAGCTAGTTAGCATATATACTCGGGTCTATAGTGATCCCAAAGGTCACAAGCTAGAGGAAGTTTAAAATGCAAACCTTTGAGTCAATAATCTCTTTGAGACGGTTAAGCTCTTCAAGAGCAATGTCCCAGTTTTGCATCAGTATTTCAGATGCGAGCTTTCCCCACAAGGCACTCAAACTTCTCTCAAGGTTAGAGCACAGGGTTCTGTACTGATAAAGATAATCAGCAGCACCAGAATAGTTCCCACATTCAAACTGAAATTTGGCGTATTGATACAAAGCCTCAATCTGGTCTGGACCAATCTGAGTAGACAACATGCCATATAAGATTTGCGTTCCTCAATACCAAACAAATGCAAATCTGGATAACATTTTACAAAATTAGAGAACTTTAACATCCAAATCACAACCTGGTAGCGTTCCTTGAGCATCTGGAGATTGTACTGCTTGTCAGCTCTTAGCTCCTGCACAGCGCTAGGGTTCAAAAGAAAAGACACAAGTGGCGCAGCTGCCTCCTCCAAAGATTTGAGCCTGGCCACGACCTCTGCTCTTCTCTCCACCATATCTATCACCACAAAATTTCCACAATCATCATTTTTTGTTTAAAAAAAAAAGAAAGAAAAAAAAACGCAAATTGGAATACACAAGAATACCTTGAGGTGCATCTTCAGTGTGGTAGAGACTCTTGTGAATATCCATAGCGTAATCAACCATGTTCGTCTTGTTCAAAAGCTCGATCTTAAACTTGAGGATCTGCTCATCAGGGTAAAGCTGAAGCTCTTGAAGGAACTCGAGCAAAGGAAACACCAAGTGTCTGTCCAGGTTTGGCGCTATTAGAGGTGTCAGGTCATAGTTCGTTTTGCTTTCTTCCATCGTCGCAAATCTCTCAACCTCCGCTGCTTCCCACTGGAATTATCTTCTTAAGACGGCCGAGATGGAGAGTTTCAGAGACGATGAGGTAATTCTTCTGTAATGAATTTAGGGTTTTCTCCAATAAGAACTTTCGATATTTATAAATTCGCTCCTTTTACTTCTTATAATTTCTTTCTCCCCCACCCCAACAAGTTATTTAGGGGATGGTATTGTAGAGTTTTTTTTTAAAAATTTTATTTTTTATTGTAGAGTTTTAATAACTTTAAATGTAAAGTAGAATCATTTGTTATTAAATCAAAATTTTATTAAAATTTTTTAAAGTTTGGTGTTATTAGTTATTGATTCGTAAAAATTCATTCAAAATTTTCATAAACATAGAGTTATTGGATTCAGACTTTTACTTAAGTCATAAAAAGTATGTGTTATTCAATTAAACAAAATAATCTCTTATTGTTGATGAATTAACATTTTTCCTTAAATGGCATATGTTTTTTAATCAGTTTTTGGCTTTTGATTCTGCAAAAATCTATTTTATTAGCCATGTTTCTTTAAAATATAAATTTTTTGAAAAATTAGAAAATCCAGATTTTATAAAATTTTGCTAATTTCTTCTTAAAATCCAAAAACTACTATGTGGTCTTTATTTAGTATAACGTGAATTGACATTTTTTTCTTCAAATCCAAAAACCACAAGTAGATCATGCATGTGGATCTACCAACAACACATTTGGAGCTGCGTATGATAAATTCATGGGATCTAGAAACTTCTCTCCCTATGATCGTCCACCCGTAAGATTCTGATGAATTGGCCTACGTAGCGACACGGGCGCGCACTGAAGTTCATGACTTGTTTGGCCTTCCTACGAATCTTATCGGTGAGTCGTCTCTGAATGTTGAGTTTGAGCAGATGTATCTTCCGATGTGTATGCTTTCTGTGATTGGAGGCACTGTGAGGTTCAACGAGAAGCAGAGATCAATGTTCTTGAAGCATTACTTTCCTTGGGCTCTTCGAGCAGGAAGGCAATGCACTGACCTTATGTCTGTGTACTATGAGCGTCACTTTAGCGAAGACTTAGAGCAAGTTCGAAGAAAATGGGGAATCATCCCAGCTCCTCAACATCTTAAATGATAGTTTCTCCCCACTTTGAGAACACATTTACGATGTTTACACCCTGATAAATCCAGTTTCATTTAGTTGTTTACACATTTACTATAAGCAACAACTTGATAGATCACGTTCAAGGAAATATCCCTTTTGGTTGTGAAACTTGACTAAAGGAACTGCATTTTTCTTATGTCTTAGTGTACTCGACTTGCTTCTCCAAGTTTACTATATTTTTGATGATGCTGATGTTGTCGCCTGTAAACGGTTTGTTTTCTATCATTCCTAACTCTTGCTTCATGTTATATTTACTTCCACAACCGTAAATAACTCGCTTAGACCATGTTTATTGGCGTACTTGGCCTCAGTCCCAACCAATTTTTACACAAAATTAAATAAAAATAAAAATAAAAACTAAAGGACGTACGCACAAACGCGACGGTCCTGCGTTTTGTTTTTCTCTATTCGCAGGCTCCACTGACACGTGACGGCCCGCGATTGGTTATCATTTTGTTTTTGTTTTTGTTTTTTTTTTTTAAATCAAAAAAAAAAAAGAATTTAATTTTTTTTTTTTGGACTCAAACCGATACCCTTGCCCTTAAACCCGCGTTAACAATAGAAGAAGTCGAAACTGTATAACTCTAAAACAAGGCTAACAAAAACAAATTTTGAAACAAAGTTTGTAAGAATTAATAACGGATAAAAAACTCTTCAATCATCATCATCACCATTACAGAAGATCTAGATCACCAATATATTATATGTAAATCAACATTTAGGATAAGGAATACCACAAGCAGCAAGAAGTTTGTGAGCATTTTTGGGGATGACATAGTGACCAAACGCTGGAGTCTTTATGTAACCACAGAGACAAGAATGTTGTTCTTTCAGCATCTCGCAACAGTATGCTGGAGGCTGACTTCCCTTGAGTATCGCTGGTAGGCATGACATGAGTTCTGTCACGACGCACGCCGCTTTCTCCTCTCTACCGGAACCTCCAATCACGGTTGGAGCCAGAGTTGACATGACGACTATAACAAACGCGATGACCCCTAACTTTCTGAACTTCATGCCTATGCACAGTATTTAGTCTTCTCTCTATAATTGTATTTGATTTATAAATGAGAATATTTGAGGTTTTTGTTTTGAAATTTGTAAGGATGATAATGCGATCACGCATATACATGTTTATACATGTTTAATGGCGTTGACAATATTTTTACAAATGAAAGCATAAGTAGAAAAGAATTTGAAAATATTGAATTAGAAGCAAATTAAATGATATACATTTAATTTGGTCAAAAAATGTGTATATACAAACTTTTGGTCAAATGAAATACACATTTTCCCAAAAAATAAGAGACAAAGGTTTGAAAAAATATCTCTTATTTCCAATTTTTCCAAAAAAGAAAATGTGTATGGATATTTTTACCATAATTTGATCATGGATGTCAGACTTGAAGGTACTCAAAGAAAGATTTGGTATTAAAAAAAAAAGTAAAATGGAAATTTTGAATTCTATGTAAAGCTAGAAAAATATAGGAAGAAAAAAAAAATGTCCGAAAGATTTGGTACTAAAAAAGGAAGATATATTTGTCACTTGAGTCTTGAGTGTACAGATAATGTGATGTTGAATACTATTTTTGACTTCGAAGCTTCTAAATTCCAAAGGCTAAAAAAAGGGAAAACCAAAAAAAACCAAAAAATGTGTTGAAAAAAAGAAAGGTAAGAAAAAAAATGATTTGGGAATAGAGAGATTTTATAGTTAGACCTGAAAACTGAAAAAGCCTCCGGCGGCTGAGAGAGGAGAATCATGGAGGATCATCATCATCTTCCCGATACTTTGAAACCCTTCTTTCACAGAGCCACTGAAGCCCAGGTTTCCCACCTTCTTCTTTTTCTTTCTAAATTCTCTAATCATCTATCATTCGAACACCATTAACACGTATACCATTGATTCAATCCATCCAGGAGCGATTGGTCAAGCTTGAAGCTGCTCTTGCGTCGACCAATACAGGTTCTTTTTTTTTTTCTTCTTAAAGAATTTGTTCCCTGTAATCTCTGATTTCTGGAACAATTGATTGAGTCTGATCTTCAAGACTATAGTCCTCAAGTTATATATTCCTTGTTTTCAGACATTCCGGATGCTAAGCTTGTTGAGGAAACTGCCCAAATTCAGTCAAAGCTCGAAGAAGCTAACGCCACGGTGATGCAAGAACAGAAGAAGGTAATTCTCTTCTCTTCACATTGTCTCATTACCTTAGTTTGATGTCTTGGTTTTGGAGTTTTGACTAATAGGATTCTCCTACTACTAGGTGAAAGAGCTGACCATTGAAAACGATAAGCAAAGGTACCGTATATTGCATCTTCTGCGGGCGCTAAAGGATGCTGATGAGAAGCTTGAGAAACTCTCTAAATGATTTCTTTCTTCATTCTTCTCTTGTTGTGATTCCTTTTCTTTTAACATCCTTACTGAGGAAAGCATCTGTCTGTGCTCAGTAATATTATTTAACTGACGAGATATCATAAAGGATTCATTTTTCCTACTCGTATCTTGCTCTGTTTGTTTCATAAGCGAATCTGCAGTTTCTAGCTTAGCAATGCCCATTGCTGATTTACTGAAGATAGTTACTACTATACATGTGATCCCCAAGAAGAGAAGATAGCTTATTCCACAGTAGTTGGTTTTTTCTTCTTCTGTTGGGAACATGAAGCATTCATCACTGTCTAGCTATTCTAGCAAAAATCATCTTTCTCGAGCTTGCAGTAATTGAGAATTTAAGTGCCATTGGTCATTCGAATCACTTTGCATAGATTTTATTGCTGCCTCTTCTTTTTATTGGCTTTTTGCATTTTTTGTTAGATTTAACGAGGCATTGATTAGTAGCCATTTGGCCATGCTTGGCTCTGAGAAGCAAGGTCTATAAAATTTATCTCCATGGAAAAAATGTTCATATGCAGTAATGCTTTGGTTCTTCAGTCTTTCTCCATATTCTTTTGTGGCCAAAATCATAGGAGCTTCTGTTTCAGTTATTAAGCATTTGCCTTTTCTTCTCTGATCTTTTGTTTGGATTAGTAGCAGATGGATGATGCTCAACACAATGGGAAATTTGATGAAAGCTTTTCTGTATTGCTTTTGTTTTCTACTTGATGTTTCAGAGGCTTAACTACATGTTACCCTGAGAAAGTGAGAAATCACCAGCAGTCGGCTTGTTTGATTGAACTGATCAACCAAACATATGATTTGTCGTAATCAAGTCCTAAATGCTATTTGAGGATGTTTCAGAAACCAAAAGATTGGGTTAAGTGGAAACTCAAAAGACAAAAAAAAAAAAAAAAAAAAAATATTCAAACCCACACCCAAAAAAAAAAAAGAAAAGAGAAAATCCAGCAACGATTTTATACAAATTGAGATCAGATCATTAGCCCGAAACTGAAAAATAAAATCAAATATAGAATGAAAGTAGCAGCAAATACTAGAAAGTAGGTTAGGCAGAGTCAGATGGACCAGAAGGAAGCAGCTCATAGCCATCATGGTGATGGTTAGACTCAACTGGTATGCATTTGAGACCAACGGCTAGGATCATACTTAAGGAACCAATCAAAATGCAAAGTAGCCAATGTTGCCAACTCAAAGGAACAGTGCTTGCAAATGCTCCAAGGAACTCAACAATGATCACTTGGAATCCAACTGTTGCAGTCATTACAGCAACAAACACCCAACTGTTGAACATTCCTTTAAACACATTTATCTTCTCTATCTCTCGGCTGTTTACCTCGTTAAACACCTGTTTTTATGCAAAGCATTAGTGTTAAATAATAATTTCAGAAACACTATTTTTTATTGGTTTTTATGGTGAATCTAGTTAACCTGACAGAAGACGAAGGAGTTGAAGATTATGGTGTTGAGAACAGCTGTTGAGTCCGGGCCATTGAGATTGAGTATTTGTTTTCCAGCAAAGTTGAGAATGCCGAGGACAATTAACTGATAAATGCTTTGACCAATGATGTTTCTCCACATTGCTCTAGTGATGAAGCTAGCAGTTCTAGCTATTGGTTGACGTTTCATTAAACCTTCATTGGGAGGTTCAGTTGCTAGAGCCAATGCACCGAGTGTGTCCATGATCATGTTGACCCAAAGTAGCTGCACCGCAGTGAGTGGTGCAGCTCCTAAAAAGGTGTAAAACAATCATTGGTGAAATTGTTCATCATAGGTGCAAGTTGTGTATATGCTTGATTTTGCTTACCGGTGATGCAAGCAGAGACAAAGTTGATGATCAGAGCAACAACATTAACAGTTAACTGGAACTGAACAAACTTCTGGATGTTTATATATACAGCTCGTCCCCATTTTGCCACATTCACAATCGTTGCAAAGTTGTCGTCCATTATAATAACATCAGCATTCTCTTTCGCAACCTGTGTATATCGGGGAGGTTAACTTATAGAACAATAAAATCTAATGATTTACAAATGATATATAATAAAATCAGTAACAGAGAAGAACCAAAGGCTAACCTCTGTTCCAGCTATTCCCATGGCAAGTCCAATGTCAGCCTCATGCAATGCAGGAGCATCATTTGTTCCATCCCCAGTAACTGCAACTACCTCTCCCATTTTCCTCAAGTTGTTGACTAATGTATGTTTGTCCAAGGGCAAAGACCGGGCCATCACCTGAAACCAGTTAGAAAGAATATAATAAGATGCTTTCAAGAGACACATGGGAGAATTACGAGTCCATTTCGTTAATCTAATTCACCTGAATTTTGGGTAAAATGGCCCTCATTTCGTGTGGAGGCAAATTGCGGAATGCTGAGCCTTCTATAGCTACACCTCCCGCTGTAAGGATACCACATTCCTTTGCAATAGCTTTGGCCGTGCTTATGTTATCACCAGTGACCATACGGACAGTGATTCCAGCAGCTTGACAAGTCTGAACGGCTTCCCTAACACCAGGGCGGACCGGGTCCTTGATTCCAACAACTGCAACCAATGTGTAGCCACCATCAGGAAGATCCCCACTGGGAGCTTCATCAAGATCCGTGTAAACTAAGCAGAGAGTCCTCAGGGCCTCTGACGCAAATCCCTCTATGACATCAGAGATACTTGCAATCTTTTCTTCAGATAAAGGAACAGATTCTCCATTTGAATCCACAACCTTCTCGCACATTTTCAAGACTATTTCAGATGCACCTTTACAGAAAGCACGTACTTTACCACCAGAATGAGATGTAAGAACAGACATTTTCTTTTTGTCTGAGTTGAATGGCTCGATCTTGAGTATCTTATGTTCTCGGCGTTGCACGTCAACATCACCACCCAAAAGCAAACCAAATTCCAGTATTGCCCTTTCTGTAGGTGAACCCAGGATCTGAGTTTTTCCTTCCTTATCCTTAACGACTTCAGAACCAGTGTTCTGAAATATGGCCTGTATAAGGATATTCTGAACTTCTTGGGATAGGTTTAACTGGAAGTTTTCCTCTTGCCTATTCTTGATATTTTCACATATCCAAACTTTGTTGACCACCATGTGGTTAGTGGTTAAGGTCCCTGTTTTATCCGTGCAGATGCAGGTAGAAGAACCCATCGTCTCACATGCAGCCAGATGCCTCACAAGTGCCCTGTCACTCATTAACTTCTTCATAGCAAATGCTAGACTTAAGGTCACAGCCAGAGGTAACCCTTCAGGTACAGCAACGACTATAATGGTAACAGCAATTGCAAAGTAGTCAAGCAATGTTAGGGCATCTTCAGAAGACCACTCAGTGATGCCACCAGCCCTGGCTTTCTCCACAACAAACCTTATGCACAATACCACAAATGTAAGCACTGCAAAGCCTAAACCAATCTTACCTATGATTGTTGCAACCCCGTTTAGTTTCACCTGCAGAGGGGTCTCATCCTCTCCACCTTCACTCAGAGTATCCATCAACTTTCCCCATTCGGTCCTCATACCAACGGTTGTAACCAGCATTTTCGCAGAGCCATTTTGGACTTTGGTCCCTGAAAGAAGAAACGGCTTCTCTTTATTCACATGTGATGGTTCACTCTCGCCTGATAAGCTTGACTCGTCTATCTCTAGATTGTATCCGGATATAAAAATCCCATCAGCTGGAACTTGATCCCCAATAGACAAATGAACCACATCTCCAACAACCAAGTCATGAATGGAGACCTCTTGCCTGCTCCCATCCCTGGTGACTTGAATAATAATCTTCTTTTTCTCTCGATCCAAATCTCTGAACTGCAAAGATTGCTTGTAGTCACTGATAGCAGTAACCATGACAACCAATATTATACTTAGCAAGATCCCTGTCCCATCATACATACCCTTTGGAAATCCTTCTGTGGCAACTCCAACTCCTATCGATACTACAGCGCAGACCATAAGGATGATAAGGGTTATGTCTTGAAGCGCCTCCCAAACAAACATTAAAAAAGATCTAGCTGGTTTCTCAGTATAACGGTTTTCTCCATAGATTTTCTCTCTGATGTGTAGTTCACTCGAACGAACACCTTCAGTGAGAGATACAGACACTTTCTGAGCAATTCCTTCAGGTCCTCCACTGGTCGTAAGGCTCTTTGTGTCATGATTGCGAACCATAGAAGCAAGCTCATCTGCTTCGACATAAAATCCTGCTTGTTTGACCTCATCAGTGAGTTTATATTCACGGCGGGCACCAGCTGAAGAAATACACAATGAAAAGATTAAAAATCAAACCCAGTCCCCCGACAGTGTTGCAAATCATGCATCTCTGAAACTCAAGAATGCATTTCTTACCATCAATGAACTGAAGAGCTGCCTTTTGAACATAGAAAGCAACCCGTATCTTTTCCTGGTTATGAAAAAGGAAAAAAGTGAGCTTATAGGAGACGACTACAAGAAAGAACTAACAGCCATTGATCTCTTCTAGACAAAATAACAGCACCAAAACATGCCAACCGGTACAAATTTTGATTTGTTTAATCCTTTGGATTATGCTTTTTATACAGAAGAGGGTATAATCTTTCTGTAACAGCAGCTAATTGTTGTTGTATATGTAAACAAATTCAGTGATCCAACAAAGAATCAACTGGACCTAAGGTAATTCAAACTGTTTTTTTTTTCTTTTTCTCTAAAACTCAAAGAAATTGGTCATGTCTTTGCCTCACAAGTCACGTTTTGAAAACAGAGTTCAAACAAAAAAAAAATATTTTAGTTTTGCTCAATAGTCATGTGTTAGTCATAATAGTCAAATAGCAACTGTATTGTTCAATAGGAAAGAAAGAAAAAAACAGAGAAGAAAGGGACCAAAGGACTTAAAATTCAAAGAGATTCCCAAACTGCTTCTTCAATTTATTGAGGCAAGTGGGACAAATAAAGTCGATGTCTGTTTCAAGATGGTATGGATTCGCTCTACACGAAATTTCCAAGAAACTTCCCAAAAGCAAAGGTAATTGCACAACAAGTCAAAAATAATGCAATACCCAAAAAAGTCAACAACTATATGAATATTGGAGAAGCAGATCTTTCTTAACTAGATTTCAATTGGCTTTAACGTCCACAAAAATGTATTCTTAATTATCCGTGACCTTCGGGAACCAAAAAAAAAAGGTGCAGCAATGGGATATGCCCAAGGTAAAGTAAAGTAGAATATATTGGAGACACGAAAGCATGATATCAAAAATTATGTCACTCTCTAAAATGTGTTGGGTAGGCAATTTTGTATAGCCGTGTGATATAAATAACTCATCGGTTACACACATTCGATCATAATCACACGTATTTCAATATTCCTAAATCAATCTTAAACAATCAACCGAATCCTAATTTACGCGTCATTTTGTGTTTAGTTGACTGAAGAATAAGAAGAAGAAAAAAAAGTGTACTCAGTGGGTTTGAAATGAGCCAACTATAATTTATCGGTTCACAATGAAGAAAGAATCGTGGAAAATAAGAAATGGTGAACAACAAAACATTTTTAAATGGAAGATATATCATCAATGGCCAAAAACAAAAAAAAAATAATAATTCTAATCCGAAGGATCGTAAATCTAAACGGATCGTGATCTAATAGCGTAAAAGGATACATCAAAAACTGTCGTTGAAGATGAGTAAATATATACTGAAATATCAACAAAATAAGGAAAAAAAAACGATCTCAATGCATTTTCTCGGAAACCATAACATTTTCCCGGAAACGAATCATTCACCCGAAATACAGATCATGGAAAGAGAAAAAAATTATCAGGAAGCGACACAGAAATTGCAAGTTCATCTAACATGACGAGAACAGAGTAAAACAAAAAAATAGAGGAAGGAGGAGAAGAGACCTGGATCTGGCATCTCTTCTTCTCATTCTCAGCGAGTTTATCGAGATTGCTGATCATACGAAAACGACGAGCTCGATTTTTGACGAGTCCGACGGAGGACCTCCATCGCTGACGAGCTTCCAGCGACGGATTCTTAGCTTCGACCTCGAAATCCTTTAGGAGATTAGACATCACTTTCTCTCTTTTTTTTTCCTTCTCTCAAAAAAAAAAAAAAAACTGTCTCCGTTTACTTTCGAGTAATCTTCGGCGACGCGAAGGAAAGTGAAGAGAGAGAGGAGAGAGTGAAGGCTCCTTCTTCCTCCGATTCTTTATGCTAAATCTCTCTCTCTCGGCTCTCGCGCAACGTGGGAGTTTGTTGCGAGTGTAAAGCCATTTTTATCTACTGTCCCAAAAACTCCGAACCCGGTTTAGCCACCGGGTCGGGCCGCCTTTTCGTATCCATTGGATCGCTTTTATATTTTATATTATTTAATTTGACGCAGTCCCAACTTTGAAGAAAGTCTTGCGTCCTCGTTTCGTGGGTTTCGATTCGAATGTAGGACAGTAGTTCCATGTTCAAGATCCGACCCATTTATTCTGCACATGTGACATTTAACTACAAAATATAGTAGAATTGCACAGTTTATTCAATGAAAATGCTATTTTTAGCATGCTGATTCATGTTCTCTTAATTTCACATGTATGATGTATTTGTACAATTAGTAATTAGATGACTGTTAGTGTTAATCAAAGTAGCACATATACACATACATCAAATTAGCGTGAAAAGATTGGTCGATGGGAAAACCAAACAACGGAACATAAGTGAAATTAGTGGTAGGTGACTGTTAATGCTATGTAGACGTCGCCATTACTAATTTAATACGTATAAGTATAAAGTAAATGGATGGTTGTTCTGTGAAGGTGCGTGCGTGGACACAGCTACTAGATTAGGCATATGCTTTCCAACTTGCTCTGTTTTAAGGTATCCACCCAACTTTATGAGGCTGCGATGCCTTCTACTATTATATACTTTTCTTTCCTTTTACCCTTTTTCCAATTCTTTACAATATTCATTTGTACACCTTTGTTCACCAAATATTGCTTAGACTTTTCTTTGTATCACAGATTTCATAAATAAAAACTGACTATTTGTCTTTAAATGCGGTTTAACCAAGTTGACCAAAATAAAATTAAAGAAAACATGTGAACAGTCATGTTCGTATATAAAAAGAACTACTATATAGATCATTCAGAAAGCTGGTCAATCATTACACATAATATATGATGTTATATCATGATGTGAACTTAAATTATTAATGTAAAGAAAAGGTTAGCTCCAAGCCTCCAATAGTCAGAAAAATGCATTCAATATTTTAATATGGAAGTCTCTTCTCTAGCTGTGTTCATTGCCTTTGTCACCCATGTTTGACCCAGTTTCTCTTAATGAGCTCTATAGTCTTCATTTAACAACAAGAAAATTTATTAGCAAGTCTTATTTAGCACACAAATACTGTAACAAGTTTTTTAATTTTATTTTACTTGTTATAATATGATGATGTTAAGACTCCCCCCTGGCGAGAAACAAAACCTCCTCCCCACGATTACTTATTTCATAATTTTAGAACTATCATGATATGTTGTTTGTTTAAGTCTTTGAAGCAAACTAACTGGTCATCACATACAACATTTGACAGTTGCCACTATCCAAGAAGCACAACATATATAAACACATATTCTACAAATTCTATTACATTGGGAACAATATATCATCATAACCATATATAAGAGAATACCATAGACTTTTTATCTCGAATTTCGAGAATAAATATGAACTTATGAAGATATCAGATCTTGCCACACAAACTAATCAAGATAATGCAACTTACTAATCTAATTTGAGTCATGGCACTAAATTTCCTTCAGCAGATTATTGATCATTTGAACCCCTTTATGATGGCAGAAAACAAAAGAAAAAAACTAAGAAGAAGAGAAGAGCACATCTGCACATGGAGTAATTAACCTGGTCACAACCTAAAAGACTATAAAACTTGTGGAGTGGTAGTATTGATCTTGCTCCTTCTTGCTACATACAAAAGGAAGTTGGTCATGCCTTTAATAGTTCCACTGGTGCAAAGTATTACTTCAATGCAACTCGTAGTAAAGGATCCATAGGTATAGAAGAAAGGAGAAATAAAATGATTTAGTGTAAATAGAGCAGATACTCCTCTTTGCCAGTTTCCATATACTACATCATTAGGCACATGGATTTTTTAAGAGATATACATTTTGCCAATGGCTCGGAATTTGAAATATGCATTGGATGGACAATATAGACATTGTTGGCTAGTCAAGGAGTTATTGCAAAACACGTCCTTTAGATTTATTAATTAGTTTGAGCAGTAAAATTAGCCTTACCTAATTTAACACTATCCTCACTAAAGTCACTATCCTACTGAACCGGACCGGTTCAATTTGACACTTAAATAAGTATGTAACCGGAATAAAACCAGACCAAATTGTTCAAATTCTCCGCAACCGGAACTGATATTTATCGGCTAACTTGTACCGACAATGGTACGCTAATCTCAGATTCAGCTTGGGATTTGTCTTTGTCTCCACAGTAAAAATCGATTAGGAGTCGTCTTGAAAATTCTCTTCTTCCACAATATCCCAATCTGAAAAATCCGATCGGTGAGGAGAAACCCTAACTTCAAAAAGGGTTCACTTTACATCTCTCTCTATCGAACAGTCTCATGATCGAGATTTGCTTCTTCTTCAACAACACCACTCGGTATTTTCACTCCTCCTGATTCTCTCAATCTCTTGTTTTATCATCTTTAGGGGTCAAACATGGATGGAAACAAAGACGATGCCTTGAAGTGCTTGAGAATCTGCAAAAATGCTTTGGAAGCTGGAGATCGACCTCGCGCTTTGAAATTCCTTGCTAAAGCTCGTCGTCTTGATCCCAATCTCCCAGTCGATGATCTCGTATCTGAGCTGAGCAACAAATCAGACGAACCAGGATCTGAAAAGTCGCCTGGATCTGCCACCGCCAAGGATTCATCTAATTCTTCAGATCGGCCTTCGTTACGTCAACGTGGATCGTCAACGACGTCATCGTCTTCTTCTGTGTCCTACACTGAAGAACAGATCTCGATCGTGAGAAAGATAAAATCCAAAAAGGATTATTACGAGATCTTAGGTCTTGACTCCAACTGTTCGGTGGATGATGTGAGGAAAGCTTATCGGAAACTCTCATTGAAAGTTCATCCGGATAAGAACCAAGCTCCTGGTTCTGAAGAAGCTTTCAAATCGGTCTCCAAGGCGTTTCAGTGCTTAAGCAACGAGGAAGCTAGGAAAAAGTACGATGTTAGTGGTTCCGATGAACCTGTTTACCAACCTCGTCGATCTGCCAGAAGTAATGGATTCAATGGTGGATACTATTACGAAGACGAATTTGATCCTAATGAGATATTCAGAAGCTTCTTCGGTGGAGGAGGATTCGGTGGTGGAATGCCTCCTGCCACTCAATTCCGATCATTCAATTTCGGGGCTACTCGTCATAGAGCAGCTAATAACAATCAAGCTCCTGAAGCAGGTTTCAATGCTCGGATACTTCTCCAGCTGCTTCCTGTTGTGTTCATTCTCCTGCTCAACTTCTTGCCTTCTTCTCAACCTGTTTACTCACTCTCTTCAACTTATCCTTACCATTACAAGTTCACTACACAGAAAGGTGTCAATTACTTTGTGAGATCATCTAAATTCGAGCAGGATTACCCACATGGTAGCAACGATCTACAGGTTTTGGAACAACAAGTTGAGAGGGATTATGTGTCTATACTTAGTCAGAATTGTAGGTATGAGCTGCAGAGGAAACAATGGGGATTTGTTCATGATACACCTTACTGTGATATGCTGAGAAGCTTTGAGACGGCTGCTGCTTAAAACCAGTGGAGCTAGCACAAAGAATGAGGCACAAATGGTTCAGCTTATAAGCGTTTTCATGTCGTTGCCTTCACGAGTCAGAACTGATAAATGTTTTTCTTATTGTTTCGGATTTTTATATAATGCTTAGAAACCTAACATACGATCCTTGGGTTTTGTGTGATTATTATCTCTGAATTAAGTTTTGGATTTTTGATAACGGTACCTGTTAGAACCAATAAAACATATCTTTGTTCAAAGGTGATGTAACACAACTAGGTTCGTTCTGAGGTAAAGTAACAAAACTGGGTTCAACAGCTTCTTACGGCACCTTCCTAAGAATAGGTGTTCAAGTTTCTTAGATTCAAAAGCTTCGAGCAATCTTCTCGTACAAGTCTCGGGGCCAGTTCCGCTGTGTGTTGCTTGCAAGAAATCCAGCAATCTGCAAATAAATTCATAATTTATATCCCTTTCATGATCTCTCATGATAATACAAATGCTTACTTAAGAATTTTCTTAATGTGTACCTTAGATCTCATACCCCTGATCGATCCATCAGAGTCAGCTACGTTATCCAAACACGTCAGAGCAACCTTGAGTAAATCAGGGACACAGTTCTGAAAGTAAGAGGATGCTCTCTGAAACTCGTTTGGGGTGGTGTCGGGGAGTCTCGGATCGAGATGAAGAAATGGAAGTTTTGCGACTTCTCTTATGGCATTTAGATGATTGCCTAGTCTGGCTAACTTGTGGATTGACAGTATTGCCTCAAGCTCTCTTAATATTGTTTCTTGTTCCATGACTCGATCTCTTTCCTGGACACTGGAGTATACAAGTGTGTGACACTTCCAGTAAGAAACTCCCTATTCAACAACTACTCAACTTAAGAGAAGTAGATGAAAATTTTATTAGAGTCTGCAATTTACCTGACTTCAGAGTGATATTTGTAAGTATTGAGAATATCATTGCCTGAGACAACAAGCCCCGCTGCTTGGCTTTCACCATCTGGCCTTCCGCGGGCAAGGGAGCAAATGGCTTCAGATAGACACTTGTTTATCGTTTCTAAGGCAGAGGAGTACGCACCAACTCTCTTCTGTATTTCTATCGTCTGCATTAGATAACAAACAGTTAGGTAACTAAAACATGGTAAACGAAGCAAATTATTGGTTTGTGAAATCACTCCAATTGAACAAAGAACCAACGGGCAATTTATTAAAGCATGTTTTAAGCTGTGAGTATATATAATCACAAGGTACTTACTTTATCATATAATCCAGCTTCTTGACATTGACGCGCAGCTTCTATCAAGAACTGCTGCCTCAATTTAGTATCAGGCAGAAATCTTCCAAGCTCGCCATCTTCACCGGAACCTCTAGCACCAAGCAGAAAGCAAATACCACCCTCTCGTAACAAAATCTCAGTCAGTAGCTGCTTCAGCATCAAGTTCCTTTGCCTTTGTTGATCAACGTTACTCCTTCCAGACCAAGCTTGTCGCCCCCCACCTACTGCAATAGCAGCTTGTGCATAGTATTCCAGCGTCATTTGCAGATCATCGTGATGCAAATACATCGACCCATATTGCCTAATCATGCTAGATGCCTCGGCATTAGCATCCATCACACTAAGTTTGTGCCCAGTCCCAGATCCTTCAGATAGAACGGAATGGTCCAATAGCGAAATAGCTATATGGACAGCATCAATATTATACCCTTCATCTCCTGCTTCTTTGGACATGTGCATGATCACTGGTAGTAACTGAATGCTAAGAAGCAAAACGTATGGGTATACCAGAGGGTCTTTGCCATTCTTAGTGTAATAAGATGGCTCAAATTTATTCAGATAAGCCTGAAGATCATCCAAACTGTAAGGCGCTAGCCCATCATTCAAGACCACAGATGAAGATCCACCAGCTACGTCACGTATGCATGATAGTTTGAACCAGAGAAAATCTTCTATTGTGTTAAAGAGCGTAGAAAAATCCCTCAAGATTCGATCAATTTGCCTTCGGGAACCAGATATTATAGTGTAGAGTAGGAGCTTCTTCTTGTCAAATGTTGTTTGGCCCAACCGATCACTCATTGGTCCCATCCTCAACAATCTCTCACATTCTTCAGAAGCAATAGCGGCAGTATGTGCAGCCACAGTACCACCTGTGGTAATCCACTCTGTAAGCTGCCAAAAAAGGGAAATCAAAAAGACAACTCCAAAACTTTAATGTAGGTTATTAAGACCATAAAATATACCAAGGGAGCAAAGTGTTGTTGAGATGACCGGGATGATTGAGCAATTTCTCTAGCTTCCTCATAATAACCAGTTCTCAAACAAAAATATATCTGTAATCAGAGAGGTAAATTTAATCAATTTCTTACTTTAAGAAACTTGGGGAACCTCAATTAAAAGATTCTGCAGTTCTACTTAATGGTTGAGGACAAAGTGAAAATGTAAAGCATGCGTGAAAATATGCGAAACCTGCTGCCAAGTAGTGTCAAATGGAGGCTGCCTACGAGCATCACCTGAATCAAAATCTAAAAGCCCATAATCTCTCAGACGAATCTGCACGGTATTGAACAAGAATCAAGAAATACAAACAACCCAATGTATATGATTGCCACAAAAATATCTTCCTGTGTGTATCTGGTTCATATTAAGATTTTTAGATCTGTGGCACTAACCCGAAGAAAAGCACGAATTCTTTGCAAATTTCCAACTGATCCACCAAGAGCAGCCTAGAACAAGATACGAGAAAAAGCGATAAAAAAATGTTGTGGTTATTAACGCACTTGAACTCAGCAAAAGATCAAGGGAATATTTTCAAGAAAGCATCTGGAAGTTAAGAAAGTAATTGAAAAGATGCATTAAGAGACATGTAGCATTTACAAGCAAAAATTAATACAAGATAGAAACGAGTACTTGTGTAGGATGACTTTGAATTGTATCCATTATATGTTTCCCATGCCCACATTCTAAATGGCGTCTTGCACCTATCACGAGGGCCATCTTCTTGGAAACACTATGTTGTAATGCTGAATCTTCACCTGTCATTGCCTGTTTTATAAATTGTTTAAGGCCTTGGAAATGTAAGAACAGTCCTTTAAGGTGCCACTGTTTGCAAAAAGAAACTTCCAATCAAAAGATCACCTGGATGAGTTGCCATATTTTCTGCATGTTGACTGATTTTCCACGAGTCGAATCAATTCCTAGACTTTCATATGCACCATTGAAAGATGTTGCAGGCTATACAAACGCATGAATAAGAAATTAGTAGGAAACAGAGCTAAACAAATGGATGCAAGGTCAACTAGTTATAAGTATGCTGAAAAAGGCAATCATCATCAAATGGTGTACATATTATTTTAAAATTTAGCTGGACTTCGAAGAGCAGTTACAAAATAAAAAACAATTTTCATCTGCAATTATCAAACAGGACGACATTCAAAATGCACCAATACTATAGAATTTACAAGGAGGTTTTGGAAGGCCATACTTCAAATGGCAAGCCTCGTTCTCTTGCAGAGTTAAGTTTCTTGACGACCTCGGCATAGACATATGCCTTTTTCTCATGAACAGGTTTGTTAGTCATAGACACGAGTTCCCTTCCAGGTTTTGAAGATACTTGAGGACTCAAAGCCACTAGTGAACCAGCATGAGTGCCTCTGCTTGAATCAATAATCTTTGTCTTAGGTAGGATTGAAATTTTGCTAAGGCTATGAAGGAAGTTACGTTTTTCTTTTCTACAGTCCTCCTGCCATAAACAGATTCCACATTGAAGTATATATGAGAAAGGACAAGAAATAAAATTCAGAATCATTATCCTCTAATTAGCAATAAGCAACTCAACACGCTTCTAATTGATTGAATCTAGGCCAAGAATTTTCAAATTACAATGCCACAAATATTTAAGGATGAAGAGAATGTTCCACCATTTAACAATTACGTTCTCATACTAATATAATTTACCATTCTTTGTCGGTCATAGCATAACGATGAGAAGGAGGAGAAAAAGAGAACAACCCATTAGAAACCATTAGAAACAGGAGAACATTGTATGACCGCAAAAGATGTGATAGATGAAACTAACATGGAATTCAAGTCAACACAATTTGTGATAGTCGCAACACTGACCTCCAACACTTTCAACATGTAGTTATTAAAGCTTCTAGCATTATCTTTTTGAGCCTCCTGTATAGCCGATACCATTGCCATTTCATGAATCTGAAGACAGAAATAATGCATATTAGAAGGATCTGTAGTGTAGTCTTCAAATAAAATAGGGAATTTCCGAAGAGCATTTAGATATAGAAAACCTGTTGCAAGTATTCTTCAACACTTGTTGCCTCGGCAGGGAATACATCCTCAAATGTCGTCTTATAAATATCCAAAATAAAATTAGGCAAAGGTCATTCAGCAGAACCACGTTTAAATTAAATTACAAATGTATGTGGCCAAACAATACATTGCTCCAAAGAAAACCTACGAGAACACAGAGCAACATAAGCTAGGTGGTAGAGACAGGACATAGACAAAATGCTCACCTTTAACTCAAATGACTTAAGATCACGAGATAGTTGATCTGCATTGATTCCCTCCCGTGCAAGTAGTCTGTGTATCCAGCAAAAATTAAAGAGTAACAGGATCATCACTCAATTGTATAGCGAGCTTTATCTTATGAAATTTTAACAACGGAAGACCACCCAAATTCTCAAAATATCGACCAGAGGATTCTACTGTGTTAAGCTCGTCGGACCTAACTACAACCTCGCACCGCAAAATACTCTTTAACACCCAAACAGATTCATCAATTTTGAATTCTCGGGGACTCACTCTGTAAGACTTTAACGCAAGAACCTGGGGATAAAGAAAAGAATCGAAGTTGAAGAAATTACCTAGTGGCAGCATTAGACTGTGCAGGAGCTTCGTTTCCTAGGGTTTTAGCCTTTAGTTTCCTCGACAACGCTTCCAATTGATCCAGATTCCTCTACAAATCACACAGACATATCATTACGAATCAATCGCACGCGATTAGAAGCTTCTAAACCAGATTTCCAATCTGAAGCAACCAACAGCGAATATTTCCTCCACACAAATGGAGAGTCGGGATCGAAAAGAGTAGTGGTTAGTGGAAGAACCTGAAGAGGAGGAAACTGAGAAGAAGGAGTCGCTTGTTCCAAGAGCTTAGTCGAAGAATGGAGAAGATCAGTCCATCCACTCATCTCCTGGTCGTTCGCCATTGATATTGGGTTCAAGCTCGACACAAGGAGTAAGAGAAACTCTACTACACAAGGAGAAAAAGAATGGGAAGGGTGATTTGAAACTTTTTAACTCTTTTTTGCTCATTACTCTGAAAAGACGATATAACGCATGAGGTTTAAACCGGTTTGATCGGTTCGAGTAATAATTCCTTATTTCTTCGGTACAATAAAACTCAATCCAAAGAATTGGAGAAATACACCTAAGAGACAGATTTGGCGATACACCAACTGTTCGACGAATTGCCCCAACGAAGTTTATGGAGGAAAAAGACTGGGAAGCTTCCTCTTCGAGCGAAAACGAAGCTGATTTTCCAAACGATGATGACGAGGAGTTTCATTCTGGTGGTTCAGTGCCCAGGTTACAGTTCAGGTGGATAAAAATCGGAGACAAGTTTCTCGATTTATTAGCCCGCATCATAAACTGCTAAGTCAACTGTTCTTACACTCAGTTTCTCTTTCTATTCGTCTTTGCAACATGTAGAGTAGGATCATCCAAGGCTCGTTGGATTGCCGAATTAGGAATGGCTGAAGTTGAGGTCAAAAGGGGAAAACTTTGGACAACTACTGGAATCATCCGTAGTGGAAAGACATATTGCTCCATTGAAGAGGCTCTGTACGTGGCAAACTAAACATTTACTAGTTTTATGGTTTCTGAAATTCACATTATTAAGTACGTTCCTTTTTCGCATTGTCTTCTTCTCGTGGCAGGTATTTGAGTGAAATAGGAGAGTTGCAAATCTTAGGTAGTGAAGATGATGTTGTGATACCGTTGAAGGACTTGTATGAGAAAATTGCAGAGGAAAAAAGCGGTTGCTGTTGGGAAAACTACGAGGTTTATAGATACTTAAAGGGTCTAGGCTACATCCTAGGCAGGCATGGAGTTTCTTGGACGTCAAAGAATGCTGCGATTTCGACACCAAGTGGGCAAGAAGAGTCAGTTTGCTCCGGTGAATGTCCTGAAGACAAGGATACTGTAACTCAACTCTTGGGAGATATGCAGATCTGCAATGCAAAAGCGGTGTATGACGTGTATTTGCCGAATAGTCGGTTCAAGAAGTCTTCTCCTAATGAACCGAGCTTTGTGGCTTGCTTCTCCGGGTAAGCGTTTTTGTTAGTTCTAACATTTAACTATGAAAGCAAGTTTTCCATTACACATCTTACTCAATATACTCATCCTCTTTTACAGGGACTCTCCACCAAGCAAAGAAGATATTAAAGTTCTGCAAAAGCGCATAGCTGCACCATTAATGTTCTGTCACATAGCTCAGGGCCGCGCCAGTTTCTTTTCCTTCTGTTCCATAGACCTCCCTGTCTTACCATAAAATGTAACAAAAGACTGAACGATCTTGTATTCTTTAGACAAAGTCACAAAACAAAGTAACTTTGATGATGAGGTAATATGTACGATTCTATGTCCTTCTACAGATGACAATTTATATTTTGGGTTATATATCACGAGAGGTCTTTTACTATTTGCGTATTTTACAATTTCAACAGTTGAGAATCAACCAGAACACATGCTTCTCTATCTAACATTCAAAATTAATGCGACGGAGAGGATATCCAAATTAGAAGAAACACATCACATGCAAATTTGCAATCTAGGAGTGCATTCTATTTTCAAGAAACTGCTCTAATTTAATAGTACTATTAAAATGCATGTTTGATAGTAATACGTACGTAACACTGGAACTTTTATTTTTATCATCAAAATATTTTAGTGCATTCTATTTTCATTCTAAAGTAATTCATAACCACTGGCCATTGGTATTTGAATCTGATCACAAAATTGGTAACAAAATCTACAACAGTAATATTTACAGTAAACCCTTAATTAAGCCGATGGTGATGTCCTACCAGCTGAGCTGACCAATTCACACCAATTTTTCTTTATTCTATTCCTTTGCGTAAATTACGAATCTTTTCTTCACTTCAAGTCTTCAACTTATAAGTTTTCCTTAACATCCGGTTTATTATACTTAATTACTTATACACAATATATTTTAGCTTACCAAAAATATAACATTAATACATAACTGCATCTTCAATTCTCAATTCTCAATTCATAACACTTTTATATTACGTATACAATAGTGACGATCGAATTTTAAATTTTTGTCCATTTTAGGATGTATTACCAATGATCCTACGTCAACATTATGGAAGATGCATAATATGAAACAGTCCAACAATTCTTTCAAAAAAAAAAAAGGGGATCGAAGCATTTTCATTGCAGTTTTCTTAAAAGAACCATATAAAGGCTTTATAAAATAATAATAAATCGATTTGTATTTCAATTTTCATTTCAGTGCAGAAGTAATTATAGTAAGTAAAAATTTCCCAAAATTGGGAAAAGATAAGATTAATGGGATTACTGAAAAGAGATTGATCGGAGGGAAAAGAAAAGTAAAAGTCCTTCCTTCCTTCGTCCTCTTCTTTGACACGGTTCTCAACTTCTCATTGTTTGTTTCCATCAGCTGACGAAACGGAAAACTCGATGAAAGGGCCAAAACATTACATACTACACAAAACAAATATAAATATATTAAAAAACTAATTTCATCGTAAACGAAGCTTCAATTTGAAACATCCTCTCTCTCAAAAGTCTCCCCTTCTCTGTTTCTCTCTTGGTGTAAGAGAAAGCAAAGCACCAAAACCCAGGAATTAAAATAAGCTCTTTTTTTATCTTTTTCTTCTGGGCTGTCTGATTCTTTCGGCGGAGTACCAAAGTCGATCAGAAACGTCGTAAAAATCGAAACTTTGCTTGTGGGTTTTTGCTCTACAGGAAATGGTTCAATACCAGAGACTAATCAGGAAAGGGGAAAAGCTTAGAGTTTCAGTTGAAAGAGGTGGTTCCGTCGCCGGTGATGGTTTCTCAAAGATGGCTAAACAGAAGACTATCTTAGTTATCTTTCTCTCCTTCCTCTCTTGCTGTTACATCTTCAGCTTCTCCTCTTTCTCTCTTCTAAGTAAAGTCACCCATTTTTTTATATATAATTTCTTATACTATTAAGCTTTCTAGATTTTCTCATAATTCCTATTTGTTTATTTTCCTGTGCAGATGCTTTGAGCAGAGAAAGTGAAGGATTTGGTCCCTATGAACAGTTCATTGCACCTCTATGTTCAGGAACCTCAAATGGTATTTTATCTTTTCAATTATCCTTAATTCTGTCTAATTACACTCTTTTTACCGCCGATTTTGATGTTTATCTTCATCTAAGAAAACGTACTCTTAAATTAATAACCCCTGTTTATGATTACAGGAACGATTTGTTGTGACAGAACCGGGTTTAGATCCGACCTTTGTATCATGAAAGGAGATGTTAGAACAAACTCTGCTTCTTCATCAGTCTTCCTCTTCACTTCGCTCAAAAACAAGACAAAGGTCTCCCAAAAGATCAAACCTTACACAAGAAAATGGGAAACAAGTGTGATGCAAACAGTTCAAGAACTCAATCTCATTTACAGAGATGACAATTCTTCAGTCTCTGAACATAGCAACATCTGCGATGTGTTCTACGACGTTCCTGCTGTGTTTTTCTCTACTGGTGGTTATACTGGAAACGTTTACCACGAATTCAACGACGGGATCATCCCTTTGTTCATCACTTCACAGCATTTCAACAAGAAGGTTGTGTTTGTGATTGTTGAGTATCATAGTTGGTGGGTTATGAAATATGGAGATATCGTTTCTCAGCTATCCGATTATCCTCCCGTTGACTTCAATGGCGACAAGAGAACGCATTGTTTCAAAGAAGCTGTTGTTGGATTGAAGATTCAGGACGAGTTAACGGTTGATTCATCGTTGATGCTTGGGAACAAAACGATTCTTGATTTCAGAAATGTTTTGGATCGAGCTTATTGGCCGCGTATCCGTGGATTGATTCAAGAGGAAGAACTCGAGGCAGTGAACAAGACTGCTAAAAAGGTTGGAGTAGACGGTCCTAAGAAACCGAAACTGGTGATTCTGTCGAGAAACGGATCGAGGGAGATACTGAATGAGAGCCTTTTGGTGGAATTGGCTGAGGAAATTGGATTCGTTGTCGAGGTTTTGAGACCGGATAAAACAACAGAGCTGGCAAAGATCTATAGATGTTTGAATTCGAGCAACGTCATGATCGGTGTTCACGGAGCAGCAATGACACATTTCCTTTTCTTGAAACCGAAAACAGTCTTTATACAGATTATACCAGTAGGAACAGAGTGGGCGGCTGAGACTTACTATGGTAAACCAGCCAAGAAGATGGGACTGAAGTACATTGGTTACAAGATTAAACCGAAAGAGAGCTCTTTGTATGATGAATATGGCAAAGATGATCCGATAATCCGAGATCCTAAGAGCTTTACTCAAAAAGGGTGGGATTACACTAAGAAGATCTATCTCGAGCGGCAGAACGTGAAACTCGATTTGAAAAGATTCAGGAAACCGTTGTCTCGAGCTTTTGATTTCTCGATGAAACGAATTTGACCGGTGTGTATAGCAGTCACAAACCGGATGTTACCAATAAAAGCGGGTTTTAGATTGTATAAATTAGTTTTGAAGATGTAAACGTTTAGCTATACACGTAAGATAATAATTGGGAGAACAAAATGTTTCTTTTGTGTCATAGTTTCAAATGACTTGAATTCACAAGCTTTTAACGGAGGTTACCAATTTTGACTTGAGTTCATATAACACATCCAAATGGATATAATAAGGGCCCAAATATTATTTGCTTAATAGGCCCAAAATCCCAAACACGCCAAATCTGCCCATGATTTTCTCTATTTTTTTTTTAACAGTTTACTTTACAAAATAAAAATGTAAAAAGCACTGAGATTTGCGAAATAAGCTGAGTACCTTTTTTTTCTTTTTTCTGGTTGATAGTATTTTTTTTTTTTTTATAAGAAGGATAGTCTTATTTTAAAAAGTTTATTGTTATTATTATGATTATCATTGAATTTCATTTGTTTTTCAAAAACGTATATGATTAAAGCTCATCTAGAAATCTGCAAACAAAAAAGTACAATGGAAACGAACTGCATGTAATTACGACAAGTGGCTCATTCTCTTTTTTAGCATGTTAGAGAAGTGTCTGGTTAATGGAAAGAAAAAATAAACAATCACTTTCTTTTTATTTTGATTTTATACACAAACAAATCTTGTGTAAGTAATATCCAAAAGCAAATTTTGATTTCATATGTATGGGAATTTTAGTAACAAAATTTCACCACAAATAGATATTGTTTCCTTACGTAGAAGAAAACAAAATCTTAAGAAATCACGTTAGTTTCGTATTGGGTGGTATATAAATTCCTAAAGAAATACTCAACTCGTTGATGCTTTCCTACATATGTAACTTTAATGCATACGAGATGTTATTTCTTTTTGGCAACATCTAAAAATAGTAAAGTGTGTTAAGAAAATGAGAAAAGTATTATTTTATTTTTGTAAAGATATATATGGAATTGAAAATGATTAAATCAGATAACTTGTTTTGATTACCGTTTGTTTTGGTATGAAAAAATAACATTAATTCACTAACACAAAGTAATCCAATTCGATATAAATTGGTTTAGGTGGTTCAAACCTAACTAAATATTTTAAGTATATATATATTTTTATCTAATCTAGTAATTAATTAAAAGTCTTAAATTTTTTTTTTGACATCAATTAAAAGTCTATATATTAATTGCAATTTGGAAAAGTGAGAATATTGACCCCGAAAAAACACCATTAAATGACTTAAACACTATATTTAGAAAACACATCTAAATATATTTAGTTGAATATTTCCATATCTTACAAAACATTTATTTACTGGAACTCCACCACAAAACTAATTAATTTTCTAATGTTTTAGATAATTCCATAATACTGTATTATGATTTTCAGTCACAATAAAAAATTCTCTTTTGTTTGATTTTACTATCAATAGAAAGCATTAAAGCCACACTTTTTGCTTTTCTTAATTTTTTTTTTAAAATTAAGGCCACATTTTGGCTCTTCTACTACTAGTAGATCTCAAATTTCACAAACAAAAAAAATAAACAATAAAGAAAAAAAATCATATAGCAGTAGTTATTTTCTTTCTTTTTTTTTAATTTTGACTGTTTAATTATTATCAGTTATTATATAAACATGGTATTGAAAGAAAAAAAGAAAGATAAACCCTTATTCTATGGAAATTTGAAATGGGTTGATCAAATATTTTCCTAATATACTACGATCAAAATTTTATTTGACAATATTAATTACATTTCTTTTAATCAATAATTTTTTAAGGAGATTAAGTTTTAGAAACGTAATAAAAAGCATGATCTAAAAGAAAAAGAAAAGACGAAAAAAAAAAAGAGAAAACCCTAGAAATATATTATTATTTTTTTTTGAAAAGGAGGCGAGAGAGAGATAAAGTAAAAAAAGAAGAAGAAGAAGAGAAGAGATGCGAAACCAAAACAGGGGCGTTATAAAAGGGAAGGAGTTCCAAAAGAAGAAAACAGCCACTCACACCAAGCAAAGCAAATTAGCAAAGCCCCCAAATATGGAATATTGCTACTTATAGTAACTCTATTTCTTTTTCTTTTTTATATATATAATAATAATAACCTAATTTTGGTCCTAATATTTTCCTTCCTTAGCCCCTTTCCCAATTGTCATATTTGATCGATTTCTAAAGAAAACCAAAACCCCCCCTCCCCTCTCTCTCTTCCTCCTCCTTTATATATTTACTCCCAAATAAAAAAAATCTCTTCTTCTTTATATAATACCAAAGGGCTCTCCTCTCTCTACTTCCTCTGTATCATCATCATCATCATCATCTCTCTTCTTTCGCCCCTGTTTCTTTTGATTTTACAGAGCCCCTGATTGATTTCGCTCAGAGATATGGGGAGAGGGAGGATTGAGATTAAGAAGATTGAGAATGTCAACAGTCGTCAAGTCACTTTCTCCAAAAGACGAAACGGCTTGATTAAGAAGGCTAAAGAGCTTTCGATTCTCTGTGACGCCGAGGTTGCTCTTATCATCTTCTCCAGCACCGGCAAGATTTACGATTTCTCTAGCGTCTGGTAAAACTCTTTTCTTTTTTCTTTTTGGTTATGATACGGAAACCCAAAAACAAGGATTTTGTTTTTACGATTTCTTGGCTTCTGTGTGTAAAGCAGAGCAAAACCCTGTTTATTTCGTCGTGATGCTTGTTTCCCTCTGTTAATCTGGTGAATTCTTTAGGCTTAAAGGCGAAACCTTTTTTTTTGTGGGTTTTGATTTAAGGGTTCATCTTAGGGGTTGTGTTTCTGTGATGATTAGGATTTGTAATCTGATGAGTTTTGTGAGTTTTATAAAACCTAACTGATGATGGAAAATGCAATTTGGTACTATCTTTGGTATCCATATATAGGTAGATGCTCTTGTATGTGTCAGTTTGGTAGAATCTCTCAACTCAAGTTATCTGAAAGATCTATAATTCCATGAGTATTAAGATCATAGAAGAGTTTCTTTGTATCTTAAACGACGTGTTTATCTCATCTCTTGTGAAGAAATTGAGAATGTAGAAGTTGAGGTTCATGGTTTCTTCTTTCTGTGATGATCAATCAAACCAATTAAGGGATTTTGCTAACGGAGGGTTCTTGTCCAATTTGTGAAGTATGGAGCAAATTCTTTCAAGATATGGATACACTGCTGCGTCCACTGAGCATAAACAAAGAGAAAAACAACTTCTACTTTGTTCTTCACATGAAAATGAAGCTGTGGTATATATATATCACTATCTCTAAGCAGAGATTCTTTACCAACTTACTGTTTGTATCCCTTTTGTTCTTGCTCAATCTTTGGTTTTTCTTACATGGTATACATTGTTGCAGTTGCGAAATGATGATTCTATGAAGGGGGAACTTGAAAGATTACAGCTTGCAATTGAGTATGTATCTCCTTGAAAATATATATTGTGTTTGTTTTTTTTTATAAAGTCTCCGTCTTTAACTCTGGTTTGTTGGTATGTTTCTATTTGTTCCTGAAACAGGAGACTGAAGGGTAAGGAGCTTGATGGTATGAGTTTCCCGGATCTTATCACTCTTGAAAACCAGCTGAACGAGAGCTTGCATAGTGTCAAGGATCAAAAGGTAAAGACAAAAGCACTCATTTATTCAAACATCGAGAGGAATTTTATGATTCATTCTTGACTTGATAAGTATTGTTTTGATTCAGACAAAATTCTTGCTCAACCAGATTGAAAGATCCAGGTTACAGGTACGAACAGAGCTTCTCAAATTTTAAAATCCTTGTCATCCTCAGTTTCGATACAATGTTGAATCTCAATATCCTTGTTTTGTCTCCTTATACTTATTAGGAGAAAAGAGCATTGGAAGAAAACCAAATCTTGCGCAAACAGGTAGAGATTCATCTATCCCTTAAACTAGTTTGATCTGGTATTCACCATACATGACCGACTTCAAATCTGATCTTAATATGCCCTCAGGTGGAGTTGTTGGGTAGAAGTTCAGTACCAAAAGTGTTGAGTGAAAGACCTCAGATTTCTAGCCCAGAAGCTGATCGCGAGAGCTCTTCATCAGATGATGATGAGAATGACAACGAGGAGCATCATTCAGACACTTCCTTGCAGTTGGGGTAAAGTGCAAACAAAAAACCCTAGCTTCTGTTACAAGCTTAATTAGTTATGAGGTCACTGAGAGTTCTAAAAGCTCGTTTGGTTTTGTCTTTTCTTAGGCTATCATCTACGGGGTACTGTACACAAAGAAAGAAGCCGAAGATGGAACTGGTATGCGATAACTCTGGGAGTCAAGTGGCTTCTGATTGATGGAATTCTTCTTCTAATACTCTGGTGTTTAGGAATTTTATATATATCTTCTTGTTCCTGGCTTTTGCTTTTGGATTAACTTCTGTCCCAAGTAGAGTTTGATTTATGCTTAGGTGAACATTTTACCTCAATCAAGAAGGATTTGATTAATCAATGATATTAGATTTTCTTAGTTGAAGTTCCCAACACACAGCACCGTATGTGAGATGAGTATATATATATGTTGTACCAAATTTTCAGAAAAGTCAAGCAAACATAACACATCGAAGTCTCGAATACACGACATTGATAACAACCGAAGAACAAATCAGCCAATAAAACTACAAATGGAATTGTGCATCCAGTTATTGATTGACTAATCAGTAATTAATTCGACAAGTAAGTGTTCAGAAATGACTTGATTCCACTTCATGAGGGTGATTGATGAATTGAACTTGAAAAGTCGACTGAAGATGACTCAGGCCAGCACGAAATGTGATCACTTATTAGCTTAACTTGAGCTGCAAAAAACCTCGGCCCTGCATATAAAAGTATGCTTCGTTGGTTGAAACTTGAAAGTAAACGAAACAGTCTCAACCCTTTATTCCGGTCCATTTCGATTATCATTGGGCCAAAAATGTTTCTTTACGGGCTTTTAAAAATAAGATAATCTGAACTGTGTCTGGCATTTAAAGGCCACCACCGACAAATTCAAAAGGTCGCCGACGGCTTAGAAATAATAATAGGTTGCTACAAAAGAAAAAAAAAAGAAAAAAGGAAATTATGATATTATATGTTTGGAGAAATAAAAATCAGCAAATGGTAGACAAGCGGCAGTGAGTACAGGTGACTTTATAATGTCAAGTACAAACAGTACAAGTTTTTGATAGTGGACACTAAAATTGATTACATATCAAACTAAAATATCGAAGACTTGAGTTCAAGTGTCAGACTATATAACTGTATAATTTTGTTAACTCGGCTCATGATTACCAAAATAAAGTCCACAATAATAGTACCAAAATGGTGAGATTAGGCGACACAAAAATTGGAAAATGAGTCTAAATGACGAAAGAAAGAGAATAGTATATAATAAGCACAAGTCCATCGGACCTAGAGAGGAAGAAGAAAGGCCACGTGTGCAAGGAGCTCCATGAGAAGGTTCCAACGGAGAACGAACGAGATCCACCTTCCACCGTCATCAACACACTCACAGTTGTTCTTCTTTCTATCAAACAAAAGTCAAATAATCACCCCTTCATCGAGAGAGAGAGAGAGACCCATTACTACATTTACATATATTCATTACTCATGTCTTCTCCACCGTCGGATCACGGATCCTAGCTGTAATCAAGGGGGCAGATTTTAATGAAGTGGGCCTCTGAATAGCTCTAGTAAACAACTGCCTTCAAATTCATCACACGTATCCCCCCCTGACATTTTCTTGTATTTTGCCATTTTTGGTTTATTGTATGATTTACTTATTATCTAAACATACCCTTCATATTAGTATTTTTTAAGTTACGATTGCTTAGTTTGTTTTTTCTTTCAGGTCGACCTTAAAAAAATGTTATTTAGAAACTTCCAGCGCCGGTTTGAACGTAAAGAGTAAAATAAAGCATGTACGAATTTACTACATTTGTGTCATGATGAATAACTTCCATCGGCCTCTTTGTCAGCGTTTACATTACCTTTCTCTTTTGATATATATATATATATATATTTTACATTGTTTAGAGTTATGTACTTCTTAAAACCATCACATTTTCGATTTTATACTATGATTAATTCAATTAATTCCGGAAATTACTCTCACCAAGTTAATTAAAACTATGGATGGATGTTGCTTAGATTTCAGTACTCAACATTCAACTGCATTTAACTGAGTTTTGATGTTTCGGCTTCAGTTACTAATTTCCCATTAAAATTTGTCCAAATGTATTAAAAAAACACAAATAAATGCAATATGGTTAACCAGTCAAAGTAAGTAATTATATATAGACATACAGAAGAAAAAAAAAAAGACTGAGAATGGTCAAACTTTTAATTATTATTCCTAATGGACAATTAAGCACACCCTTGAAGAAGAAAACCCTGGTTTAATTAATAACACAATGCTTTGATACACTGAACTTTTTAAAAATAAGGAAGGTTCCCATTAATAAGGGAAGCACATTTGCGCAATAAAACATGTGATGGCTATTCATTCATTACTAAAGTTAAAAGGCAGCAACATATCATAACCTATTTTTACCTACCAAATCCCATATATTAACCTATTTATATCTATGTATGTTTAATGTTTTAACAACCATAATATTTGTGAATATCTCAGTTTATTTAACTCTATCTATAAATATATTATTATTTACATTTATGTTTTTATTAATGTAACAAAATTTAGATTCAGCTAAAAAAAATCTTTACATAGATTTTATGTATCTAATCACTTTACTTTTTTAGTTTCTTCATTCAATAAAAAAAGTCAATTATTTTATTATCTTAAAATTTCTATTATCATCAATTATTAATTAGTAAACTTCCCCTAAAGAAGAAGAGTTGAATCCACCCACATTTTTGTCGTTTCCAAAATAAATAGTTAACCCGACCCGGACCCGGAGATCATTTTCGTTGTTATCAATATAATACAGAAGAACAAAAAAAAAAAAGAAGGCAAAATTAGAGAAGAAAGCCAAAAAAAAGGGCTCTCTCAGCCTCTCGTCACCACCACTTAACCTCTCCAGAAGAATCCACAGAGTGAGAGAGAGAACAGAGAAGAAGAAGAAGAAGATGGGTTTGATATCAGCCAAAGAGACGAAGAACAACAATAACAATAGAGGAACGGGTTTGCTCTTAGTCTTCTTCCCTGACCACCACAGCAACAACACCAACGATGATTCTCCTAATTCTTCGTCTTCTCCGGCAGCAACGACTCTCTTACGCTCCAGATCTTCGCGTCTTCTCCTCTCCAAAGCTCAATCGACAATCTCAATCTGCATTCTCCTCCTCTTCCTCACTCTCTTCCTCTTCACTCTCTCCACCTTCGAGCCTTCCTCTGGTTTTCCCGCCGTTTCTTCTCGTCCTCACCGTCGCTTTCTCCTCAACCGCGACATCCTCGCCTCTCAGTCTCGTCGCCGTTTCAACCGATTCGCTCTCCAAGGCATGGGTACTCTGTTTCTCCGAGGGACCAAGAGCATGCACGGTTTGATCGTCGCTCACCTCCCCTCCGATGCGACGGAGGATGATCTCCGCCTCTTCATGCGCCTGCTCCATCGCTCCGGTGCCACTTCCAAATCCGACGTCGTTTTGCTCTTCAATTCGCCTTCCTCTGGTTCGAGATTCGCCGGATTGATCGAAGAAGAGAACGAATCCTTCTTAAAACTCGTCGATGTTCATCGCAGCAATTCGAATTCGTCGAATCAAATCGATTCGGTTTGGGGATTCAGTCTGGCCAAATTCATGAAGAAGCAATCGAGCAAGAAGGAGACATCATCATCGTCATCGGAGCCTATCTGGGGGAAGAAGACTCACAGAGCTACTACTAATTTCAACGATTCGTCGTCGTCGTCGAATAATAACAATAATAAAAATAACTCGAGCGAGTCAAACGAGTTGACTCATGGCTCTGTAGTGGGGTTCGACGTGACTGAGTTGGATCCTGAAAACTCGCTGTCCGGGTTCATGGACCACGTTCCGATAAGCATGAGGAGGTGGGCGTGTTACCCAATGCTGCTTGGTCGAGTAAGGCGCAATTTCAAACACGTTATGCTTGTCGACGCTAAAACCTCCTTGTTCCTCGGCGACCCGTTTACCCGGATTCGTAACCGGAGCCCCGAGTCAGTCCTCTTCTTCTCCAAACACAGCGGCAAGAAAGCCTCCGAGGTCAACCCGGCGATTCTGATCGGGGGAGCCAAAGGGATGAGGAGGCTGTCGAGCTCGATGCACACCGAGATTGTGAGAGCGACGATGCAGCAGCACAAGAAGAAGAGCTCTGTTACGGAATCGGCTGTGCTGAGTCAGCTCGTTGGGAATGTGCACATGGTGAAGAACTTTGAAGTGGTTACGAGTGAGCCGTCGGTGGTGGCGGAAGCGAGTTCGCTAGCTGAGTTGAGGACGAGAAACTCGGCGGCGTCGTCGTCGATAAAGGATCACGATATAATACAGCGTGGTAATGGTAATGGTAATCATATTAGTGATATAATTATGAAACGTATTTGTTCATGTGAATTAGATTCTTCTGTTTATAATTACTGTTAGCATTATTATTTCATTTAAAACTTTAAACAAAAAAAAAAGATAGGGAAATTTTTGTTTCTTTTTGTTTATGTACACATTTGACATTTGTTATGTTCGTAGATTTTTTTAGTTATGGGTTCACGGATGTTTTTATTAGTGTGTCCACGTTCTGTATTCATTATTGATTTGGTCTCTTTCGATAATTAATCATTGATCAAATCAGGAAAATATAAGTGTTTTTTTTTTTTTCAATTTTTATACATATTCAGAAATGTCGGTAATAGAACATTTTTCGAATTATTTATTTTTGTTGGAAACTTCGAAATTATTATTTCAAGAGATTATTCATCGAATAATATATATTTTGTATGTGATTCTCAATTATGTAGATAAACTCCACAAAATTTGATTCCTGTCGCTGTGTGCTACACATATCTCTGATTGTAACAGTTTATTAATTAAAAGACGATATATTATACTATTGTTTATATTTTGTCTAAAAATATACCTAAAAATACGGGAGATACATACAATGCATGATAATAATATGATATTAGAAAGAAAACTAATTGGAAGAAGAAAACTTTGAAATAAATATATATTATTACTCACGATAAAGTGAGTAACCTATGAGTCCGCTAATTAATCAAGTCAATCTATGAAAAGAAGGTCTTTTACAAGACACTTATGATGATGAATATCACATGTTTTATAATTAGAAAAATTTTGATTTAACTATATTGATTTGTTTTTTCTTGTCATATGAAAGACACACGTCGCATGTGTTTATTTGGTCTTTTGAGCTGGTTAAAGTCAATTTGCCCCTACTTTTTTTAATTTGTCTAATTCACTAGAAAAACAAACTTTAGAAAACGTCTTACTTCTCAATAATTGAAACCTAATAGTAATATTACAATTATTTTTAAAAAAGAAGAAAACAATAATGTGGCATCACGAGGATTCATCGTTGGAATTGGATTCTCAATATCTTTCCTACCAATTACTATCTATCATCGAAGTTGAAGTCGAGGCCTCCTCATCAAAAAAAGGTTAGGCATAAATAAACTCACACACACAACACATACATATAAAAAAAGAAAAAAAAAAAAGCTAATCGTCGAATCCACTTTATTCGGTTGTAACTTTTTATCTCCACTCATTACATTCACTGGTTGGTTACATAGTATCACTTTTCCTTGTTCTTATGTAATTCCTTTATATATATATATATATATATATATATATATTTGATAACCCATCAAAATTCATTTAAAACCTTTAAACATAGATAGAAGAGACTTCACTATTCATTGTGATTAGCATATGTTTTACACAAAGATACTTATCAGTTTAATAAAACTGCATGATATTACCTAATAGCACATACGTACTTGTTAAATATGATAGAAAAATAGAGATGTTGAATAAATAACACGAAAAATGTGGTTATACATAGTAAGGTTCAAAAGAAGAGTCAGTTTTTATATCGAGAAAATCATCAAAAAAAATGTAGAAAAGAATAATAGTGTATTTAGGGATATAGATGAAGTCAGTATCTTTGCATGTCCACACACAAACACATTAAAGGCGTGAGAGGCTGCGAAAAAAGAACATATCAAAAACAAACAACAGCAAAAGAAAACAAAAGAGAGCAAATATATACTTTTAAAACAAAAGTGGGCTTCTTCTTTCAAGGAGTAGTAGCAACTAGCAAGTTATTAAACGCTAAATACTAGTGACAAGACTCATATACTAGAGAGAAGAGCACAATGACTTCATTTAGAAGCCAAGAATTCCCATTTATCCATAACACAACAGGCGTGCTTTGCTTTTCCCTTTTCTCTTTCTTTAATTTACCCTAAAAAGTATGATTTTAGTTGACTAATCAAATATCGTATTTGATCAATCAGAAGAAGTCTAGTTATTAATTTAAAACATTATTCTATGTATTAGAAACACACTTTTTGACCCAAAAAAAAAATATATGTATTAGAAACACACTCTTAGCTGGTTGATGTAAGATTTTTCTAATGAGCAGATATTGCAAAGGTATGGAGCTTCCCACGTCCTTGGCTATATATTGATTTACAAAGAAGAAGAAGAAGATGACGAATTAACTTTTAAATAAATTTAAAGTTTGTTTATCAAGCTACAAAGCTCGCGCAGCCATGCTTTTATTTCTTTAATACAGTAGTGTTTAAGGACACTGACAAGAGTGACAAACAAAAAAAAAGATAAAACTTTCATGTAATGAATTTAAATCAAGCCGGAAATAAAACCTCCAAATTGTTTCTCCTTTCTATAATGGTTATGGTTGAGGGTTATATAGTTTGTACATTTACTGTTATGCGATTAAGGATTAAAGATGGAAAACATTCGTTCTTGTTACCAAATTAATAACAATATTATTATGCTATTATATACGTGGAAATGAAATATTTACCACAAGAAAGTTGAGGAGATTCTACGTTCACTTGAAAAACAAAAGTATATTACTAACATACTTATTTGTTAATTCAGTTCATCTATCGGTAATTAAGCCGGGGCAAAGAAGAAAAATTAAGGAACCGACACTCTTTCTTCTTCCACAGATGCATGTGTCAATAAGTGATACTGCAGGTTTCGTTTTCAAATTTGAGAGAGTGTGTGTGTGGACCTTGCATGTATAAGATAGCTTAGACAGAGAGTTCGTGCAAAGACTGTATTCTATTTATATGGGCTACACTGATGATCTGTCTCGCTCGAAGCGTCATCCTCCGCTCATTTTGCCCAACCATATTCATACGTAAATTCTAAATTTCACTATTTTTAGATTCTTTTTTTTTTAGATCAATGTCCCTATGCTATAAGTTACGACGTTTATAAACTTTTTCATAATCAATACATTAAGGTTTAGAGACTAGAGTAGTTAACTAGTTATAGTGTTTTTGTTATCATCAGTCGTATGGAATTTAATCCGCGTCAGTAAATATTAATTAGGAAAAACAACAATTTTTCTGACTTTTTGACTAACATAAGTTTATGTTTAATGCGATTCTTACGTTGTTTTATGTTTTAATTTAGTTTGTTAAGTTTGTGTAATTAGTGACACTATAAATGCAGTTCTTATTATCAAAAGTCTTAAATATTTTGTGTAGGTGACAACCAATTTTTTTCCAAAAGAAGATTTATTATGAGCACTATAGACTATATATAGTGTGTTTGAGTCCAACGAATCTTGTGTGTGTGTGTTTATTATCATCACTACCAACTTGAAAAATAAATGCATCAAAAATTTGACGTAATCATTCTGATTCCCAACTAATTATTTTCCTTCATTTTTTTGTTTGGCACAGTGAAAAAAAAAAGATACCAAATTGGTGGAGACCAGGTCAGACATAAATGTGGTTGTTGTTCTTTAAATTCTTTCTCTTTTTTTTTCTGATCACTTCATGATTCTGATATTTTCACTGCATTTACTTCAACACACGTTTCTGTCATTGTACTATGACAGCTTTGCTTAGCTGAACGTACAACAAATTCAAATGGTGCGTCTCCATTGTCAAACGAACCAAAGGAACACTCTGATACATTGAAATTTCTTGAGTTTACAAGTAGACTTTGTTCATCAAAATAATGTGAAATCCAAACCAAAGAATTTACTAACCATCACCAACCACACAAGACACAACTGTCCTGATCCAAAAAGAAACCCCCCAAACAAACAAAAATGCACACCAATTTCTGATGTATCAATCATTACAATAACATATCATTTTGTGATACGAAGAATCAAACCCGGATCCCAACACCACCCATGAGAAAAGAAATATTTTGAAAGATCAAAATGAAAGAACAAAAAAAGAAAGAACTGTTCATTGTCTTCATAGCTGCAGCACTGAGGTCAATACATAACCAATGACACAATGGCAAATCCTGTCTTTGCTCTTAGTATATATCTGAAGTGGAGGAGATCATTGAGATTTATGCATGTTTGTGATGTTTCCACCTGCGACTTTTTTTTTTTTTTTTGGGACAATTCTTAGAACAAGTCGAATTTCTTCTTCAGTAAATCTTGCTTCCATCTAGGCAATTTATAGAATGCTTCCTTCTCCATCCCAAATACAGTCTTGAACTCTTCCTCAGACAGGTAAGCCTGATTGATTGGTTTTAGGGAATAAGTTACCGACAATTTATGCTCAAATTAAGACCAGGTAAAAAAAAAAGCTAAATCGGGTCAACTCATTCACCTCTCTGCGTTTGAAGTCAATTCCTGTCACTGGTTTCTCAGATTTAGCTTGTAATCGTTCGTAGGTGAAGGTTGCTCCAGTTGTTTCTGCTTCAGAATCATCCTGCTTTGGTTTTACTTCCTCAGCACTCGCTTCAGCTGCAACTGAAATTTCTTCATCTTCTTTTGCTTCAGTAGCTTCTTCGGAAGCCTCAACTTCTGAGAACGATTTTTCATCTTTTGCTTCAGCTGTAACCACATATACTCACAGTGATCACCGTATTCAAATCAAGGCTCAAAGAAAACGGAAAACAAGCTCACTTGTTTAATTCAAGCTACAGAAGAGTTCAAAGTATGCTGACATGAAGGATTAAGCTTGTAGCATACAGTCTGCTTCTGCAGATAGCAAATTCTACAATTTTACTTTTGTTTCTTCAAATATCCTGTGTTTTGTATGGTTTGTACTTACGGATATATATACTTTCACTCATCTGCAGTAGATCAATACCGGTAAAGAACTTACCAGAAGGGCTGGTATCAGGTGATTTCTTCTTCTCAGCAGTGAGAACTTGCGAGAGAGCAGCTACTGCTGCTGCTCGTTGTGACGCCTGACTTGTCAATCCTGGTCTTCGTGGAGGTGAATTTGATGATGGCGAAGAATTGAATGCAGATGATAAGGCGGCTAAAGCTTCAGCCCTTTGTCTTAGACCCCCTTGACTTCCATTTGATCTGTCTCGGCTCTGCAGTTAAAGCAACGAGGGTCTAAGTCAATTGATCAAGAACATGGGACACTAGTAGCTACAATTTGCTAAACATGCCACAGTAAAAAGCAACTACCAAAGCCAGTTTCTAATTAGTTTTGCGTTCTGTGCCTAAGCTGAAAATCAGTAAGTACTAAGTAGAAAGAGTTTCCAACCAAATATGTGCTGTAACCCCTAATATATTACTTAATGGCAAGTAAAAGGTTTGGATAAGTTTGAGAAATCCATGACAGGGCGACTCATTGAAAATGAGATCCAGAGCCTTTTTTCTTCATGGCAGT